GTCGGGTCCGTGAAGCTGGTGCAGCAAACCTGGGACTAATCGTGTGTAACGACCAGATCAGGGGTAGAATTTGCCAAAGATGGAAATTTTTGAATAAGAACCGAAACGCTAATTGTAATACAGTTCTAGAGATACTGTAGCAGCCCAAAGAGCAATTGTGTCTCTTCGGTCCGACGCCCTCAAAGGGATCGTCGATCTAACTGCTACCGCTTTTCCGACGCCCGGCCGCAACCGGTTGCCACGTCGTACTCAGGAATATCCGCTTGCGCTGCGCAAAGCGTTTAACACCACCTATGGTAGGGCAGTGTACGATTCTAATGGGACGGAGCTCTGTCTAGCTGCCTAAGAGCTAGTGATTACAGAGGTGGCTTCGGGGATGTGGTATGGTAAAAGTTTGTGCAAGTGCACGGAAAAGGGTTCCAGGGGTCCGGGTCTTGATGCGGTAGAATGCGGTAGGGTTAGGAGTTAGGGTGAGAGTCGAATGTGCGTATGGGGTGGATCGTCGTGTGGAGATGGGTGATGGTTGGTGTGGGAGTGACGAGGATCGTCGTAGGGCAGTTGGTGGAGACTCGAGCTAATGTCAGCAACTAACAATCCAACTGGACTGAGCTACGACAAAGCTGAGGAGACAGACGAGAGGAAAGTGAGTGAGGAAAGACCAGCTCGAGTCTGGCTTGTTATTGAGCGGTACAGGCTCCTTATATACATGTCAGAATGAATACCTAGAATATCCTACGAATATACGGAGGTGTATAGAAAGTGAAAGAATACCATGGAATCCGGGAGAACCATCCGGATTGTGTAATATTCATGACAGGAAGTTGACCATCACTCGGTGGATAATGCTTCTCGGCCCTGTCCTGGATGTTATACCCTCGGCACCATCGTTGTGTGAGTCTGCCGATGCCCAGGCATAGATTGACCTTACGGTTCTGCTCTACGGAGGTGCTCTTTCTTCGGTAAAATTTTCTCTCACAAGTCACCGCATCCGCCACAAGGTGCAGACCGATATACATACTGAATGCGCTCGTGTACTTTATGGGTGTAGTCCTGGTCTCGTGTGAGTACAGTCACACCTACTGTTGAATTGCAGGAAATTGGACTGATGTTTCATGTAGTATTCTCTGCTCTGCGTGTGTACGCACTCTGGCAAGGATCACCAACGAAATACGTCTCTCTTGCCACTGTACTCATACTCGGAATAGTTCCGGTTGGAACAAATATTGTGTGCCATCCTTTCCTGAGCCGCACAAGCATTTATACTAATTTTCGATCTAGTTCCAGTGGACGCGTACTGCATTCGGATGAGGTCACTCCGCCACTCACTGGGTGCAGCGATGCTGTCAACATCCTGCCGAAGCTGGACACAGAGTATGTACGGACCCGGTGCGCTACCCTGATCTATACTAACTTCCTTACTTAGGAGTGAGTTTGCCTTGCCTAACTCTTCACTCCCAATCGTTGTGTACATGCGTCTACAGTGCTTTATTTCACAAGATGCAGCTTGATAGCTGCTGACATCATCGTTCTCATGTTGACATGGATCAAATCGTTCAAGCACTTCAAGGAGATGCAGCAGCTAAATCTTGGCTTGTCCATTTCGGCCGTGCTGCTCCGAGATGGCAAGCGCATCTCTCCCCAGTTCCCGAGCAAATGCGCCGTAACTTATGCAGCATTCTTCTAGGTACCCTCTATTTTTTGTAGGTGACTCGATGTCACGAACCTTCCTGACGGCTCTCTGACACATTAAACCTCTGTTTTCTTCTAGTCATCAATATTCTTGATCTCCTCACATACACTCAAGGTAGTCTTTTCCTGGTTAGTAGCAGGACATACTCCTATTATGAGCAGTTTTAATCTCCCGTCTACAGGCAAACTACGCAGTCGGCTTTGTTCAATCAATGGTAACTGTTCCACAAGCCCGAATGGTGGAGATGTCCGTTGACTAAGCACTCCGTCCAACCTTTACAACCCCCGCTGATGGTGCAGCGCTTCATCCTCAACCTCCGCCAGCTCCATCACACCACCAGTGAAAGCAGCTCGGACACGCAGCACTTCTCTCGCTTCTCCGTCAGCTTCGCGGTACCTTTGGATTTCCTCGGAAATATTGGCGAGCCTCTAGACCACGGCAAATCGGAGCGAGCTGGCGACGGTGGCGGCGACGGCAACTGTGCGGCGGAAAAGCCACGGGGAGGGTTTCGCACACCAACCAGGTCTGTCGTACGCATATCAGGACGAAGCAATCGATGCCGGCGCCACTCCAATGCTGCGGTCCTCCGAACATGCAAGTGACGGGGGCGTCATCCGGTCGTCTGCTTAGTGCTCGCGCAGAACGGCGGCCGTACCTTCTACGTCTGCTCATCAGGCAAGTATCCCGCTCCACGTATCGCCGCGGCCGCTTGACGTACGTTCATTTAGACAGACTCTGTTACGTGGTTAAGCTATGGGTGCGCGACGGTCGATATAGTTGTCGATAGCTGGGCCGCTTGACACCAGCGTCAAAGAGCGTAGACATCATTTATCGCGGCCTGATTTGCATGTTTCATCCATCCAAGTCTCGCATCGTTATCTTGTCCTTCTCGACCTCGTCTCTGCTGCTTGTATTTGTCAGGAGTTGTACTAACTATTCACTGCTAGGACGTCGCATTTCATCCCCCTCTGTACGACTGGCGTTCTCGGCAGTGAGGCGTTACAATACTGGTAGCACGGACAGTATGGAGTAGTGGGTGCAGAAGATATCGTATCTGTCTGCTTTCCTACAAGAATCACGGACGCTCTCCTCGTCAGCATTGCACCCACTTCAGATCTGCCGCCAGGCAGACACGGCAACGAGAGAACAAAAGTCAGGACTGGAAATATTAAACTTTACAGTACGACATGAGACGACATGATAGCAACAAGACACAGTTCCCACTCATGAGATTGTCCGTCAACAGCGATAGAACAACCCACAAACTCATGAAAATCCGTGAATACAAACGCATGAAACCGAGAAAATCGGGCCAAAACGACGACAGGGAAGACAAAAGCCAGCGCCAATAGAAGGAGGACCGACTACACGGCGTCGACGCTCGCCTTCTCGTCGGCCCTCTCCTCGCTCGCCGTGCCCGCCTCGAGGTGCTCCTTCTGGACTTCGTCGATGTAGACGACCTGCTCGTCCTCGTAGTTCGTCTCCTTGATCGTGCGCAGGACGAAGAAGGCGGGGATGAACGAGAAGAGCATCATCGTCCAGCTCGCGAGGTGTTCGTTCAGCAGCGGCGTCAGCACCGCGTCCATGCCGAACGAGCCCGCGGAGCCCGCGCTCTGCACGGCCTTGTAGAGCCCCGCGAAGCGCGCGAGCGTGAACGGGTCGTTTGAGAGCGCGGACATGATCCAGTACACGAGGGCCTGGTAGCTGGCGTCGGAGAAATAGTCTGCGAAGAAAGGCGCCAAGTCAGTGCGTCTGTAACCCCTGGAAAACGCAGGCGGGGAGGACTCACAGAAGAAGTAGAGCGCGCCCTTGCCCTTGTAGTTGCTGTCGTGGTAGTTGATGAATTTGCCGCCGTGGTCTTTGACGTAGTTGCGGTTGAAGGTGACCTGCCACGAGAGGCCGACCGACCAGACGATGATCGTCTGCACCACGACGACCGCGAGGCCGAGGTAGCCGCGGTTGCGACGCGACATCCACTTGCCGTCGAGGACGAGGAAGCCGATGATGAGGGCGCCAACGATGGCGCCGGCACCCTCGAGCGACGCGTTGAGCGCGCGGGTCGCGCCGTCGAACACGGTCGCGTTGACGCTGCCCTGGTAGGCGTAGAAGTAGTTCGAGGCGAAGAACATGGGCAGCAGGCAGAGCATGCGCCAGTCCTTGAGCAGCTGGAACATGCCGATCACCTCCTCGTGCACCTTGGACTTGTCGTTGAGCTTCACGACCGTGCCGTCGCCGCGGACGACGTGATGCGGAGAGAGCACGAGGAACGCCGAGGCGACACCGAGGAAGATGATGACCAGGAAGGCCTGAAACGGCGGTGTCAGCACGGAAGAACCTCGGTGCGAATATGTGCGACTCACGATGTAAGTGGAGGTGGAGACGGCACTGAGTCCGCCGCTTCGAATGTTGATCGCAAGGGCAATGATAGAGCCAATGAACGCGCCGAGCTGGAAGATGGCCCAGAACACGCCGAAGGCCTTGCCCTTGTCCTTCTCTAGCGGATAGCTCATCATGATGGACCCTTGTGCGGACCACAGAAGCGCAGCCGTGAAACCGAGGACGGCACCCGCGAAAATGAGGAACCAACGAGTGCCCTGCGTCTGGAAGCTGCGCAGCGGAGATGAACAACTACGTAAGGGCGGATCAAATGACGAATACATACCACCAGAGCGCGCCGACGTATAGCGCGTAACCGAGTGTACCGAAAAACAGGGTCCACCTAGGACCAAGCACTGGAGAGCGGTGTTACCAGGGCGAACTTGAAGCACGAGATAGAGGCTTACCATTGTTGATACCGCCGGATATGAGACCAGTGAGGGCAAACATGCCGTACAAAACACCGTTGGCGGTGTCAGAGAGAGAGACATCTTGCGTTCCTCCGGCACCGAGGTTAGAGACCGCACTGAACATTCCTGGGGTGGCAAAGCTGGCGACGCCATGAGCACAGGTGCGCAGAGCACGACGGATGCGAGACTCACCATGTGATGCCGACGAGAACAACCTGCGTCATAGGCTTCCTAGGAACATCACGGGTGTGATCAACTCAAACACATGCGGGGATCGTCAGAGGGAACATACGTGTAGAACTTGGGGAGCTGCATGGCGAACGACTCCGGAAGCGGCTCGTCGAGGGAATGGGGCGGGGGGCGAGCGTTGGGCAGCCTGCACGAACCGCGAGGCCAGGACAGGCCGCGATACTTATAGTCGCGCGTGAATTGATAGGAGGGTGACGGACCGAACTCATGCTGAATATTTTGCTCGGGCAGCACGCAGTGCACCTTCCGGAATCGCGATGGACGCCGGGCTAATTCGCAAATGGCCCGTGGGGTGATCGAATCACCAGATAAAGATCTGATGTACGTGCCTTGCATTTTCGCTGCCACCGCCCGCTCGGGCTCGAGCCCCGCCTGCGGTCGTTCGCGTGACGACTTCATGGCCGCTCTCCGCGCATGCTACCCCTCGCCGCGGACTGCCTCGCGCGGTGCAGTCAGGCCGTCTCAAGCGGAGCGCCTGGCTCTGGCTAGCACGAACACTATCGGAGAAATATGGGAGATACACAAAATCACGTCGGAGAGCGGCCAGCGGTGAGATATGCCCTTCGTGACGGCCTCTCTCATGACCGTTCTCGCTCGGCGGGAAGATCTACAGATGCAAGACCGGAGCCACCCACAGCACAAGCAGTGCCGTCGTCCCATGTGATGCAAAACTCTAATCTGGTTCCAATGGCCGAGCGCCCAACGTGGACGTCGCGACTCGACCGTCCAAATATTAGATGTCGAAACACGTCGTTCGATGCCGACGCTGCTCGCAGTTATGGAGGATGCACACGACAAGCAACGGAAGTTGTACGGGATTCTCCGCTGCACCCGTCCGTGTGTCAGGTTGGCGATCACAGCGGTCCATATGGAAGCGTTGCTGCGAGGGTCAGCTGTTATCGACCACTAGCGTTCCCAGAGAATTAGCCTCAGAAATCCACGAGTCTCTTTGCTCAAGTGGTCCAGAATCCATGTGGAAGATTCGCCGAGACGGTTATTCCGCGCCTTCCTCTTTCTGAAGTATGGTGCGAGCGATACCACTCTGGGGAGCGATACCCACAGAGATAAACGGAAGAAGGGAGAGGTGGAGGGCGGACAGCAAACTCTGTCCAGCGGCAAGACGATGTTGAATAAAGTCGGCTGGGTTGAGATGCTTCACATATCTAAGAGCGCATGTGGCTCGCGATAATGTTTGAGGCGTGTATCTATTACTCACCTTCCTCGAGGTCAGCCGCCAAGCATCGATGCCGATTGAGTATTGGGCTCTTGGTGCATTGTAGACAAGACAGCATGCAGCATGGCCAGATGCAACATGCGCAGAGCACGTTATCGAGCTACGTACCTGAGTCTCTCGAGCCTTGACACGTCCCTTGTTTCAGCAGTGCATCCGCGCTGGCGGCGGCATCTGAACAAATGAAGATAACCGAGTCGAACGTATGGAACACGGCGCGGGACAAGCGATACATACTTTCATCCGGCGGAAGGCAGCATCTCATCGAAGATAGCGTTCTCGACCGCATGGTGGTCATCCAGGCACGACGCACATACAACATCCTCCAGATTCAGCAAGCTAAAATCGAAAAAGCTAGATTCTTGTCTCAAAATAGACGCCCACCAGCATGTTACGGGCTCGCCGGGAATTCGAACTTCGAAGTCTACAGCATGTGCAAACAGAGGATACTCTGCACTTCGTATTAGACTCTTCCAGTACCCGCCTCTAGGCTCACTGGGGAGATGAATAAATCACAAATAGGGGTGATTAGCGCAGCGCCAGGGCTGATTGGCGTTGAGGCAAAGCGCAGGCTCGCCGCGGGCCAGCACCACTAACCACTGCGCATCGCTAAGGATGCATTCCAAATTCGACCAGGGCTATCGCGAAGGCACTCGTTGAACGTTTGAACAGCTCTTTGAGTCCGGCCGTCGCCCGCGGTTAGGTTTCACGTGCTGGGGGGAGCCTGCCCAGCCCTCCGCGCTTCCAAACGCATTTCTTGCGAGCATTCAACGTTCATGCTAAAGACGCCCCCGGTGACCCACTGGCCGGTACTTGAAGGCCGTTTTATGCGACGTAGAGCACTTGCCCACGCGGGCATCATTTCCGCTGAGGTATTGACGGTGCAACTAGAGGGTCGATTTCGTGCAGGCTGATTTTGCCGTTCCCGCGACGCTGGTCGGGGAGGATGCGTCGGACCCGAGAGCCTAGACCCGCCACACACGCTCCTCTATCGGAACGTAAACCTCAGCTGCGTTCAGGAGAGAAGGAGGTCAGTCGACGCCACAACTGCCTGAGGCCCCGCGTTCGGTCATGTAAGCACTAACGCCACTGTGCGAATACCACCACAGTGTCAATGTCGTCATATCGTCCTGCCGCCGCACAGCGGATGAAGAGTACGTGCAGCAGGAAGGAGAGATACGCACGTCGGCAGTGCATGCATTGCAAAGCGCATATATCCAATCAGAATGATACCGGTCCCGAGGCACCTCGGCCGAAGCTCTAGGCGTCCAACTCAGGCCTGCCAACATCGCACTGTACGCACTTCACCGGGCAGAGATGTTGGGCTTGTCGTTCCTCATGCTTCTTCGTTACGTCGTTGCTACATTGCTGCCTTCTCGGCGTAAGGGTCAAGATGCGGGGTAATAAATAGTAGCGCAAGCAAGCTCCGAGGCGGGCTCGACAGGGACCTAGAAGCCCGCGGTTGAGCTTGGCTGCATTCCACCATGACTGAAGAATGGACGAGGGCTTGATCTAGGATCCATGAGATGGCTGTGGACGGACGAAAGACGAAGCAGCGCAAGTGTTTCAGCCAGATTAACCTTAACCCTACTCCGACAAAGAGAAGCCGTGTGAACGGCCTTCCTGGTTCGGACGCTCACGACGAAGCAGACGGGGCGCCCGACTACACTCGACAGCTCGAGCTTGATAATTTTACACTCTGAGGCTTGACTCTTTCTATCCTCACGAAGCCTGCCGTGTCTGAACGTGGAGGACCAAATTATCTTGAACACAGTCTTTACTCTCGCAAACGCACACCAGATTATTGCCTTTGGCGGTGATAGCAGTCGCTGGAGTCACAAACAACTCCACGTTTGACAGATAGCGGCACACGATCCACAGCAGCCTGTGTGCAAAGTGAGTCATTACTGACTCGTCCAACATGTCCGTACTGATAGTTAACAGATATTTTCACTATCTGTTCCCCACTACTTAAGCATCGCGTATGTGTGCACCATAGCATCCCGTAGAGCGAGCTTTGCACACAGCTTCGCAGTCCTACGACGCTTCAAGACCAAGATGGCTACATCACAGACGATAGACCTCTCCGATGCCTTCTCGAAGCAGAAGATAGAAGACGAGGATCATGAACTCATCGAGAGCCTCATCAGGCTGTCGCAGAAGTCGCCAAAGCTCGTCAAGTCTACCACCTACGAGGCTCCCGCAGATCCCAACATCAGCATACGAAGCTGGAAGATGAACGAGTTCAAGTATTACGATATTCCCTCGCCGTTTCCGACGCTCGCCAGGGGCCTATTCACCCGAGACATCACCGTTGACGGCGAGGAGAAGCACAGGATCGTAGCACGCGGCTACGACAAGTTCTTCAACATCGGGGAGGTGCCATGGACCACGGTACGTCACGCGCCAGTCTGGCAGTATCGACAATTCCTGATCGCTGACGAAGCTCAGTGGGGCTCGCTCGAGGCACACACGAAGCCGCCGTACACGCTCACGCTCAAGTCGAACGGGTGCATCATCTTCATCTCGGCGCTCACGCCGACGAAGCTGCTCGTCACCTCGAAACACTCGCTCGGGGGCAAGAAGGACGGCTCGGAGGCTACGCATGCGCAGGTTGGCGAGCGGTGGCTCCGCAAGCACCTATCAGACGCCGGAAAGACGGAGGAGCAGCTTGCCCAGGTGCTTTGGGAGAAGAACTGGACAGCGGTAGCTGAGGTAAGTGATTCTCCGTCTCTCAGCGACAAAAAGCCAGTATTAACGTTCATTGCAGCTCTGTGATGACTCCTTCGAAGAACATGTCCTGCCGTACTCGAAAGAGCAGACCGGCCTTCACCTGCACGGCATCAACGAGTGCAGAAAAGAGTTCCGGACAATGCTGCAGGAAACTGTCGATGGGTTCGCGCGCGAGTGGGGCTTCATCACCACACAATCCATCGTTCTCAAAACCATCCCCGCGGTGAAAGAGTTCACGGAGGAAATTGGTAAGGCGGGCAAGTGGCGCGGGCAGGCGCTCGAGGGCTTCGTCGTGCGAACACACGTCTCGGCATCACCATCAAAGCCGGGCGGGGATGCGAGCGCGTCGCCGTACGCTCCGGGCTCGTCCTTCTTCTTCAAGGTCAAGTTCGACGAGCCGTACATGATGTACCGCGACTGGCGCGAGGTGACAAAGACGCTGCTGTCGAAGGGCGCGTCGACATCGAACGTGTCCAAGGCGAAGCTGAAGCGGCCCGAGACGCAGGTGTACGTCAAGTGGGTCATCAAGGAGATCAAGCGCGAACGCACCCAGTTCGCTGAGTTCACCAAGGGCAAGGGCATCATCGCTACCCGGGAACGGTTCTTGAACTGGCTTGAGAGCGGAGAGGGCCAGCACGAGCTCGATGATACCAGCAAGGAGGACCAGGCCAAGATCGAAGAGGATAAGAAGAAGTTTGGGAAGACCATCATTGTTCCAATCGCTATTCCCGGCGTCGGTGAGTATCGCCAGGTATACGTGTGACATTTTGTACTGAGTGAATAACCCCTTAGGCAAAACCACCATTGCTATCGCACTGGCGCACCTCTTCAATTTCGGCCACACTCAGAGCGACGACATCGCCAGCAAGAAGGCAGGACCACAGTTTGTCAAGAATGTTGTCAAACTTCTGCAGACTCATGATGTTGTCATCGCTGACAAGTACGCTATCCGTACGACTTTTTGGAAACCTGAACTGACCCCGGTCGCGTAGAAACAACCATCTACGCCAGCATCGTCAGGCCCTTCGTGACGCGACGAAGGGCATGCGGCCGCCCGTGCGCCTGCTCGCGTTCGACTGGTCGTCGGACCTACCTCCGGCAACAGTCCACCGTATATGTGGCGACCGCATCGTTGCGCGGGGCGAGAACCACCAGACGCTGCGGGCAGACGTCGAAGGCAAGGCGCACGACGAAGTCGTCTGGATGTTCCTCTCTCAAACCGAGGAGCTGCTCGACAACGAGGTCGACGAGCTCGTGGAGATGAGCGTCGAGGAGTCTCTCGAGGACGCCCTCGCTCGTGCAGTCGACGCTTGCGTCCGGATCCTCGGTGTGCCTCGGCCATCTGCGGAGCAGATGGGCCAGGCGCTCGCAGCCGCGCGGGGGTACTCGCCCACGACGCGGCGCGAGACCAAGGAGAAGAAGGAGAAGGCGCGCCAGCCTCGGTACTACGCGCTCATACCCGAGATCGACCTCGAGCGGCTGCTTGGCAAGCGCTTCAAGGCGGACGACATCTCGCTGCGGGGCAAAGAGTTCTACCGAGCCTTGAAGGCAAACGACCGCGTCACAGACCGGCCACACATCACGATCGTGCACGAGGGGAACCTGCCCGCGGTGAGCGAGCTCTGGGAGCGCACAAAAGAGCTGCACGCGCTCGCCGCGCCACCGCTGTTCTCGCTCCGGCTGAGCGACGCCGTGTGGAATGACCGCGTGATGGCGCTCGTTGTCGAGGACGTCGCTGTTGCTGCCGAAGCGGCCGATCCCGAGGCGAAGGGCGCCGAGTTCCTCGCGAACGTACCCGAAGAACTTCGGAGTCAACTGCACGTCACGGTTGGCACGAAGGCGAAGGACATCAAGCCCGTGGAGGCAAGAGACCTCGTCGAGCAGTGGAAAAGAGGCGAGACGGGCATCGAGTCGTGTAAGCTCGATGACGTCTTCGTCAAAGGCAGGATTCGCGGTCTCTTCAACTGATATTTTTGAATTAGCAGTTGCTTAGTAAATTTTTTGTTTTACGCTCTCATGTCGCGCATCACTACTCATTCGCACTGCTTTGAAGCCCATGTAATATCTGCTGTCATATTTAGCATCCCCACTCCAGCATGTTCTGCGGCAAAGTCCATTCAACTTCATGTACATTCTCAAGCAAATTGACATTCAATGGCTCCTTTATCACTCGCATAAGCATGTGGCAGGCCGCAAATCGAGCGGCGCGGCGTCGTACAGCGCTACAAGATCATGTACAGAAAGGCCGAAAATCGGGCGGGTGATGCCTCAGTCTCACCCTAAGTTTGGCAGCGAGTTGAGGAGATACAAATGACAGAAAACGAGGACTGACCAACCCAATCCTGGCCCCCATCTAACCCTATCCTCCAGCACAAGTGGGTGGGATATAGCGCAAACGACGAATGCGCCGTCTCACTCCAACTATGCGCCACGCTGCTCTTTTCATCGATCGCACTCTTTCCCTTCGCACGTACATGCCTCGTCTTACTCCGTATCATGAACCGCAGCCTGAGCTGTCCTCGTCACTTCCTGCTATGCACCGCTTGACACCATGGGAGCCAAGGGACAAGCAGGCGCTGATTCTATAGCACGGCTGCCGGTGACCGTCGCCAGTCTCCAGATGGCATGAAGGCCCGCAATGTGATAGCTGTCCTGCATACGTAGAGACAAGAAGGTATAGATGTACTCCTTGACCCTGGCCCGGCCGGGAGATATTCTGCGAACGTGGAGGATGATATACTACCGGAAGAGTAGACGAGAGTGAACGCGGCGTACACATACTGGTGCAACGCAACGTTTGGTGTCTAGTAAGCAATTGAGACAGGTCCCCTGGGTAGATGAGTATGGTAACGTACCGAGATAATGCAATGTCAGTAATAATCAATATTTCGAGCTCATGTGGCATTACCATCAGACTGCGAAGTTAGATTCACTCATCGCCGCAAGCGAGATCACTTAGAAGGAATTATACATGCGGCATGACGTGTTTATAGAATGCATAGTGAACATGCAAAACGGATATGACAAGGGTATGGCGAGCCGCGGCCAAGCAATTTTGACTCAACTCCCGCGCGGTAATGCAGAGCAAGCAGCCCTCCCCTCATGCTCCAGCGCAGGACCCAGAAAGTCTCCTCGACACCGGAAAGGCGGCTTATGCCTTCTTGGCGGCACGGACAGCCTTGCGCACACGGTCCGCCCGCTGCTTCTTCGCGACCATGACAACGAAGCGCTGGAAGTCGGTGAGTGACCGCCTCTTTGCGACGGCGGTGCGACGCTGGGCGAAACTCGACTTCTCCCACTTTTCAACAATGCCCTCCTTCTCTAGCTGTTTCCTGATGGCACCAGAGCCGGCCGCACGGGGGAGCTTGGTAAGGCGGAGGGGAATGAGGGTCAGGTGACGGTAGGGCGCGGATTGGCGGGGGACGCCAGTTGTTGGGCCGTCGATGATTGCCTAGATGTACGCCGGAACATTTAGGACATCTCCGTGCATTCGATCCTTGCGTTAAAACGCACCCGGTTGTGGTCGATGACCTCAGCAATAACGGCGATGCGACCTTCTTGAGGACCGGACTTGAGGAGGACAACTGAAGGCAGCGCAGAACCCGTCAGCATTCTCATTCTGAAGCTAGAGAGAGCTTCGGACGTACCCCGTCCAACCTCGACGAAGCGCTTGAAGTTTGACTCTGTGGCCTGCAAGCACCGCAGGATGCGTTAGCAAAGGTCCACAACTCACTAATGAGACCATTCTGAACGCCGCCGTCGTGTTCTAACACCCGCTAGGACTCTCCCAACTTGCTTAGCCCGGCTACTGCCTCATCCACGCGGCCATACCCTCATCCACCTGACCTGAGCTGCATCCACCCTCGAAACCAGCCTTTCCGCCACTTGTTTTGCCACGAACGGGTCCAGTATGAGTCCAAGGGGTAGATAATCCTGCTTACCGGCATAGTGTATCTTGAGGCTATCGATGTCGAGGATTTCTGTCTTGCCGCTGTTCGTCGCTTGATTCAGCGGGGCGTGCGAAATGGCTAATCACGTGGTGTATCTAGCGCTAAATACCCCGCCCCTGCGCCCGCCTTTCGCATTGCACCCCCACCTCCATCGACTGTACGCTGTCATCGGCATCCTATGCGAGCTTACTGAGCCTCTGGAATTCTCGTATTTTGTCTTCGATGCTTTTGCGGCCGTTCCAGTGCCATCCCTCGAGAACCCATGGCTATGCCATCGAAGCAGTACTCCAGATTCGATGTACGATCTACCACGCGGTCCTCGGGGATGAGCGCCATCATAATTGTGGCTTGATTCGAGGCCATAGTTGTCCATCTCTGCCAGGCAACTTGCGCAGCGAGCAGCGATATGTCCTCCCGAGTCAAAGCCAAGGCGTCGCGGGCGGCGGCGGTGCCGAAGGGGGCGCGCTCCAAGACTCTGCGCTCGGTCGACACGAACGTCTCAGCGTACGACCGCACGGACCCGTTCACCGCGCTCAACACGCTCCTCAGGCTCCTCGTCTCGCTCCCGACGCGCCTCGGCGGCTGCCAGTACCGGCTCAGCCCCGACGAGCACGCGCTCTCGCTGCACCTGCTCAGCATCGTCGAGCCCTTCGTCGGCGTCGCCGAGTCGCAGCGCTCGTTCACACGCCAGCCCACCGAGCTGCTCGACGCGATCGTCGGGCACGTCGACTCCAGGCAGGACCTGCTCGCCCTCGCGCTCTCGTGCAAACGCATGCATGCGATTGTGTTTCCACGGCACTTTGAATATCGCGTCATCCGCGGCAAGGTCAGCTCCCTCCGGCTCTGGAACCACCTTATCGTCAATCGGTCCCTCGCACGTAACATACGCGTTCTCGAAGTTTTGGATGAGAGAGCGGCTGCGCAGGAGGTTTTACCGTCTGGAATCTCGACCACCGATACAGACCTGGAGTCCACGGACGATGAGCTTGGATTACATGTGAAGCACGAACGGTTTCTGGTCTCCGCTCTGACCCGGATGACTACCCTGCGCTCGTTCACTTGGTCCTGCAACCATTCGCCCATATCCATGGAGCAAGTTTGGCCGGCCCTGCTGAAATGCCGGACCCTAAGCCACATCGAGATCAATGACAACTTGCTCTTCGCGCCAGGGAATGAAGGGAATAACAGTCAGGATCAGAGCAAGAAGTCCATCGTTGTGCGTTACCCGCATATATGACTGCATTTTTTGGATTAAGAGCGCAACAGCTACCTGAATTGCGAACGGTGTCGCTGAAGTCGACCAAGCATACCTATGGCGCGACCAAGACACCGTCACTGACGCGTCTATCGACAATGCTGAACAACTGTCCAAACTTGGAGGTAAAGTTCTCAAACTACTGGTTCTAGGACGCCTGCTGACGTCCGACCAGGATCTGACTGTAGGCTATGCACAACGCCGTAGCGGAGACTACCTGAGCCCCGTCGCCGACGACTTACTGCTCTGCGGGCGCTGGCCTTATCTCCGCTCTCTCACCCTGACGAACCTCTGGTGCCCGCCGCAGACGGGCCTGGACGTCACGATGTCTTTTCTCGCCGCCCATGCCAACCTGCAGGTCCTGCATCTCGACCTGTCGCTAGGCGCGGCGGCGGCGGCAGGCCCGCTCGTCCTGCCCGCCGACGCTCTCCCCCGCCTGCGGGAGCTCCGAAGCAACCGCGACTTTGCGAGCGCGGTGCTGCACTGTCCGTGCTCCGCGGACGGCGGGCGCCCACTCGAGATCCTGAAAGGCATGAAGCTGAGCGGCAGTGGATGGGACGACAGGTTCCTGGCGGGGCTGAAGAAGACTGGGGCGAGCATGAAGCGTATCGAGCTTGCGGGGTGGAACGACGTCGAGGACGTCCGACGGCTCGTGTCGTGCGTTCCGAAACTCGTCTGGCTGGATGTCGGCAAACGGGCCAACAGCGCACCCGCGGCAGCGTCCTCCGCGCCTGCGAACCTCGTATGTACGCTGCCCTCTACAGAATGTGCTGCTCGCTGACGATCGCGCAGGTGGAATGGCTCACCGTCCTCTCGCCGCTGGCCGAGCTGACGACGTTCCATGGCGTGCGGCTCTTCTACGAGGTGTCCGCGACGGACCCGACGAGCGCCGTCTCGCTCTCGGAGCGCAGCCGTCTGCGCAAGAACGAGGAAATCGCGTCGACGCTCGTGTGGAAGTGTGCGAAGCTCCGTCGTGTCGACCATTGGGAGGAAGGCTCCGGCAAAGTCGTTGTCCTCGTGCGCGACGGCGAGAAGGCCAAGTACGAAGTCAGAAGGGTCAAGGCGTGAATCGAGCCCGGCTAGATGAGATATGGACGCTGTTGCGAATGGAATGGTTGTATACTGAAACGCGTTTTCTGAAACCTCCGTGGATGCGCTCACTAGCTCGTAAAAGTGTAGAATTATCAAAGAGAGCAATGTCGGATTGTACATTCGCTCGTGACAGTCCGCAAATGCAGAGTTTCGCTCTATGTTTGACCCTGTTGTGGCTAGCTTCGTGGCGTCCGGTGACGCCTTGCTCCCTGAGCTCGGCCTTTCGTCCAGCCATAGGTCCAGTATACGGCTAGTTAGTGCGTACATATTCTATCTTAGCCTTGTCTCGTATAGGTTCTGGATGCCCTCCGCTGATGAGGCCTCTGTAATTGCAGGCCTTATCTAGTGCTCATCGACGGTACGCTTCGTGATAGCTTTGTCACACTCAACTTCGTCACGCCCAGGCCCCCATACAACAATGTTGTTTGGCAAGTCATGGCACAGTTTCCGATGTCTACTTCGACGCTGACGGCCACTGCCTTAGAGGTTGTAACCTTACGGGCACGTATTGAACCGAAGACGATACTGCCACTTGGTCGTTGTGCAAGCAAAATTTGGTTCAGCCCGCGACTTTTGCGAGGAAACAAGACTCGCCACTTCTGCCGTGTTTTGACGTGGTATTCTTAGTGGTCACTGACGTGACGCCTTCCTTTCCGTATGTCCCTTGCGGCCGTACTGTATCTACGCTGTATCCAGAGTCCAAGGCCGTTCGCAGCTTTCTCTCGTCCCACTGCCCACTGTTCCCTCCAGACCCGCAGCAGGAGACTTCGAGAGAACATGTCCACGCGTCCCTTCACTGCCCTCACCGACGAACCCGGTCACAGCATCGACTTCATCAGAAATTGGCACCTGCTCGGCATACCGAGCAACGGCCTCGGTGTCGACTTAGTCCAAGTCACGAATCGCCTTTATCCGGACAACACCCGCGAAGTTGTTATGCAGAGGCGAGCGTACGCCGAACGGATGGGCACCTCTATTATGCCAACGCCTCGCGACAAGCGTTCTGAACGGTTCGGGCCGTCCAAAATGGGTCAATTCTGCGAGCAGCCGACATGTATGGGCTCAAAACTTACGGCTAACATGCTAAAACGTTGTGCGAAGGTGAGACTTTAAGGTGTCACCGCTTCCTCGCTTGCTCACTCAGGAGATATCTTCGTAGTGTCTCCAAGTGTCGTATTGTGGCAAAGAGGTACGCTTCTTTCGAGCGGCTGTATGCGCCGCTGATGGCAATCCCTCGTTAGTGCCAGAGACTCGATTGGTAAGTTTCGCTCTTCGCTTATATTGATGCAACGCTTATGCAGCGCATAACAGGCCTCGTCGCAAGTAATACTGCGCCCGTCTCGTCAGCGGCGGGACGGCCTTCTGCGGTTCGCACGCTACTTTGCGGCATAACGCGAGCTGGTGTACCTCCCGAAATGCTCTGCCTTTGCGGCCCTCGGGCTGCGCCACAGCCGAAATTCTGGTCTTCGCAACCATCTCATTGTCTTTTGTACGTCCATCCCCGGCACCGTCAATGGCTCGGGACGGATCTTCCAAATCTCCCGCGTGATACTCGAGTCGATGGACGTCTCCATCGCGGAAAACATCTTATAGCCCGTTCCCGGCCTTAGCATGTGTCGAGTGATCTTTAAGCCAGACACCGAAGGCGTCGAATCGGTCTACTTCACGCCCATGAACATCGAATATGACGCGATCGGCCGCGTAAGTCGTATGTATGATGAAGATCCTATCTTCCTCCTCTTGTAAGTCTCGTCCGCGGCCTGTGATTATCATTTGCATTACTCACTGCTGTATCAAGGCACCTTAATCAGAGGATACGCGACGACATCGAAGATTTATACGGGCCGCGTATTGTAAGACATTAATTGGAGCAATTATTCGCCAATCGCTGAATATTGTTTGTCTTCCCATAGCCGGCTTGAGATCACGCCGTTTTTCGCATGCCCAGCCCGCCGGCTCTTCGCCGGTGTAAAATCTATCTTTTATTGCAGCTCGTCTTCTCCTCTTTCAGTTACAGTCTTAGAAAAGGCGGGAAGATAATGCGGAGTGCAGTAGTGATATCCATCTCCAAAATATCTGTACAACGAAAAGTTTGGAAAGCACGCGATGTTTTGTCTGGCTCGTTCCCAAGTTGCGGAAGGTCAGCGGCGATTCGGTTCGCCAGTCAACCGAGATTTCGCGCCAAGGGCGGCTGTTCTGCATTGCTGAGGCTCTGCGGACTGCACGAGTCGTGGTTTCAGCTCAAATTACATAAAGCGCGTAATCGTGCTTCGCACCAAAGCATCCGCCAAACAAGCCTAATAATACATAAATACTCGAAACGGCAACATTTGAAGACAGTATATCACACAGATCAATGAAGAATCGGTACAACTTCTAGTCCGATTCAAGCGAGCCTGAGAGAGGTAATATCGGGACAGAAAGCTAGGAAAAGACGGAAGCAGAGCGCTATACGACAACTTGTAGAAACGGCCTCTTCGACACAAAAGCGGCTTGTCTGCTGAATGGGCTCGTCATATGCGACTGTTGCGGCTCAACCTTGCATAACCTGCGAAAGCACCTGTGCTAAGCCGTCAGAGGGCATTAAAAAGCTGGGGATGTACCTGATTGACGAACACCAAGGATTCTGCGGGGGCCGGCGTTGGGGTCACGGCCGCAGAGACGAGCGAGGCTGGCTCCCCTTGGCTTATATGAATCAAGTCAGCGTGCGGCGCGCACTGCGGGCCCGCATGCTGCACGAAGCTCTCTCCCAGTCGATTCTGTGAATCTTCAGTGGCGCAATAGACGTCATGGTCGCCGTCGTCTTGTAAATACTCTGACTGGCTATGGTCCAAGGGCTCTCCGATATTTCCAAGAAATCCGGAGGACCTCCTGAAGCTCAGAGAGAGGCTGGAACTGTGGCCCTCGTCTAATTCGCTCTCACCAGTGGAGTGATCGGGTTGGCGAAGGTTGAGCATGAAGCGTTGCATCAGCAGAGAGGGCTTTGATGAGTTACGGTGTTTAATTAGCGAGTAACTTCCCTCTCAAGAATCGTGGAATATTTACCATAGACTGGAGAAAGCCATCTGCATAGCTGCCCTGTAGCCGCGAGATTAGCATTTGCAAATATACAAGTGAGGTCTCCTAATCACGTTCGAGAACCTGTCCGAGTAGGTCAGAAGCTGCAGAATATTGACGCCCAGAAGAGCACTCGAGAGGCATATTTCAGATGGAGCCATTATGCGGTTTCTTTCTTTCGACTTACATAAAGTAGAGTGTCCCTAGATACACATTACATGAGTCGCACTGTGTATGGCCGCGCAAAAGGGGTATACAGACCGTCTCGGAGCAGCACGGTCGTAATAGTAGACGAACTGAGTTTGAGCCGTCGCATCTGGCGGAATAGCCCGAACGACTTCGCCCACGTCAGCACGAGGACGACGACATCAACGGCGATTGCGCTGCTTCTGGTGAGATAGAGCACTGCATGCATGTATACAATGTTATCAGAGCGAAAAATCTGGTAAGGTAGACATACAACTGAGGAAAATGGTGAACACGCAGCAAAGAGGCATCACAGGCTAATACGCACTCATTGTTGATCTTCTGTGAGACATTGATGAAGGTGGCACAAGTAGAACCGAACGGTGGAATATTCTGGTACGCGATGCTCGTATGCACCCAACCAAACTAAATGGAAGTCAGTACGGGTTACTACGGGACTCATATCAGCGGTTGCCATACGGTATTTGTTCCGATCGGGACCGCTCCGAGAGTCAGTGTTATGAAAAGAAAGATGTACCTTAATCTTGACCCTCGCCAAAGTGCATATACTCGCAGAGCGGAGAATACTACACATTATCTATGTTAGTCCTAGGCCAGTTCACTAGCAGGCACACTTACGTGCAGTCTGGGCGACGACTATCACGTATGCTAGTTCTCTAAGCGTATTAAGCGGGAGGCACCTTGTAGGAGGTGTGACTGGTTTTCAGAAAAACAAAACGAAAGTTGCGAAAGGAGAAAGTAAACGCCTAGAGAGTGATATCATGACGTCATCCCACCTTTAAGCAACCTTTAATAGACTTACACGAAGTCCGCCCACTAATAGCTCCCGGAATTGGATCCAAAAGCATGAGCCACCGAACGCTCAGCAACAGCAGCGTCGTCGCCGTAAACTTCCTCCTCCATATGACGGCTATTTCTCTGTCGAGTGTTATGACGAATTCGTACGCCACAAGGCCTGAAAAGGAGAAAATGAACACAGTGCCGTCGAGACCTGGCAATGTTGATGGCCATAACGTACAGACTACCGAGTATCCCAAATAATTTAGTACCAATCTGAATACATATAAAGAGCGTCAGCAAAAGAATAAACACATTTGAGGGAGAGGAGAGAAGTCTCGTACGTTTGCTCCAGTTCTTGCTCGAGGGCGTTGTTCGACTGAGCCATGCCGCTCATGGCGAGAAGCTCAGGAGGTACAGATCCAAGGTAACTGAATCACCCGTTGGCACTATATACTGCAGGATATGTGGTCCGGCCTGTACTGCTATATCGGGAAGTCTACTAGTAGGATCGCAGTCCGCGCCAGCCTATTTGAAAGTTGCTTTGTTAGCCATCATGATAGTGTCGTCGTCATTGGGTTTGGTGTGAGAGCCTGAGCGAAAGCAGCGCAGTCTATCCCAGGCCTAAACACGAAGATCACGTAAAAGGAACGATGCGGGAGTTCCTATTTGAAAATGGTCAACGTAGCTTATGTTCAAATTACCAGTTTGAGAATGTCTGCAGGGTTGACACGGAAGTCAATGAGGGGCTGCAGCCAAAGTAGCGGCAGCCATCGAAGTGCTAGCACCAGAGCTGCCTCGCACCGCACAGCATCGTGTTTCAGATTGATAATAGAACAGCGTGGTGAGTGCATCGTAGACCGCATCAGGAAAGTGCCCAAACGTCTTGACGTCGCCCGTGCGTCTTGGGATTGGACCGACATGCCTTGGGTGCCTTGATGATGTTGAGTAACACCTCCAAGACAGGTCTCAACAGCGCCTAAGGCAGACTAGGGCATGTCATCTAATCCAAGACGCCTCCGACACCTGGAGGTTTTCCTGATGCGTCATATTATGACACCGTCTCTTCGATTCAAGATATATCACGGAGAGTGCCATGATCATACATAGGAATGCGGGATGTGATGCACATGCCTATATTTATCCGTGCAAAAGCTAATCAACAATCTGATTTCTATGTAGCGCTGTTGTACTAGGAATTGAGAGAGTGAGAAGAACCTCAGACGAATTAAGCAAAAGCCGGGATGGACCTATGAAAAGCGGCGATATACCACTATTCCGGCGTAAAAATCCCCAGACCTCAGTGTTTCGGCTTCATGGGTTCTGTGTACATCAAGATACAAACTCGTAGCTCGGGATTCAATGGTGCACTGTGAGCAAAGCAAGGTTTTTGATTTCCGTACACGAAGAAGTACCTCGCATATTTTGCAGGTTTTGGGCTACTGGACGGATGTTGCGGCAGATTCTAAGCCTTTCGGGGCCCCGTTTCGCTCCAGGGCAGTTCCAGCAAGCCGCCTTCCCGCCGTCGCTTCTAGTATGTGCATGAGATTCCTTCGGGATATGAAGCGCAGAGACAGGTTTCCGTGCAGTAGTGCATAAGCGTATTTAACATCGATCTCAACTCGTCATTGATTGTTTGGGGCTGGTTGACCGTTCTTGCTCGATTAAATATCTCAGCTTCGAAGCGTAGTCGTCCAGCAATTTTCCCACGTTATCTAGGCCGCATTCGACAGGCTACGAAGATCTCATATGCAAGCTGCGACTTCTTTGAGAGCTCGACGCCGTGAGCGGAAATTCACGTGATCCCTCTGCCAGCAACCGAGCGCCACGAAGCCGGCGCTATGTCGCCCTTTACTCCCGGCCGTTCGACGACAGTTCAGGCCAGTCTCGGGAGATAAAAGCAGCTACAACACTCAAAAGGGTTTTTGGGTATAATATGTTACAAATAACACGCATACGTACAAATCTCTGCCCTCTGATCCTCCCTTTTTCGACAAAATCAACCAGACCATCCGGATGTGATCCAGTAATGCCAGGCATACACCAGGCAGCGCGGACTGACAAGGGGGGACCTGAAAAGCTTGGATAAAAAATCAATAAAACACTCACCGCTGAAGCGCAAGTGCACTGAGAGCTGCTGCTGCTGCTGCTTGGTATCTTTTTTTCTTTCTTCCGCTTGTTTATAAAGGCCCGTAGAACTACTGCTACATGAGGGCCTGTGCTACAGCCAAAACAGGGTCTGTGCCGGTTCACCTGGTCGATCTAAAGCCTGGGGGCGCAGAGGAATTTGCAGAACTGCACCAGACAGCCCTGGCCTCGCACAAGCACCAAGCCAGTCGATGGACTCTACCACACCAAACATTAGACCTACCTCTAATGGGTCCCCTCACCCACACCCTTTATCTAACCAAAACACAAAATTTATCATGGTGACCCCTGTTAGGTATGGTCACCGGTGGTCGAACGGTTCCACTCCAGCCGTCCTATGACGATTCACACATTTACCTGTGTTCCTCGTCAACCTGATTGCCCCAGTCATCCTCGTCTGCAGGCAGATCTTCAGCGTCGGAAAACGCCTTGAAAGTTTGACCTATGGGTTTGTATCTGCCCTGGTAGCCAAACTCTTGAGCTAGTGCCTCTTCCTCATCCGCAGGGAGGCTTTCATTGCGGTTGAAAAGTATACGGTATCGGGATACCGCGTACTTTGCATACCACTGGGTAAATTTTCTTTCTGCTTGGTCCGGGTTAGGGTATGATTGTTGCCACTTTCCCGGATCCATTGGTATGTCCCCTGGTCTAAGGAGACGGTTGTGGTGTCGAACCGCGCTGGAGTAGGTAGCTCTGCAGCGTTGTTCCAATTCTTTGGTGTAGTTGTTACGTTTCTCTTTGCGTCTCTTCGAGTGCATGAGAGCTTTCCAGATATGGACTGAAGTAGTAAAGTCCAGTCCGTTGTTGGCGTCTGCTGCTTGGTATCAGCGTCCCTGTTGAGACGCCGGATACGAGCGAAGCGGGACTTTGGTCGTGACATTCTGTCACGAGATGTAACACACCAGTCTGACGCGCGCGTTACAAGACGTCACGTCTGACCTAACACGGAAGGTGCGGAGAGCGCCGACAACATAGACGGCACAGAAACCCCCAACCCCGGGACCCTCTGGACAAGGCGAGGTCCGCAGACCCGGAGACAGGGAGGCCCGATCGGCTGTCGTTGCTTATCATGTCTACGCTCAGTCACTGTCGTCGGATTTTCCAGCTGTCGATCTGTTCAAACCCTGAGCTTGACAAATTACTCGTGCACGTACGCTGCTGTGCTCGTCGTATTTGACGAGTATCAGCTCAACATGAACTATGCGCCATCTCCGAGCGACATTCCGCGCGTTCCAGGGTCTGCTGGTAGGGACACGCGAGGGGCACTGGGGTGAATATGAAGGATGCAAAGAAAGTGGATGAGGTCCGTCCAACGTCCGCTCTGCACCGAAAGTATCGCCCTGGTATTGACTAGGTTACTACGTACAACCCCTCTGAGACGAAGAACAGAGCTACCCGGTGTACGACTTATGCTGCAAATATTTACCGCGAAGGTTGGCCGGGCCGATTTTAAGAGGTGTAGTCAACCTGATCATTTTCGTCTCAGCTCGCAGAGCTGATCTGGTTGCACGTTGCGGCATCAATCGAAGACAACTATACAACTGCCATGTACATCAATTCAGACACCCTCAGTTTCACTTTTCCGGTACCTCTATTCCTGGTCCCGTCTTCTGCGAATTCCGAGCGCTTACCTGCGAACGTCTCCTCGTTTATCGCACTGGCTCGTCCCTTAGTCAGTACCTCGCCAGCCTCTGCGTACTGTAGCCTTCATGAACATCGTTACCACTGCCTCGAGCCACTACTGCGCCTTCTGCAGCAACCACAAGCGTTTCCGAGCGAGATCCTCCAAGTGCCGACACCATCATAAGGCCTCTAACAATGCAACTCGCGATCCTCATACCGGCCAAGGGAGGCGACATAATAACGGGTGCGTCTATTGGCTCACGTTTCTATCCTGACTTGACGCGCTTTCTGCAGGTTGAAGATGTGTAGCTCTTCTAGGCCAGTCTACGCTTCGCGTTCTCGCGCGGGGCCATCGTCCCTACAATCATCCTCTATCCCTCGAGCTGCGCGAAATACAGCCGAATCCTGGTCGGCTCTTCAACAAGGATGGCGAATTGAAGTGCGTAAATACGGTCTGGGGTCAGGAGCCGTTGATGAAGAACAAGAACAGTGGCAAAAAGGTCGACACTGTTTCGCAGTATGATTGGCGTTCAGCTAACGATGCTTGCTGGTAATCTCGTATCTGTGCGGACAGTGAAAATCTGGCTATCACATCCGTCCTTTTTGTGCTGACGGAGTCGACGAAATTCTCCTAGCTTGGCTCACGCCCTCCTCAGTGCTCAGAGCGCTTTGCGTCTAGAGTTCTGCGTTTCCTTGCTATCTGCAACGCCGTTCTGCGGCGGCAGAGCCGTATCTCCGGACGCAAATCGCTCATGCTCTGTCTAGGCCTTACACTTCCCTAAGCCACGGTTGTGCCGTCTTTGGCGACTGTTCATCGACGTTCCGGTGATGCACCACATGCGGCATGCCTTCATATCGGCGACCTGGCGAGACCGCTACACCAGAGACGATTTCGTACGGCGGATATTGAATGGTTTGGCTTACGGTATCATTTCATGTCATGTCATCTTTAAGGCAAAATAAACACATAGTGCACTCCGACAACAAAAGCGAGACCAAAATAGATGACATAGATAACTTCCCACTTATCTCTGCTCCGGCATTCGATCGCAGGGGCAACTAGCGAGTTGTAAAGCCCGTGCCGTTCGCTAGAGCACACTCGCATGCTGCACGAAACCCCCTTCAGGTCGATACCCTTGCTCTTCCGCTACGCTTGAGCGGCTATCGCCACTGTCGTCTTCTATCAGCTCCAGTTGATCGTAATCCAAGGGCTCCCCGATATTCCCGAGAAAATCTGAGGGCGCTCTGAAGTTTATAGACAAGAGTGAGAAGTGCTGTGCATCCGAGATGCTTTCCTGGTCATCAGTGTGGAAGCTGAGCTGGCGGAGGTTGAGCATGAAGCGCTGCACCAACACAGCAGGCTGTACACAGTGACACCCTATCAGCAAGGACTCTCCCTGGAGACTCGTTGCAAACTCACCATGAACTGAAGGAAGGCGTCCGCATAGTTGGCCTGTGATGATAATATCAGAATTTGTCAAAATACAGGCGCATCCTAATATTCACCTCAACAAAAGCATCCGTGAATGTCAGGAGCTGCAGAATATTCATAGCCAGAAGTGCACTTAGAGAACGTGCATTAGCGATGCTATTTTTAAGTCCGATTTCTTGGCCCTTAGCTTACACAAAATAAAGGGAGCCTAAATCGGCATTGTGTGAGCCGTGCCGTGTACGGACAAGTTGGAGACATGCATACCGTCTCGGAGAAGCACAGTAGAAATAGAGGAGCCGAGCTCGAGCCGTCGCATCTCTTGGAATTGCTTGAACGATTTGACCCATGTCAGCGCAAGGACGGCTATGTCAGCGGCGATTGCACTGCCTCTTGTTATAAAGAGCACTGCATGTGTACATATTATGATCATGATGCGAGAACGCAGCCATAAAATAGTAGACGTACGTCTAAATTGTAGGAAGAAAGATTGTCAGTGTACAAGCCCGGAACGTTCAACAGCTTTTGGATGAATCGTAACGTACTCATTGGTGAGCTTAGGCTGGATATTGACGAAGTTGCTGCAGTAAGTGCCGTGAATCGGGATGTCCTGGCACAAAAGCACGGTATGTACTGAGGCAAACTAGATAAAAGTCAGCTTTCGGTACGGTTTACCATATCACTCATACAACGCACAATGTTAGTTCCAACTGGAACTAGCCCGAGCATAAAGACGATGGTAGTAAAAACGTATTTCATCCTCGACTGTTGCCAGAGCGCATACACGCGGAGAGCGGAGAATACTACACAGAAGATCAGCCCTAGGATGATTGAATGGCAGACGAGCTTACGGGAAGTCAGGGTTGTGATAGCTAAGAACACCGTTTGATAAAATGAGTAAATCAGTTTAATCCTTGTGACAGATCATGCGGCGTGCTGCGCGTTAGAGAGGACTCCATGTAATAGTAAATATACGCCTATGGGCAATGTGAGCTTGCTGTCTGTCTTCGAATTTGAGTAGCATCAAGAGCTCACACGAGGTTTGTTTTGCAGGCATATACATCAAGATTACCCCCCAAAGCATGAGCCACCGAGTGCTCAACAGCATCATCGAAGTGGCCGTAAACTTCCTCTTCCACACCACTGCAATCTCCTGGTCGAGCGTAACGACATATTCATAAGTTACAAGGGCTAAAGATAACTGGTGAGCCCGGGGCTGCCAGGGCCTGACGACGCGACAACGTACCAATGAGCGAGCACGACACATAGTCTTGTGCTAGACTGGATATACACGAAGGGCGTCAGAGGTAAAGGGAGTATATTCTGGAGAGTAAGGAAGTCCCGTACAGTACTTGCAGTTCCTGCTTCAGGTCTCCATTCGACTGAGCCATGTCACCTCAGGATGTATTGCAGAGCGGTGAACTTGCTCGCGACCAATATATACCAGAACAGACGGCCGCAGATCTGCACTCCTCAGTACAGGTCGATCATAATCTGCGTTCACTCACCGCCACAGCCAGCCCATTGATCGATTGACCTAAGCGCAGATATCTGGGTTGATGACGCCTTGATTCACGATCCATTCGGCACAGCGAAACAAGCTGCGTACCAGGCATGAAGGGGCTATTAGTCTGTGATTTTGCACCATGGTCGAAGGCGAGTTTCCTAGCACTCTTGCCACACATAGCATAATCAATCAAGTCAGGCTAAGATACTTGTGTATGATAATAATAATAATCGCGCAGGAGGGATGTGCAGGTGCCTGTTGTATATTACTGAGCATCGCCCCGTCTACAGCTCCTCACAAGAGCGTGAGAAGGAAATAGGCGAGATGCTGTGAGGAGAAGATTATAGCCACCTTGTATCTGACACGGCTGATTTTCGTCCTGATGTAGAGATGGCACGGAACCAGCGAGAGGCGCTTCCCAGCGCGCAGAGCAGATGTCCGCCCACTTCAAGGAGAGACCGTGGGAGGTATCATGACCGCACACGGAAATGGGTAACGCACATAAGATACCATCGCAGCATGAAACATCCCGCGTGCTGCGACGATCTTCAGATGTGGCGTAAGGAACGCTGTGCATGCAGAACCTAATCAGGCGCGTATACCCCGGCCGAATGATGCTATCGGGATAGAAGCAGCGCAGGACCCCAGAAAGACCAAAGCAAAAGGGGCGGTAAATACGAACAGAACACCGCCACATCTTGACGTACTAGGGCTTGATAACATGGATTAGGTCCTCGGGTGAGTAATAGTATATGTGCAGAGCGAGTGCGCTCGTCCAACTTCACCGGTCACCTTCCAACGTATTCAGACCGCATTGGACGAGGAGTCGCATGCGCAATGTCGCGATCCTTTGGGGGGGGGGGGGGCGATCCGGTATTGACTTCGACTCATTGATATATCGTACAGCTGGCTGACCCCTCTGCCTCGGTTAGTGTCCTGTGTACGGTTACACTCCATATCTCGCGTTAGCAGGCTCACCTATATCACACCCGAATATCCCTATGCTTGTCGGGAGCCTGGGGGAATTGCTAGCCGGCGCGAAGGATCTTCTGAACGAGAATCCATGTGTCCCTCTCCCCCTCGATCCCAGCCGAGGATCACAGAGCGAGCGCCCCAAACCGGACCAGCAAGCAAAAAGAGGCAGCAAGAGCTGGGATAGTGCATGCATTTTGGTAAGACAGATTACAACTTTATGAGTCTGCTACCGACCCAGACTTGATCTGACCTCACCTTTGACTTTTTATGCCAGTCTACGCCTCAGTTACTTGGACACGTATTCCCGCGGTGATTTTTACTTTCGCTTACACGCTCAATCTTCTGCTCAACACTCGACATACGTTTCCTCGAACACGCTGTTCTATCCACTCGTCCTCACCACCTGGTAACGCATAGCGCCCGGTGGCACATCGCGGGCTAGTGCTAACATTCTAGGTCGAGCTCCTTGCGTTTCACTAGGTCGGTATTGCTGGGTCTGTGCCTTGCGCTTTGTACCTCTACGCGGTCGCGTGTTCGTGTCGGCTGAAGGGTGGGCTGGCAGCGGTGCTTGTCATGAACGAGATAATGAACAGGCTTGCCAACACCCAAACTGCATCTTTTGGCTGTAGGTGCCTGTCAGCGGTATAGGTTGGCCAGACAAAAACACCGATCGTCACTGGGAGGCGCCCGACATCACGTACGTCCGCTTCGCCTTTCGTCTGCTCGATGTTTGTATCGCACATCGGTACCACTTTCCCCCGGAAGGCTGTAATTCTGCCCCATCTACTTCAAATAGGGATCCCTAGTGACCGACACGGGTATGTTGGAGATGTGCCGAGGAAGTCGTAATCTGCGTCAGAGGCCCGAAGCCTTCCGCACCGATCCCGACGACGAGAAGTTCGAAAGTCCGTTGTACGCCGGTAGTCCCAGAGCTCAAACCCTCTCTCGGCGCACGGGCCCCACGATGATTCCTTGCACAAGTAGTCCGCTAGGTAGATCTCAGGCTTCTTTGTGCGAAGCTCTGCAGAAGCTTGACTAGATGGTGTCCGTCCGTTCGTACCCCACCTCTTCATGGAGGCGCGAGACACACTGTTGACGAAAATATCATGGGCATACAAAGCATGTGCATGAGCATCCGATAAAGCACATACCAGTCCCAAGTACTTCCGGCGCGAAACGCGTAGTACATCGTGTCGACGTGCCCAACAGTCACAGCACACATGTCGGTCTATAAGCTGGTAGCAACCAACTTTCCTGACAGAGACGTGTAGATGTCCGTAGCAGGTGGCGGACGAGAGTCGTGGTGGTTAAGAAGAGAGCATGGAAGCGCGCTTCGAAGGCGCCTTGACCTCAACTTTTACCTATTCACCAGGATCTCTTGGCATCGATCCCTTGTCCAGCTGTGCTCAATCCTTGTCGTCCACGATCTTCAGCCTATGCTACCGCCATTAGTGGAGGACAGTGATCTGGAATGTCACGTCTTTTGAAGACCGAGTTCTCAAGCTCAAGCTTCAACTTCACCATCTGGCACACGCGGAGCCTTGCAACCAAGTCGAGAGAGAGGAAGCCTCGATTACGTACGGAACTAGTGTGTAAGTCGTTTTCCCAGCATATGCGCACCGCCATAGCCGACCTGCGCTCTCGAAGCCTGTACAACTCTCGGCCATCCACTACACCCTGTCGTTCCGTTGAAACATTGAGGACCGTGTGAAGTCACTCACCGAAAAGTCCGTATGTTCCCTTTGAAGCCAATTCCTAAGACTTCCAAACGGGTTTATTCTCTCGGTGGAAGTTGCAACGAATGACGCGAGAGTGTGGCACCTTCTGTTTCGCTGGTGCTGACCAATGAATGTCCCATCTGCAGCGCACCGTGGCTTAAAGACAAGATGACCTAATCTCACTAAATTGATCATCTGCACTACTCGCCATGTCCACCCACCGTGCTGTCGCTATCACTGCCATTGGGTCGCTGCAGGTCATCGACTTGCCTACCCCAGCTCCTGAGCCCGACGAAGTGCTAGTGCATGTACGCTACGCTGCACTTATCCCTTTCGACGAATATCAACTCGATGCAGGTTTCGCGCTGTCCGTGAACGACTTCCCGCGTGTGGTCGGGTTTGCTAGTGCGGGATATGTGAAGGCCGTCGGATCGAACGTGAAGGACTTGAAGGAAGGGGATAGGGTACGTTCAACATCTGCTCGGCGCAGGATGTGTCGTCCTAATTCTGACTAGGTTACTGCATACAACTTCCCTGAGACGAAGAACAAAGCTGCTCAAGAGTATACACTTGTGCCGCGGGTCCATGTCGCGAAGGTCAGTCAGACCGGCCCTGCGTTCAAGTGCAGTCAAATTAATCATCTTCACAGGTCCCAGAATCGGTTCAGCTGCACGAAGCAGCATCCATTACGGACAACTACACCACTGCCATATACACCGTTTTCGGTAGTCCCAATCTCGCACTACCAGTGCCTCCGTCCCTAGTTCCGTCTTCCGCGATCCCTGAACGCACCGCTGTGGACCTTTCCGCACCTGCCCTTGTCTACGGCGCGGGCTCGTCCTCTGGCCAGTTCCTCGTTCAGGCTCTGCGCATTGCAGGCTTCACGAACATCTTTGCTGTCGCGTCAAGCCACCATCATACCTTCCTGCGCACGCTTGGCGCTACTCAGACCTTCGACTACCGCGCACCGGACGTCGTCTCGCAGATTCGCGCTGCTGCCGGCAGCACCGCGTACGGGCGCTTCGCAGTCGCGGTCGACCCTATCGCTGCACGCTCGAGCCTGACGCTGCTTAGCGAAATCCTCGCGCCGTCCGGCACTGCAGCAGACACGCCCGCAACGCGGCTCGCGATCCTCGCGCCATTCAAGGATGGCGACAGCGTGACGAACGCGCCCGATAGCGCGATGCACTTCACGTTCCCGCCCTGGCTCGATGCGCTGTTCGCTGGCAAGGACGTGCAGCTCCTCCCGATCTTTACCTTCCAACTGCACGGCGACGCCTTCTCGCGCGAAAACATTATTCCTGTCATTCTCCCGCGGCTTCTCGAGCGCGGTGAGATACGGCCGAACCCCATTCGGTTATTGAACGAGGGCAGCGTGCTAGATCGCGTAAACACGGGGTTGGAGCTGTTGAGGAAGAACAAGGTTAGCGGGGAGAAGGTTGTTGTCGACTTGCAGTTCGATGTCTAGGACTCATATCGGAGAATCCTGTAATATTGTGCGTATATGAAGAATCATGAATTCGATGACAGCATGCCCCCTCCCCAAACACTGTCTGCAAGAACTGTTCGCTCCAGTTAAGATGACGGTTAGCGTAAGGGCTTATAGGACAAGAAGGCAGGCAGCCTCTACTGCATGACGGTCTGGGAGAGTGATATATATATACATATGCACCTTTGTGGGTATTCTGATCGTTTGCTACCTATAAAGTTCGAGGCTTGCGCGCACCAGCGCTGTCTAGGAGGCGGGATGACATAAGCATCTATAGCGGGCTTTCGCAAACGGAAGTGCGGCGGCGGCGCTCGCCGCCGCCGTGCCGCGCTATCTTCTCTGGTGCAAGGCAAAATTCGTACGCTTCTGGTCTGTGACCCGCAGAACCAAAGGCTATTGATATTGAGGTAAGTTTGCCAGTCATGCATGTGATGTGTTTGCTTACTCACTCAGACTCAAGCGTACTGTTTTGGCTACCACTTGACGCATAGTAAAGTGGTGGACTATAGGCCAAATTTCCGCCCTTCTCCTGCATAAGCTGGAACTTCAGTCTGTACTACATTCTAAACTTCGTAAGAGCCGATTTTGTGTACTCTTCCCGTGGCATGTTGCTCCGTCAATTTTTTTGTTATCGCGGGGTGGGAGCAATGCTTACCTTCACCGCAGAACCTGGCTTATTGTTACTAGGCGGTTCCGTGTGAAGATTAGCTTGCTACAACTCTGCTGGTCGGCCAGTGATTCGATCTTGTTTTGGGTTTGCATATGCATCTCAAGAGCATCTGATATAAGGCCAGATCCTTCCACATTTTCCCAGCGATGCTAAGATTACCATCGGACTGTTCACTCGCCATCGAACACTATCTACTGTGTTATTCATATCATCTCCAAAATCTTTCAGCCAGGGTCGAGCACTGACATCCATCTCCCGGCCTTCCACGATGAAATCTTTGTGACTGTGGCCAATCTAAACGCCACGATGATCTTTGAGTATACACCGCTCTCGGGGTGAATGTGGAGCTGCTATCATGCTTAACGTGAACTCTATTGTGCAGGATATTCACAAGGACGCTCTGCCAGCGAGGCGTTCTCGCTTCACGGTCTTCTTTACAATATTTCAATTCGAGGATGGATTCGCACAGCACACGGGTCATGCCGCCCACCCGTCGGGACGAACAAACGGGGGCTAGTGTCATTCCAACGCTCTGGTGGGTCTTTGAGGCTTGACAGCCAGGGATGTATCTAGCCTTATCCTACTGTGAGATAGCTCAGTGGGCGTCGTATTGTGGGCCGAGCCACCACAGCACGACAGTTATTCATGACTGTATACCCTGGCAGGCGGGTTAATCCCACCTGTAAAGAAGATAGTCGTTCCTGCACTATGATACTCCAGCATCCATGTGGTAATATCGTAGTAGTGCCCCGCCGCGCATGTTCAGTCGGAACAATATCAATCATTTATTGTCCAGGGCGACACGCTATCTGCGAGTACTACGGGACCAAGTCATTGCACATTTCCAGATATTAGCGACGACCCAATCAACGTGTGCGGAATGCGAAGACGTGACGGGTAAGGAAAAGTGTCCCGCGATTAAAATGAAGTAGATAGCCTCGGGCCTCGAGAAGAGTCCGTGACAAAACCGATCCTGCATGCCGGGGGGTCCGCGGAATCAAGTTACGTTAATGCATAAGACGTTACAGTCTGCGTGCCGGACCAGAAGCGTTTCCAGGTACCTGTGGGCGGCAGCACAATGGTCCATGAGCATGAAATTGCGACAAAGACGCAGAATGGCCATACCCAATAAAACCGGGAAGGACGACCACCAGCTCGGTGGGTCACAGAGCGTCCTGAGATAAGCTGTTCAAGACTACCGTTCTTGCAAAAGAGAAATTGTATGCGCTTGCAAGTCCTGTCGGGCCGAATCCAGATCGCTCGTCATGGACTGCCAGTAGTGTAGGCGAGGCGAAGACGGGCGCGAGCATGGCGTAAACCAACACCGTGGAGGATTGTAGCGCAAAGCGAATGAAGGTTCTGTTTCCGCAGCCTCCCCAATTGTGCAACTGGCCGAACTCGGTTTCGTGGGTAGGGCCCTGCTGCCCAATTCGCGCTTCTCTTCATTCGCTCTGTGGGTCTTCGCCTCCACAGAATAGCCTCCAGGCATTGACTCGCGATCCGCACATGAAAACAGTAGTGGACTGCTCACGGTTACCGAGCTGTCGTCGCGCATGGCTTGCACCTAGACTTTCAATCCAATCAGAGACGAGCGGGGACCTGATGGCTTCGCCATCCTGCTTGCTGTGGTTCGCCGACAGCCAAGCTTGACAGGCCCGGGGCAGGGAGTTGGTCCAGTGGACACAGAGGCCTCGGGTCGGCGACAGGTATTGAAGAAGCTGAGCGGCGTTGGGTGGTGCAGTACGATAGTTTCACTGGACGCTTGCGCTCCAGCTGAGGGCCAGGGTGACGAACGCACGAGACAAATTTAGGCAGTCGGCACGTACCAAAAGGCGCAGCTCAACCTTAACTTCTCTATCTCCAGTGTTTCTAGACAAGCCAACAGCAGTGTTGTGGAGGAGCATCTTGAGACTCGAGCAGTTCACTTTCAGCCCGATGCTATTCTCGTGGGCGGTACGCCTATATCTCGCCGCTAAAGAAAGGTGGTGTTGAGCAGACACTAATCATCTAAAAATTGCGCGATGGAGATCTGGTTAGACATCTAGGGCAGGTTCGGAGTCCTGGCAGCGGTGAGGATGGTGGCCAGCAGGAAGGTACACGGTAGCGCGCTTTACGCAAGTTGACCTCTTGCAACACACTCTGATTTTTGCCCACGACTTTGGTTTTCCCTCCTGTGCATGCCGCTCTAAATTTCGAGGCTTATTTATCACCTGTGTTATGAGGTACGGCAATGTTGTAATGCCACACCGCAGCATCTTCCTCGAACTGGCCAGACTAGGGTCATAGAGACGGAGGGCGCGCCTTCGCGCAGACCATCCGGCCGCTCGAAAATCACGCCTGGCTACTGTCCTGTGAACGCCATCGTTATCGTCGCATCCCCTCTGCCGTCAGTCTGCCCAGCTTGGTCCAGGCGAGCTGCTCATTCATGTCATTAAGCGGTGCTCTTCTCGCCCGGCTCACTCGCTGGGTACCGACAAAATACTCTTTAATCGTCTTCGGCGCGTTGTGGGACGTGTTGGTTCCAGAAATGCGGGGTCGAATGCGGAGGATGTGAAGGATAAAAGGTGCGACTGATATTCACTGTGCACGGAAGGGATCGTTCTAACCTTACCTAGAATGCTGTATACCACTTGTCCTCGACGAAGGATATAGCAGCCAAAGGCTGCAGCTTGTACCGTGAGTTTTCGCCGCGGAAGCTTGTGAGCTCGATACTACCCAAGATATCCCTGTACAGATTAGTTTCATCGTAGCATTCGCATAGCTGCATGAAGCTGAATCAATTACAAACAGCTTATGGAACGGCTACGCAAATCACTTCTGACAGCTAGGCTTTTGTGCTACCAGTACGTCCCGCGCACGAACCTCACCGCAAACTCATTCTTGAGCCCGCTTCTCGTCTCAAGTTCCGCACACCGCACGCTCCAAGGCATCTTCTCCGTCTTCTCGAGCCAATATCATATTTCCTCGAACGTTCAGCACAAAACTCGTACCTAGACCATTGCGTTGGATACTGCTTCGTAAATGGGATAGGTAGGTACTTCTCGGTGAACAGAATCGGCAGCTATAATTGTGCTCCAGACGATTTCATGTTCACGATATCACGCGATTGCACCTTTGTGAAGTAGGACTATCGGCCTTTTGCATTGGTGGTCGCACCCACACGGCTTGAGATATGCTCAGGGCTTCAGCCTATGGAACGAAAGAAGCCACGGACATGCGTCGAAGCTCACAACATCTCTGGTCACAAGGGCTCGCTTACACAGTCAGAGAAACGCCTTAAAGTCAAACCCCGCGCGTGGTGTTGCTTGTATATAAGCCAACTGAGCTGAGGTACGGTCAGTTCAGCGCGTTGATATCTATCATCATGGACAAGGTCTGTCGATTCAGACACTGTTCTTACCACCTGCTGAGTTTCTTGTCTTATAGGATATCCTGTGCGCCGAGTCTGGTGTGTCAGACGCTGAGAAATTTTCGATTACGGAGAGGTCGGTCGAGGATGTGAGAGCCTGCAGCGTCGATCCAAAAGCTGAGCTGAGGTGTGGTGCATACGCCTTTCCTGCTAACCTATACTAAATCATCTTCTCAGAATCGTGCGAAGGATAGACATGCGGCTTTTGCCGGCATCGATGTTCATCTACTTGCTCTGCTTCTTGGATCGCACAGATATAGTGAGTTGTTCGCGAATCTTCGTGACAGCCCTGACTGAAGTGGCACAGGGAAACGCAAGGATCCTCAATAGCACAGCGGGCGATTCACTGGCGGAAACAATTCGGATCTCTAATCAGCAATACCTGACTGCGCTTCTGGTGTTCATCATTGCTTACTCGCTGTTCGATGTGCCTTCAAACTACATGTTGCACAGGTTTCGCCCGAGTCGTTGGTACGTCCTTCGCTTTGCGTTGAGCATCCTCACTAAGTGCTTGTAGGATTGCGTGCCTGATGGTAGGTTGGGGACTCATGACGATGGTCCTGGGTGCCGTAGAGAACTTTGCCGCGCTCGTCGTCATCCGTTTTCTTCAGGGAGCTTTCGAAGCGGGGCTGTTTCCTGGTATCATATACTGCCTCACGTTCTGGTACAAGCAAGATGAGAGAGGCCTCAGAGCGGCGTTCATTGCGGGCTGCGCGACGCTAGGTAAGATTTCAAACCAAGGTGAAACGCCACTGATTTGCAGACTTTACTCACAGCGGGTGCTTTCGGCGGGGCGATTGCCTTCGGTATTGGACACATGGACGGTATACGTGGCCTACAAGGGTGGCGCTGGCTTTTCATCTTCGAAGGGATCCCTTCCTGTTTATGCGCAATTCTGGTCTATTTCTTCTATCCCGACTTTCCCGAGGCCAGCGAGTGGCTTTCAGCGGAGGAACGCGCTCTTGCCACTGAGCGAATCAAAGGTGTTGCATCACTTGGCCACGAAAAGTTGACGTGGGCCGAAGCGAAGGCGACACTAGTGGATTGGCGGCTCTATCTACACCACGCACTGTGCATTTCGTTCGCAGTGCCATTTTCGAGCATCTCGCTCTTCACTCCGACTATCGTGTCGGGCCTCGGATACGAAGGTCTTGCGGCGCAGCTCTTCACTGTCCCTCCGTATGCCATTGCGTTTGTCGTTGGTCTTGTCGTCGCTTGGCAGGCAGACAAACGGAGCATGCGCTCGTGGACGGTCTTCGCATGTTTCGTTATCTCAGGCATATGTTTCCTCATGCAAGGTAAGCGGATGGTACTCTTCATCCGGCGTGGTCGCTGAGCTTAGAGCCTGCGTAGGTCTAGTGTCTTCGCACGCCTTCAAGGCTCGATACGGGCTGCTATGCGTGGCCGTCCCTTTCTCGTTTGCCCTCCAGCCCATTCTTCTCAGCTGGCTCACTGCGAACCTTCGAAGCACTGGTGCTACCACGCTTGCTGTGCCGATGAATGTCTCTATTGGACAGGCGGGTCAAATTGTTGGTATGTCTGGATCGGAGACTCTTTAGCTCTAGGGGACTGACCAACCCCCAGGTATCTACATCTATAAGAATTCTGAAGCACCTGGGTACCCGACAGGACATTTTACAAATGCCGCTTTTCTTCTTGCTGGGGCTATCATGGTTCTCACGTTGCGCGCCGTATACATTAAACGCAATCAACGTCTGTCTGAAGCAGATCGCAAATGGCAGCTCTGAGGTATTAGACTGTTGCACAGTGTTCATCCTCTTTCCCTGCATATTTACAAGGATACCGTAGCATCTGTTTGCCTGATCACCGAAGCGATAGGCGATATCTCGAAGTACGTTACCAGTACGTTACCGTTAGCCAGGGGGCTGCGTAGATTTGGCTGGGATGAAGCAATGATCATATCCTTCTCCGTGATTCAGCCGCATCGTTTCAGGATGTGCTGATCTATTTCGCCGGGTTGTCGCACTGCGGAGCATGGCGGATCGGGTTGGGCGAAAACGACAGGCGCTATTGGTTCATGCGTGCGTCGCTTTCCTGGGCATGTTACACAAGGGTCGGCATTGCAGGTAGTAGGCTCAACCCTCTCCTACGTCAACCGCGTATGCTGCAGCGACGAGCTCAAGATGACCTTGCCGCCGTTGGGCCGACAGCGCGTACTCTTCCTGCGTGATGTCGAAGTTCTCGTCATGACTCGTGAGTTGCGCGGAATCATTCGTAACGTCAGGCTGAATTTGATTTCAGGGCACTCGTGACGATCAGTTCGTTATTGGCTTTACCGCAAGTGGCGAGTGGACAGCCCAAGACAATTTGCATTACGCTATCGGTCAAAGCAGGAATTCAATTCTTCTCATATCGTCGCAGAGATAGTCGTATGGAACGATCATGCGCCCATAAGTTCTTCTCTTGATGCTATTGTCTGGGGGGGGGGGGGTGGGCATGCGGTATCAAAGGTCTGCAGGTACCAACAGTCAACGTGTGACGCATCTCCCTTGGCCATTTGCCATGAATATCGTACCCCCGGCCATTCTTTCGTCGTTCTCATCTCGCTTCTAACCGTTCTTGTAGTATTCAGCCTATCACACGAGACGTAAGTGATACTCAAAGGTACAATCGTCCGTTCAGGTATGCAGTTCAATCCGCGCTATGCTGTGCATTTCATGATGTAGTTCTTCTTCAGAGCTGCTTCTACCAATGATACGGCGGCGAAGGTTTTCGCTGCGACAGCACCTGGTATGCGCCCAATACTTCCAAAACTAGGTGGGCGTGATCTTCGGTATGATCGTCCGCGAGCCAAATAGGGTGCGTTTCAATATCATGCCATCTCGCAACTAGGCATAGATGTTGGAGTATAAATTGCGATCAGGTGAGTTCGCTGCCCTGCATTGTCCTCCTTACATCTTCCAACTCGCCACGGGCAGCATGGCTCAGTCAGACGAAGACGTGAAGCAGCAACTTCTAGAATTGTATGCACTCTCTTCTTCTTAGAATACGCCGCCGCTGACGCTCATCATGTATTTAGGCAGGCACTTGATTATGTCTCGTGCTCAATACTATGTACATTACGGTGTCGCGGAGCCCCGAGAGCACTGTGCTGAACGGCCTTCATTTCAGGCCTCGTAACCTACGAGTTCGTGATAACACTTGGCCAAGAAATCTCCGTGGTGTGGAGAAAGAAGTTCACGGCTACCTCGCTATTATTACTGGGCATCCGATGGCTTATGCTTTTGGATCCAATCTCGCAGGTGGTTCCTTCAAGATCAGGCTGGTGTAAGTCTATTTATGCCGGCCAAGGATAGACATACCTCACGCTCAGTCCCCTAGGCGTATGCCTCGCCCATATATGAAATCGTGGTTGATTAGCCACCGCATCTGTTACAAGGTGTGCCGTGCTTTACATACTGAACACGCTAGTGTACTTGGCAATCACAACTCTAGTTTCACGTAAGTACACCGACGCTTAATCATAATCGCACTGATATTTTATGCAGTCTTCTCTGCTCTACGCGCCTACGCACTTTGTCAAGAGTCAAGAATGAAATATGTCTTCTCAGCCATCGTATTTATGCTTGGAGCAGTCCCAGTTGGAACAAATATAGTGCGTCATCTTTCTGCCCCCACGAGTAGTACAGTTGTCGTATTGTCCTTCATTCAGTTCAGCTGGGTACGTACCAAGTATGCATACGAAGATTTCTCAGGCATCGAATGGAATCAATGTATCGAATACAACAACATTTCACCGAAGCTCGACAACGAGTATGTGTTGACCTATGATGTCACTCTGTTCTGAACTAAAGCTTTCCTTAGGTGTATGTCTGCTATGCTTGAATTGGCTCTCTACATTCTGATTTTATATGCATGTTTACAGTGATTATTCTTACGAGAGGCAGCTTGCTTGCCTCCGATGTCATTGTCCTAGCCCTGACGTGGGTCAGGTCATACAAGCAATTCCAACAGACGCGACGACTAAGGCTCGGTCCGTCCATTGTAACTGTGCTGCTCCGTGATGGTACGTGCATCATTTACGTCCCCCCGTGCACGAAACGGCTCATAGGAAGCTGGTTCAGGCACTATTTACTTCGTGTAAGCTAAGGGTTATGATTCTGCACCGTAATGCTGGCTAACCAGCGGCTGATACATGTCACTCTAGTGCACTCCTTGGCGTGAATATCTATCAGCTTCTGACCTTCCAGAGCAGCTCCACAAATGTGATTAGCCTGACTGTACCAGTTCACCGTAAAGTTCTGATCTTGATAATCCAGGGGCTGTATGCAGAGAGCTTTATCGAATCAATGGTAATCATACTGTGAGCAGGTTCGATTAGAGAGATACTTGCTGATCAAGCTTCTTTGTTTACAGCCCCCGGTGCTCGTTCAGCGCTTCATGCTGAACCTCCGTCAGCTCAGCCATGCCAGCGATGAGATTAGCTCAGGAAATGAGCATTCCTCCAGCCGCTCAGTGAATTTTAGGCTGCCCTCCGATTTCCTCGGTAATATTGGAGAGTCTCTGGACCACGGCCAGGCGGAGCGCGTGCAAAAATATGACGGCGACGACGACGACGACGACGACGACGACAGCAACTCAGATGTGGCGGGAGAACGAGCGGTGGGGCTCGAAGAAGGTTCTCTGCAGCTGGAGGGCTCATCTCTCGCGCGTCGGAACGAGCAGATCGGAGTGAGCCTTGTTCCAGCATCACATTCTATTGAAGGCACAAGTGAAGGGAAGGAAATTGAATTGTGAGCCGGCCGGGCTCTAGGAGTCATTTGATCAGGTGCTCATTCAGCCATATTCTGCCCGGTAAGTTCACTAAGAGAGTTTCTGCAGATACCGGGCCGTGGAACAATGGCGCTCGTAGTCCACGGACGGTAGTATCTGTCACCGTCCGTTGCATCGGTTTCGGCCTGTGCCTACAATTTGATCTGATTCCTACTGTTTATTTATTCTCGGGAGTCATCGGCGCAGTGCTTGCCGCATGCCTCGCAAATTTAGATCTCCCTAAATTACGAGAGAGAACACCGTAGCGCGCGCTTTGAAGCCGATGGGATTCTGCGTCCGAGGCCTAAGCTTCACCTACGGATCGTATGGTATCTTTGGCGCAGCTACAAATTATTTGACGAATCTCCGGCCATAACAGCTGCTTCGCGCCGTTGGGCTGACGGCGTGTGCTCTTCCCGCGTGTTCCCGAAGTTCTCGTCGCGAGTCGTGAGTCGTGGGTCGCGGGAGCATATATATCATAGAATCATCCATAGCATCGCCCGGGCTAAAGTTGACTTCAGAGGGCTTGATGGTCAGTGTGCTGTTGGCTCTATCAAGCGGTCAGGGACCACAGCACAAGACAGGGATTCGATTCTTCTCACATCGCTGCAAAGATATTAGTCGTAAGTACGACGCAATGGGATAGATCATGCGCTCATGAGTCCGTCTCCTACCGACCTGATGTTATTGTCCGGAGGGCTCGCGGTGAGGTACCAACAGTCGACTTGTGTTACAGCTCCCTTGGCCATTTGCAATGAAAATTGCACTCTCGGTCGTCCCACTGTTCTCTCGTTGTTCTATCTTGTTTCCAACCGCTCTTGTGGTATTAACGTGAGACGTGACCGGTAGTACTGTTACCCAACTTAAAGGTGCAATCGCCCCTTCCGGTACGCAGTTCAATTCGCGCTGTGCTGTGTATGTCGCGTAGCGGCTCAGAGGCCGCCGGATGGGACGAAGTCAAAAGCAAAGCTGCAGGCGTCAATGCGAGGACCGCCCTGATCCGGGACCTCAATATTCGGCCCGGGTACAATGCCCGGAGATCACCCGGATGACCGCGGTCTGCCGCTTCCCTCGGTCAGCACATTCAGGCATCACGACGACACAATCTAGAGTCATCGAGAGTATCAAAACTGAACACGTGAGTATGGAGTTGATGATGTTGGAAAAATGCATCGGTAAGCAAGCTCTGAACATGTGGCAACGTTGTACTTATACGAAGACAAGAGCTTAACGATGAGGTTATTCAGAAAAGCACATACAATGTGGCCTCAGTTGCGAGCGTCGCCGAATCGCATGACGGGCAAATGCTTTCGGTTAGTAACACTGCCCAGAAGCCTTGACACGGCCTCTTCTAGAATACCGTAGAGGACAGAATGGAACCACCGACCGGATGCTATCGTCGACGCATGCATGACATCGCTGGCCATTACATTAGGTTAACACTATATATCATGTATGACCCCGTCCCATCATACTTCTCGCCGTGGCATGGGAATCATGCTTCAACTGACTCATGCTAGACTCGGCTTGGCATGCGCGACGGTGAGGTTGCCATGATATTAAACAGGCAGTAAGTGACCTCGTCTCATCTTGACTTATGTTAATATGCTGTCTAGAAATAGTACAGGGCCAGATCCTTCTTGCGTCTCCCAGCGTTACCTCCAAGATGCAATAGAGGTTCCCAAGCCACCATAGATTCGTCGTCTTCCAGTCTAGTGTCATCTGACGCGGTATCCACAGCATCAGCCATCTGTAAATACTAGCAGTTGGTCCCTGCTATCATCATCTTGGTCTTTGACAGTTACATCTTTGCGCACGAAGCTGTCTTACTGTTTTCACCGCGTGCATTCCCATGTATTTACGGTGACAGTTGTCGAATAAGATATTGTCATAAATTGTCGCTAATCCCGGCAGGGCAGTCGTCTGTCTCGAGATGCTATCGCTGTACATTATGCTGTGCGTCTCCTGATTTTGTCTTGCTATCCATTACTCGGCATTGCCTTCCACTTTGCATGTTCACTGCCACCCCCGTTTGGCTCTTACCATGTAGAAGCGGCTCTGAAGGATTTCTAGCCATCAGGAAAACGTCCTTGGAGTGTTGAAGGCGCCTTGCATTTGGTGACGTGCCTTAGCTCGCCTTGGGCGATGCTGGGACCTGTCTTGGTCCTCGGAGGTTGATCAACATGATTAAGGTACCCAAGGCACATCTGTCCAAACTCAAGGTGCGCAAGCGACATCAAGACGATTGGACACTTTCCTGATATTGCAAAAGCGAGAGCTGAATTCTGACGGAAGGAATCTGGTGATAAAGGTCATACGGTATTATATCATGATCAAGATGAAATCCTGTGTAACGTCCCGCACAGCAGTGTTTGTCTCCACATCTGCATTCTACTCCAATGATGGCGGGCAACAGCGAATTTCACCTGGACGAGCAAAGATCCGGTTTCAATACTATACACAGATGAACATATGTGCTACGGTATATAGTACCTCGTAGGTACGTTGGCTGCTCCGCATCCTGTACCGACCCATCTGAATTCTCGTTCACTTACTACAGACAAGATGGCTCAGTCAAACGAAGACTTGGCGCAGAAATTTCGAGAAACGTACAGACACCCTCTCCTCATATCACCATTCCTCAGCTGATAAACACTGTATGTATACAGTCTGACAGTGAACTATGAGGGGTACTCGATGGCATGTCCGTTCTGGTTTTGCCAGACTCCAACAGTGCCGGGCTCACCAGTTTCTCTTGTAGGCCTCGCAGCGTACGAATTTGTCACAACTCTCGATCAAGAAATCGAATTGGTGTGGAGAAAGAAATTAACAGCCACTTCGCTGTTGTTATTGAGCACTCGATGGCTCATGTTTCTAAACTCGGTCATCGTGCAGCCCATGCCTGGCATGGGCCAATCCTGGTGTGAGTCAGAGAATTCAACTCAGGTGTTTGCTGGCATCACTGTATCACTCCTCAGATGTACGCTATACCATTTTGTCGACTACCCTCTGATAAGCTGCTGCATCATCCGGCACAAGGTGCGACCCACTTTATGCGCTGAACACATTGGTGTACATGGCACTTATGATCTTGATCTCATGTAAGCAAATCCTGTTAGAACATATTATGGCTGATCCTCCGTACAGTGTTCTCTTCACTGCGTGTGTACGCACTCTGGAAAGAGTCAAAGATGAAGTACCTCTTTTCTACGATCGTATTGGTACTCGGGACGGTCCCAGTCGGGACAAACATCGTGCGTCTTTCGCCTGCAAGTCACGCAGTTGTCTGTACTAACGTTTGTATAGTTCAGTTGGCTACGCATAAAGCTTGTGTACCAAAATATGGTGGAATCTGGTGGGGCAGGCTGCGTTGGCCTCATCGATATTCCACAGAAGCTTAGCAACGAGTGCGTGTTGACTTGTAGCATAGCACCGATGTTCACTGACCAGCCCCCTTCAGGTGTGCGTCTTGGTTACTTTCGTGCCTTCGCAACATGACGAACAGGCATCCAGTGCTCTTCTTAACGAGAGGCAGCGTGATTGCTGCCGATGTTATTGTCCTCGTTCTAACATGGGTCAAATCGGTCAAGCACACTCAAAGGATGCGACAACTCAAGCTTGGGTCGTCTATCATGGCTGTGATGCTTCGGGATGGTATGCATTCTGCTTCAACTCTCCTAGGCACTAATTTACGGTAACTCAGACAACACCGCTTTAGGTACCATTTATTTCATGTAAGCTAGAGGTAATGGAACCGCACAATGACGCCACTTGATATATAGCTTTCAGTGTACTTCTAGTCATGAACATCCTGCAACTCCTGACATACTCAAGCACTCTCGAGCAGGTAATTGGCATAGCGTGCCTGTATTCTGCTAAATTCTGATTTTGCTTCCACAGGGCATTTATTTGAATTCCTTTTTGCAAACAATGGTGACACTTCCTCCAGCCCGATAACACATGTGCTGATCAAGCATTTTACAGCCCCCTTTGCTGGTCCAGCGCTTTATGCTGAACCTTCGCCAGGTCAACCCCGCCGCCCGAGGAAGGAGCTCAGAGCAATCGCGCTCTCGGATCTCTTCTATAATTTTCCGAGCGTCCTCCGATTTCCTCGGAAATATCGGCGAGCCTCTGGATCACGGCCAGTCGGAGCGCACGCAAGATGACGATGACGATATCACTCAACCAGAATCGCCGGAAGATCAATTCAATGAGGGTTTCGCGCAGTATATTGACCCATCATATATGCGCCGAAGTGGTCCAAGGGAGGCTGGTATCATTCGGTGCCAGGATCCACCGAATCCTTGAGGTTAGACAGAAGCCAGGTCCGTGGCAGGCTCTATTCTACCCTTGGATAATAGCTCATCATAGGCATGTTAACAGGCTGTGTCCTGTTGAGCCGCGACGGTCGCGAATCGCTGCGTTTTCCGGAGGGCAGGCTGCTCCGAGCTTGATATGGGTAGTCATGTTGGCCTTATAGTGCACTGGCGTGTATCACTCCATTTCCAATCCCTTGCTTCGTGTTGTTTGCTTTTAAAGACATCAGATATTCACTATTAAGAATGATGTAGGTTGTTCTCTACGAACGTTATCGTTTCGAATCTGCGTCCATAGGCGTGGCGGACACTTTGTTGATGCCAAACACGCCTCCACTCCTAGACCTATTATGAACCGCGCAGCTCTCCTGGTCGTGATGTAGAGCCAGCCGCTAGCCTGTCCGACAGCAAGCGTGGAGCTTCAGGTTTACCATCTGGAGTACATCTCGAATCTGAGCGCACCGACATCGCCCTACGCGCCCATAACATCCCTAATATCGGCTTTCGGCAGCTTTGCCACGCACGATCTGAGGTTGCTTACAATGCCGTTGACCGTATCGTCCAGCAAGCTTCCGCCTTCGTGGGCCGTGGCTGGTCAATGCTTTGGCTAAAAGTGCGAGCGAGAGCATGGGTGACGCGAAGAGATGCGAAACGTGTGGCAGCATTGGATGAGCACAATAGTGCCGTCTTGGTAACAAGCCAAAGGTACCACACTCCGTGGCGTCTCATCCATTACCCACGTCTGGTAGCTTCGGGCATGTGTCAAGAGCAGAACTTTTGAGATAGCTTCGGTGCTGCTCTCAAAAACGAAGTGCGTGAAGCGCGCGGTAGATCTGTGCTCGGACACGGATAGCAGCGGTCGTAATCGCCTCGTTAATGGTATCGTTACCTGTTGCCGAGATATCCCCAGAACACCGCTTCGGACCAGTACTACCGGCACGCATAACTTAAATGCGAGTGGCCGGTGTCAAGATTGAGCACTTACTTGCGTACCCCGCGACAGGTCAGAAGACGGCGCTCCTCTAAAGTAATGCCGCTCAGCTCGTTCAGATGAGCGCATATGCTGACAGTGAAATTCGACATTTGAGCACTGCCATATCGTCTGACGATTTATGTGTACACCACGTCAAAGATAATTCCCAGCATTAAAAACGTGTGCGTCTGTGCAGTGATACAAGATACGGAGATTTTGTCAGCATTCCGAGTCGGTGGTCAGGGGTTGAAGAGACAAGACTCGCCCACTAACTTACCTTCGTCCTTCCGCATCCTGGAGAGTGAGAGAAAAGAAAGCATGAGACTTACAGTCCAGTAGAGCAAAAATATCCAAAGGATGGTGCTGCGTGATGCTAAAAGCAGCCAGTGGACCAAAGATTGAAATCGAAGGCAGAGCTTTCGGCGACGAAGCGCGCACGTCCTGATCTGTTGGTCTCGGGCCCCCGATGCGGCCAGCCCTTTCCGCCCAGAGTCAGCGCCAACTCTATGTTGTCGCGGCAGGTGCCGTTATCAAGCCGTGGCAGACGGTCTAAGCATGGACAGATACTGGCGAATCCGACCTTCTGTTAAGAGAGCTAGCGTACCAACCATCCATCTCGTCCCTAACTCTTTGCGACTGACCAACATGCCTAAGAAGCATGGCATCGTCAAGCATGAGTGCAACCGAGCAGGAAGTGACAGGCTGGTGGTGATATCCACGCCGTCTAAAATGAATACAGCTCCCATGGTATTACATTTTTTCCGATGTCAAAGCAATTGCCCGACAGGATTCTCGCCAACGAATCCGCCTGCGCTGCAGTCGTACACCAACTGGCCGCGCAGGAACGTCTGCTCTACTCGACCACTCAAAGTCAGGCCCTCGTACGGCGTAAGCTTGTTCTTGAACTTCAATAGCTCCTTCGTGACCTGAGGAACAGATCAGCACAAATCCCGCGGCCAACGAATCATGCAACGTGCCTCGAACTCCGCTTGAGGATCCCAGATGACAATGTCCCCATCATATCCGACGTCCAGCTGGCCTTTGCGCTTCTCCAGCCCCGCATGCTTCGCAGTCTGCACACACAGCCAATCGACAATTTGCTCAATGTTGACCCCGTGCCTCCGGCTCTCCGTCCACAGAAGACTCAGCCCGAGCCCCAGCGTGCTGATCCCACCCCACGCACTCATCAAGTCTCCCGTGTCCATCTTCTTCAGCTCGGAAACGCACGGGCTGTGGTCGCTCACCACACAGTCGATCGTGCCGTCCATCAGCGCCTCCCACAGCATCTCACGGTTCGACCCCTCACGGATCGGAGGACAGCACTTGAACTCGGGTCGCCCCATGGGGATGTCTTCCGCCGTCAGCGTCAGATAGTGGAAACATGTCTCGACCGTGAGCGGTAGGCCCGATGCCTTGGCTGCGCTTACAATTGGCAGCGCAGACGATGCGGAGAGGTGAACGATGTGTAGCCGCAACGATGGGTAGCGCTGGTGCAGCCTGGTGATGAGCTCGATGGCGTCGACCTCGAGCTGCTCGGGGCGCGATGTCAGGAAGGTATCGTACGACGACAGATTTTTGCCATGGAGATCGAACTTGTGGGTGTCAGGTCTCTCAAGCTCGGCATGGAAGCACAGGACCGTTGAGGTATCCTAGAGACACTCAGTGACCGGCGCTGTCCCGGGCAATAGCGGACGAAGCGTACTTTGATCTGATCCATTGCAAGTACGACGTCATTCTCATTCACACACGGGAACTCCTAGAGACAATCATATCTCAACGGGGCCCTGAGCATGAACCAGACCTTCGTACCTCGACTCCACTCTCGATCAGGAAGCACTTGAAGCCGCGTACACCAGCTTTCAAGAGCGGCCTAAGGTCGGTCTGTGCGCTGCCACATCCAACATCTCAGACAGTCAACTCACAAACTGGATAATTACCTGGTTACCAGGAATAACACCTCCCCAAAATCCCACATCGCACCAGCACTGGCCTTGGGCCGCCGACCGTTTCGTGTCCAGATTGTCGACCGTTGTGGTTGGCGGGATGGAGTTGAGCGGCATGTCGACCACGGTAGTCACTCCGCCAGAGATTGCAGCACGCGTCCCCGTCCAGAACCCCTCCCAGTCCGTGCGACCGGGCTCGTTAAGATGGACATGTGCGCTGGCAGTAGAGCCGGGAGTGAGCGCTAGCGATTGGAACATGATGTGAGCCACGCTTACTCGACGAGACCAGGGAGTATAAACCGGTCGCCTACATCTATCAGATCTGTGTCTGGCAGTTGGTCCTTGGTGGATCTGGCCTGGATGACATTAGTTATCTTGCCCGCTGAGACATCTACGATGACGGTGGCAGGCACTGGCTGATGGTGGCCGGGCAGAACAACATTATGGCTGGTAAATGCGCGGTGTGAGGGCATTTTGGGGATTTATTAGTATGGCGTAGAATGTCGGAGAGGAAGTCAAACAACTTTGAGTCGGATCCGGGAACGATATTGCGGTCACCGGACCTTGAGCACAGGCGCTGAAAGTGATGGTGGCGTGGTTAGGGTTAGGTGTTAGAGGGCGATGTTTCAGCGGCGGGGCCGTTGGATAGCCATCGTCCCGGCATTTACTGGCCAAAGATGCTGAGTTTTGCACAGCAAAAAAACTGGTTTTAGAATCTCTGGACACCTGATATTCCGCCCACTGGTTTGGATCACACGATTAGACTACATTTCAGCCACCTAACACAGGACCCAGCTTTGCACCCGCTTTTTCTGAGCTCTGCTCACAAGCTATCCGATATGCCCCCGCAATTTGACTTAAGGATCCTCTAATATCTGAAATATTCCACGCCTGATACAGCGAAGCATTAGTTCTTCGCAATAACCCCCGTTTGGGACTGCGGGTTATTGAGTCAGCCCAAGGGATGCCCATCGTTCGTTCACGTCGGATACAAGCTTGAACATGTAGTTGACAGCTAAGAATTTCACCCTCATGATTCAAAATCATCTATCACAGGGAGATGACGGTTGTTGAGCAGGTGCCGGTCTGCCGCGCTTCGGCTTGCGAGCCTGGTAGCAGGGGGTGCCATCGCCGCAGGGCTTCATCTGCCCAAGCATGTCTAAAATGTCCGCAATCCCATGACTACTGTAAAGAAGGCGCGGTTCGTAGCTGCGACAACGAGGAATTTAGCCAGCTTCCATCTGCCGCCGCATGACACGCCTGAGAAGCGATCGAGGACCGAGCGCACGCAGAAAACTTGGTGCCACATCTCCAGAAAGATTGTTGATGGCTTCATCAAGTGAGAGAGATATCCAACTTGCAATACGCTTCTTACTGCTGCCGAAAATCGCGATTCAGTTCAAGTACTGTGCCAGTTTGGGGAATTAGTCTGCACGAGCGTAGATCAGGCAGAATTGACATTGTGTGAGGGAAGATAAGATGGATGCCGCAGCATCCCGCTTCGATATCCGACGCATGGCCTGTCCTCTTCCTGCTCCTGTGAAACGTGCTGTGGGTCGCTGTTTTTGCATGTCAGAGAACACGACCGCTGCTCTAAAAACAGTCCAGCTCCGCTTTTCTGAAATCTGTTTTCTCGTGACTCTAACTTGTCGGAGCTCGAGATCAGGATAGATCGAGCCGGGAGGCAATGTAACCGGCAATCTGAAACACTTTTGATGATGATCATTCTGCCTGTTTTGGCAAGTGTCGTAGTTGGTAGCTTGACCTCCCTAAACGTCTCGACGTTGAACACGCACAGCGCAGCTAGGTAACTCCGGTAACAAGTCAGGTTGGTGCTACCCACGCGCATGCAGATATCCAGGGTGCCCGCTGTACACAGGGGAAGCACGTTTGCCGACGAGATAGACCACAGCATCAGATGAGGCTGTGAGTTTAGCACCGACCGATGTATCGTGCAATCATTTTGCTCCCATCTGATCGGGGCAATCTATCGCGCTACGGGGCCCGTAGATGAAGCTTAAGTGGCAAGGTGATACCTTTCGTCGCTGTCCCCCGATTCATATATTCCACATCCCACGGCCCCGAGAGCCCTCCGTCTCTCAATTTCTCCCCGCTTCTCCCCTGGTGCCGGTTCTATATTATTCTAATTTGGTGGTATTTCCCCTTTACTTTGCGCCGCACCATATCTCTCGTCACTCTTCCGGAAGATGCACGCCGTCATGCGCCAGCCGCTATCCGTCGCAGGCCACATGCACGCAAGCCCCAGCAGACAGTCACCTTCTGCCTACCTAGTTCGGCTCCAGATGCCGGCCGATAACATGCAGCGCCGCAGCCTGCCTGACATACGCAGCCCGGGAGGGTCAACGATGAGGACAGAGTACGCGTGCCGGCGCTGCAGAGCGCGTATAGCCCACAGGTCCAGTGTGCTCTCATGGGTGCGCCGCGTCGTCCATTCTCGTGTTCTGATCCATCCAACTAACACAATCACAGGACTTCCGAGGCGATACCGGCAAAGCCGCACTCTTCACCGAAGCGTACGTCCAAACCCGCCCGTCCCCCTGCGCCCCTGAGCCCTTCAGATCCCAAAACTCGAATCCCCCCCCCCCCGCAGAGACAACGTCGTGCTCGCCAAAACGTCCGTGATGCTCATGCACTCGGGTGCCTACCGCATCCAGAAGGCTGCCTGTGCTGTGTGTGCCGGACCGCTCGGCTGGAAGTTCGTGCGCGCGACCGAGCAGACCGAGAAGTGGAAGGAGGGCTTCATCGTGCTCGAGCTGGCGCTGCTCGACGAGGAGGCGTTTCCGCTTACGCTCCGAGAGGAGGTGTACACTCCGATGGCATCGCGGGACTGGCTGTTTGCGAGGGCGCCGTCCGAGGACGAGCATCAACGGCCGTCGTCGAGCCTGTCGACGTACGATAGGCAGCGCCCGGTGGGCCCGCGGCACAGGCGCAATTCGTGAGGGGCGCACACCATAAAATACCCAGATGGCTTGCAACGGATGCTTTGGTGACGCCAGTGCAAGCCGTCACTCGCAGAGTTGTCGCGGGCGGACTGTTGGCAGTAGAGACGGATGTTAAACGAGTTGGTGTGGTGCAGCAACCCTGCACAGTCCATGCTGGGAGTAGTATGATGTCAATTCTGCGATGGGATTCAGCACCTGACTCTACGCGTAACATTAATTCTAATCAGATAACTTAACTACGTTTATTATTTGTTCAATTTCATCTTGATCACCTTGAACCTAGTCAAGCTGACAGTTGTACCAACATCGGCACGGAGGATATGAAGCCTTTCGGAAAGAGCGTGAGAAACGCAGTCCAAGGGACCCCAAATCGAATAAGTGCACGTGATCAGTCCGGTGACCGGGGTCTTCCCATCGACACTCGGGTTGCGAGAGGATTTCCATCTGCGTATAGTCACTCCAGGGAACAACAGGGCATCGACGAATGTAGAGCGAGCATCCGCGGCTTTGTTCCGCAGCAGCGTGTGGCTTCCGATTTACATTACTCCACAAGCTACTTACGAGTACGAGGAGCACACCTGGCGTCCAACGCTGTTACAGCGGTACTTAGAACGATAGACACCCCTCGGGCAAATTACAGCATACGGAGTTCGAAAACTCCGCAAGCGCTAGTGCGAACGAAGTGAGATGCGTCCGCTGAAGTGGTGATCCCGCCGTCACCTGAGGCATTTGACCCGCCCGGCTTTGTGCTGCTCGCTGCGGGGCTTGTCCCAATGGTTTCGGGCGATTAATATTATATTGGCGAACCTCGGATGTATTATAATCCTTGGTAATTACAAGACTGTAGCGATGGACACTAAATGAGGAGGGTGCGACACGCGTGATTGAGAAACGCAAGACGAGGTCAGACTCGGTGACGGCGGGATTACCACTTCAGCGGACGCATCTCACTTCGTTCGCACTAGCGCTTGCGGAGTTTTCGAACTCCGTATGCTGTATTCTGCCCGGGGGTGTCTATCGTTCTAAGTACCGCTGTAAACGCCGCAACGCCGACATCGAGAGATATAGGACCAACACAGCACAGAATGTGACTCTCTGATATTTGGGTCAACTTCCGTTATTTTGGCTGAGACCAGCTGGTTTACCTCCGCGTCACCCTGCACTTCAAGCTCAAAGCGCATGTTGTGAGCCAATGATATGGCGCGCCTCTGGGCCCGACAATACCGTTTTCATTGCCCATAACATAATGTGTTCCAGCGAAATTGTGCATGCGTGGAAGGACAAGTGTGCCTAAGGCCAGCTAAGGCCTAAGCACCGGTCGAGCTTGTCAGGCACTCCGCAGCACTCCGCTCACCATATGTCAGATGTCTCAGGGTCGCCACAGTTTCACTGATGCTGCTACTCCCCATCAGCTCCGTCTGTGGCCTGCACGCTGCGAGCGCTGCTGCAAACAGCGAGCGACTCCCATTCTAGGTCGATAACCCGCAGTGACTTGTGCGCCGGAGAAAAGTTGCCGCTCTGCCAGTGATGCACCTCAATCTCGGCATGTCTATCGGGCTCAATGGGATGATACAATAACTCGGAGAAGATAAAAGCGAATGAGACATTGTCCCGAGCGGTGACTCAAGAATTCTCTCTTTTGCCAAAACCTGCCCAAGCACGTACGTGCTGCAACACATATCGATAGCTCCCAGTTCCACACAGTGAACCGACCCGTCTGTACCTACCACCTCACGACACGTCATGGCTTCGTCAAATGAAGAGTTGGTGCAAGAGCTACAAGAGCTGTACGGGCTCTCTCTTTTTCCTTCACACTCTCGCTCTGCTGCGCATGCTGATACCCGCTATATGTATTCAGCCATACATTGAACTATGAGGCATGGTCGCTCTTGTGTATGTCGCGTTATTACCAAGTCCTGATAATACGCAGCTCATCGTTTTCCTTTTCAGGCCTTGTGGCCTACGAGCTCGTCATAACACTTGACCAAGAAATCGCCGCGGTGTGGAAGAAGAAATTTACGGCCACGTCACTGCTGCTGCTGGGCGTCCGGTGGCTTATGCTTCTGAACACGATTGCAGAGGCTCTGCCAGTAGGGCCAAAGTGGTGTGAGTCCGTGTATGCTGCTGAGCACTAGCCCCAACAATTCACTTACCCGATGGTGTCGCCATCATCCAGGTGTGCAGTCCTCGTTTTCGGAGATCACTCCCTGAAAAACCATATTTTTATCTATGTTCAGGTGCCGATTTATTAATATATTGGATAAAGTCGCGTTCTTCCTGATCACCATTCTAATCGCATGTGAGAATAATCACCACCGACTTGTCTCGGACTGACCGTTCATGTAGTATTCTCCGCTCTGCGTGTGTACGCGCTGTGGCAAGCGTCAAGGTTGAAGCATGCATTCCCCGTCATCATACTCATTCTCGGGTTGGTCCCAGTCGGAACAAACCTTGTGAGGCGTCTTCTTATGAACTAGTCAACTGTTTTTATTGAGTTTCTTCTAGTACGTTGAGATTCAAACCACAGCTGTGTACGCTGAACTTCCGCTCTTCTCAACCTGCGAAGCAGTCGACGACCTCTCACCAGAACTCAACACCATGTGAGTGTGGACCTACGCCACCAGTCCTTCGTGCACTGATTGATGTTCTTTAGATGTACGTCTGCCGCGAGGCTTATATTTACACTCTGACGCCTTCCCGCACATCTATGTAGTGCTCTACCTCACAAGAGGCAGTGCAGTTGCTGCTGATATTCTCGTGCTCGTGCTGACGTGGATCAAGTCATTCAACCAGCTGAAGGAGCTACGGAGATTCAAGTTCGGCTTGTCTGCCTCAACCGTGCTTCTACGAGACGGTGCGTATACCAACGACCGCTTTCTCTTTCCCATGCATAATACAATTCATGTTTTTCGCTGTAGGCACGATTTATTTTATGTAAGCCAGGCGTGGAGAAAGTAAACAATGATATTCGTCCCTTCTAACGTACAATCTTCAATCTCTAAGTGTCATTTTAGCAGTAAATCTCTTGCAAATCCTGACATACTCAACTACTCCCAACATGGTAATTAGTGAAACACGCTCTGTTCTAAGCAGGTTCTGATTTTGTGCAGGGAACCTACGCGGAGAGCTTTCTCCAAATAATAGTGCGAGTTCTACAAGTCTGTACATCAGAAATACTCACCGGTCAGATGTCGCCGATTACAGCCACCGCTCCTGTTACAACGCTTCATGTTGAACCTCCGTCAGCTCCATCCTGCAAATGACGAGAGCAGTCTCGATACACCAAGCCCTTCCCGGCTCTCCATAGTATTCAGAGTACCGTCTGATTTTCTCGGGAATATCGGAGAGCCTCTGCACTTTGGCCTATCTGAGACCTACGGCGACGGCGACGGCGAGAACTACTATCCGGTAGAAGAAATGGAACACGAACTTGCAGACGATTCCACGCCGTGGCGAGACCCGTCGGCAGGTACGCTCTGGAACGGCTCTGGTGCTGCAGTCAACTAAATATGCAGGTGAAGAGGACAGCGTCGTCTCATCCGCTTCCTCACAAGGAATGCCTCTGAAGAATCTGGGGCCCCTCAGGCCGGAGGATGAGGTACGTGCTGTAAGTTCAGCTCTCTGGTGCCTCGCACAGCTAAGCATGCGTATGCAGGAGTTGTTGAGCGAACGGTAGCCACCATGGTACGCAGATAGTTAGAAAGACCAGCCCACTTGCAGGTTGATTCTGGCTCTGAGATAAATAGCCATTCGTACTTCTCGTAGAACAACTGCCCAGCCCTCCCCTGTAGCAAGCCTATGCTCTTCGTGCCGATTTCGCCGAGAATATGTATTTTATCACTACATTCTCTCGCATGTACTGGGCAAGTACTGGGCGTGCGAGATTTATTCAAACGACTTATGTGACCTTGGCGACGAGTCGCTTGAACGTGGCTCAAAGATGAGAAAGTTGGTGTGAGCATTTTCGCAGCAGACGACGGGACCACATCCCGTGTTCTCCTGTACTGTTAACTGATAGGACCTAGCATGAGTTTATGAGCCAGTCCTTGGTCCATGACTGAAGCAACACCACGGCGGTATGATTGACCATCCTACCTTGATTGCGCTGGTACGGTAGCTGTTTAAGAATGAACATGGCACTGTTTGCGCTCTCTCGGGCTGGTAGGCGCCATTTGAACTCGGGTCGTCCTGCGGGGATACCCTGTTCCATGGGCGCCAGGGCGTCAGGTAATGGGACGTGTTTCAACCGTTAGTGGCAGGCCAGGTATCTTGATTACGCGGATTAATGGGAACGCCGCGGACGCCGCAGGTAAGGGAGCTGTACGTGGTCGCAAAGGTGTGTAGCGCCTATGTGGTAGTGTGGTGGTGAACCTGATTGCATCGACTTCGAGCCGCTCAGGGTGAGAGGTGTAGCACACATGCGTCTTCTGGTCCCCACTATGATCATCAGGCTCGTGTAATTCGTATTTCCCGAGCTTAACATGAAAGCACTGCACAGGACGACCAAGATGTCCTGGAGGTGGCATTCGGTCGGTATCTGCAGTTCTTCTTGAATGCGTCTGCTCTGTAGAATGTTAGCTACCTTTTCTGTCGGTAAGTTCTATCAGTTGCCGATGGGATGGCAAAACGACCTGGAATCACCTTCAAGGAAATGTCGCGGTTGGCTGTTCCTAGACGCCCGAACTGGCGGTGGCGTGAGGCGACTAGGGTTAGGGTTACGGCAGCTCGCTTAGACTGGGTGCGCGACTGCTCGTCTTTGTCGAACAGACACTGATCGAGGGTCTCTCCGCCCATTAGGCTTTGTGGCGCTGTTATCTCTTCATCTTCTGCCGATCGTATTGCCGAGCAAGTTTCAACGCCCACTACCTGATTCTTCCAACTTTATCCAAAACGAAACCTCCCCTTGAAGGCCTCGGATACGCGGTTAGTATCCTAACTTACCCTCTCGTTCGAACTGCAGATTTAGCCCATCTCCAGAGACCTTTGGTGTCCCTACGAATTTAATTTACTTTCTTTAGCCATACCACCGAGTGACCGACTCCGACTTTCACTTAATCCCCTTCGCGCTGGTTATGTCCCGGCTTGCCGGTGCATTGAAGGAATCGATGGGGTTCGCCTCCAATGATGGTGAAATCGAATTATAGCCAATTGCTCAATAACGTATACCCATCGATTTTACCAGCAGCATACGCAAATTGTGCGCCGCAAAGAGGAAGTCAGGTGCAGGGTTGCCGGATCGCGAAGTTTGAGGGTGAGCGATCCTACCGCATTATCTCACGTCCATCTTTCTGCTTTCGGATAGATCTAAGCTTATTTAGCCCCATTTGACTCCCAGGCTAGTTTTCTTCCTGATGCTAGGGGTGAGCGGTTTCTCGTGAGTTTCGCCTATCCTTTTGGTAATAGCCGCTTATAATTGATATTCCTCGTAGTTCGCGCTGTACTATTCTGCGATAAACATTTGATTTCAGCTTCGACCTTGTGGCGTTAATTCACACGTGAGTCACGTCAATAGAGTTTGTAGTCGTGATGACAACATTCTTTCCCACCACCCGCCCTACTCCCTGCAGGTTCGCCAGGTCACGCTTCTGATAAGCTCATCAGTCTTCTGTCCAGAAAGGCTCGTTCGCTTATATTTCATATGCTTGAGAATCTCACGGTCTCGGGCTGCAGGTGAGCCTGCGCGACATGTCCTGTGGAGCTGCCCTCGACACCCAAGTACCCATGGCCCACGGCATAACGTCAACAGACCTCTTGCACGGAACGAAGCACGGTGCGCTATCTAGGCTTCTGCCTCGCGTTCACATCTGGTAGCAACTCTGGCAGGGTTGGGCGTCGGGCACCGCGGAACACATCGCCAAATTGCACATTGCAGCACCCACGAGCATGAAGACGGCGTACGCTTACTCCACCCCGTTCCTCACGCTCTGACATGTCGGCAGGTGACCCTCATCTGGAACCTCCAGTTTGCCAGGTAGATCGTCACCTAAAGGAAGTTCATTAACCTACCTTGATATGTTCTTCAGTTCTGCAACGCGCCCGAAACGAGGCAGGCTCAGGGTTTCTCACAGCGCTGCGGCACCATTTTGTGCCTAGGGTCACCGTGCTCAAATAGCTCAAGCTTGAAGACGGCAGACACAGGAGGATTGCCACCTCCCGTGTGCTGGCATACGGTGCTACCCTTCGCCCCTTCTCCGCGACACTTCCACTGTGACACCACCTTGCACTCGGAGTCTTCGCTTTCGACTCTTCCTTATTCCGCTCCAATTTTTTTTCGGGAATGTCGAGGTGCGTTGTGGGCTGGTGCCAAAGCGCAGAAAGGCACTAAAGCAGAGTTTGCAGAATGGAAGAGAACTCACACCGCTGGTCCGAGGTTATCCCGCCGCATACGGCGCTCAGCTTTGCGGCCTTTTGGGATCCCGAAGAGGGTCTCGTCACCTTTTCCGGCGGCGAGCTGCTGAACGCAGATCTCGAAGACTTGCCCAGTCTGCGAGATATGCCCCTGGACGCGACCGAGGCTCGCTCACAGATTATCACCCTCGATGGGCTCTCGCTCGCGCTCTCCAGCATGATGCTCGACACGGCGGGCCTGCCGCGGGCCAACCGCGTCCAATTCTCCGCCAATGCACTCGACGAGGGACAATCAATGCTAGACCCTTACATGCGCTACCTCGAGGCACGGCGAAAAGAGGCTGTGCGCCTTGCCGAGGAAAAGGCGCGGCGGCGGAAGCAGAGAATCGTGCCGCTCGACTGGGCCCAGTTGCGGAACCGCATCTTGCGGCCGTTCAGCAGCAGTGCACACGACGGCGAGAGCGAGGTCACGTGCGACGGCATTTTCGAAGAGGCGCCCAGAACGGCGTGCACGACCACGAGCGCGCCCATGCTCGTGCATCTCAACCTGGTGTGTGTGCGCTTTGTCCCGGCCTGGAGCCGTTCCCCCGTTGTACGCACCGCTGACCCCGCATCACGCCTCCCAGAAATCCGCGTTTTCAATGACGACGACCTCGACCACGGGCTACGTCGACGTCGACACGCCCTCCGTCTACTCCCAAGACGACTCCTCCGAGGCCTGGTCGACGCTCCACGAGCCCGCCCCGCACACCTGTCCGAACCGGCCGGCAGACACGCGGCGCCGCCTGCGCAAGCAGCGGCCGCCGGGACCGCTGCCCGGCGACTCTGCCCCCGCGAGCCCCGACGAGGTGCTCGCGCGGCCGGCGTACAACCACATGACGGGCCTCGCAGAGGGGGGCGGCACACCGACGGGCCCCGCAGAGTCTCTCGCGCGAGGCGTGCGCCGGCTGCGCTCGCTGCCCAGGATATCGACGAAGGTCCCGCGCGGCGCCGAGCCGTCCCCGACGACGTCCGCGAGCGACTCGACGACGGTAGTGCCCTTTCCGCCTATGCCACCCCTGCCACCGGTGTCGCCCCTGTCGCCCGGGAGCCCGGCGCGCACGCACAGCGGCGAGAAGACGACGACGCTGCGGACGCTCCGGAAGCCGCGGTCGGTCACGAAGCTCGTGCGCGAGGGCGTCGAGCGGTTGCGGTGCCACGGGAGGACCTCCGTCAGCAGCTGGCGGACGGACGAGTGGGAGAACATCTTCGTATAGCGGAGCGGGCGCGGGTGCGCCTCGCGCTGTGGACGATATTAATTTTTTTCTTCTTTTTTTCTTGCGCCTCGCCGGTCCATCGAGGTGCATGCACGGACACTCGCTCAGGTGACGGCTGCCCGAATTTGTAGTGTCGCGGCTCGAGGACGCACGCCGTGCCGGCTCCGCCCCTTTCTCACCTAGAATGAACGATGCGGTCGATGTTTTGCAATCCCCGTCTTTCTTTGCACGCCCTTCGCCTTCTTCTGCCCTTCGTCTCCTTCTGCCCTTCTCTTGGGAGACTAGAAGATCCTCCTTCCGAGCTTCTTTTCATATTCCTGGTGACGCAGCACGCTTCGCGTCAGGCCTGGCCTGTTTGTATACGACCGCACGACGAGCACGAGAATTGTATATCACGAGCACTGTGTATATCACCGACTGGATGTTGAGATAGCGATCATTTCATGTGTCTGCGTACTGCCCCCTCGCAATGCTGCTATACAAATTGTATATTGTGGATCTGATGGGGCCAGCACAGGCCGCCTTGTATTTGACCGACGGTCGTGTCTTGGATTCATAACCGTCCCGCGAGGCTCCCACTGGATTACGGCATGCTTTGTCGCATAATGGCGGCGGCAGGCAGCGGCACGGTGCTCGAGCAAAATTACACTTGGGATCCTGGCCATGCAAGATTGTCGACTTCGCTTTCTCGAGCCTTGGTTCACCCCACCTCGTGGACCCCACGCCGTCGAGCCACCGAGTGGGCCGCCGCAGGAGGCGCCTCTGACACCGGGTTGAGTCGCGCGCGCTCTAACGGTCGCAGGGCCCACGGTCGTTGTCGAAATAGACCCAGCTTGCCAGGGCAGACTGGACAGTCAGGGGTGCTTCACTGACTTACAGACAGGTGGACGAGACCTGAGGCACCTCAGTGCCCGTTGACGTTGCCGGTGCTTCCGCACAGCGAACCCGGAGACCTGCCAAGGATGGCCCTGCACGGTAGAGCAGGATCGTCACGGACACATTACAACAGCCATGGTCAAGTCCAGGACCCGACTGTATGCTGACGAGCAGCGCTCGCAGACCTAAGGCAGCGCTCCTCCAGGGTTGAACCGCACCACCCCAACTACGCGTCGACGTCGCTGGGTCTTTCCGCACGCACCCGGGGACCCTGCACAGATCCAAGCCCTGCGCAGCACCAACAGGACCACCGCCATTGGCACCACAGGACCACCACATCGGCTACATCCCAACAACGACACACTCAAGTCCAGCACCGCAAGAGTGCACTGACGCGCAGCGCCCGCACCCGGCGAACGCAACATCAGGTGTAAGACAGCAAAATCCATACAAATATCGCTTCGGTGACACCAAAAACAAGTACACGGGCAGGTATTGGTCGACATGTGCGAGGGTACGCATCCACCCCCGCGACGAGGCTGCAGGATCGTCCCGCGGTGGCCTCCCCTCCTTCCCTGTTCAGGCTGGTCCGCGGTGGGTCAAGGTAGCGCGCGCGTGTGTGTCCAGAGCGGGAAAGAGAGAGCGGGTTAAGCGGTGGCGCGTCCTGGACGAGCACAGCAAGGGGGGAGGGGGACGGGGACGGGGAGGGAGGTGCTACAAATAATTATCGTACAAGATATTACGCATGACAAGAGCGGCGGGCGTTTTTGTTCGTCTGTGGACAGGCGTGTGTCACCGGCCGTAGTAGTACGGGTCTTCTTCCCAGGACTCTGCACGAGCGGGGAAGAGGAGGCCGGCTGTTAGCACTTTGGAGCGCAAGTGGCGGACGGAGGCTGAGACGCACCTTCTGTTATGCTCCGCCACGCGAGGTGCAGCACGCCGACGGCGGCGGTCTCGAGGACCGTCGCGACAAAGGACCCGTCGATCTTGGCGGGCGTGACACCCTGCGGGGGGAGAGGAGGCGAGGCGGACGTAGGTCAGCGCGCGGAGGCGGGGCTGTGGGGAGCCACCGACGAGACAGAAACACTCACTTTGCAGATGACCTTGTTGAGGAGGAAGTAGTCGAGCTGGCTGAGGATGAAGAGCACGGCGGCGAGGACGTAGTACCAGATGGGCCGGATCTCGTTCAGCATGCCGAGGACGATGTACAGCATGAGGGCGAAATACAACAGGGCGGCGCTGCAGGAGTCGCGTGAGCCCCGGGGCAACGCCTGCATTCAAAATAAAAACGTACGCTCCAGGCCAGATCGTCGTCAAGACGAAGAGGGGGACGCTGTGCAGCGCGTCGGGCGGGTTCGAGGGCCCGAACACGGAGGTGAACGAGAAGGCGACGTCGAGCGCGATGTACGTCGTGGCGACGACGAACGCGAGGATGAAGAACGAGAACGGCTGCACACGGGGAGAAAAGGTCAGGGTTGAGTTGCGGTCCGCGCGCGACACAGGGCCCGTGGCGACTCACGATCAGCGAGCTCAGCGTGCCGTCCTCGACCACCTGCGTGCTGACAATGGCCGTTCCAAGCAGCGTCCAGAACGTCGCGGCCACCGCTCCCGCATGTATCGCCGTGAGGACCGTGAGGGCGTCCGAGCCCTGCTCGAGGAAGGCCCCGGTGGTGAGGATCTGGAGCAGGAGGGTCAGGAGGTAGCACCCGAGGAAGATGCGGAACTCGGTTCTGCCCACGGCCGCCTTGCGGCGGCCCGTGATCCAGGCGAGGTAGGCGACGAGGAAGATGCTGAGGCCGCAGGCGATGATGTTGGCGATGTTGGCGACGGAGCCGTTCGTGCCGGCGAGGGCGATGCCGCACTCGGGATTCACGCCAACGGGAGCGGTCTTGGGGTTCGCAGAGAGACCCTGGAGGACGGAGGAGCTGTGATGTTGGAGCTGATGGATTGTTGAAGGATCAGGGAGAGGGCAGAACGCAAAAGTGGTGGCACATACTTGATGGTAGAAGAGATTACACCAGGGATAACTTGGGGTATCTCGGCAGAGGGAACTGAAGTCCCCGAAGCTGACCATGGAGGACGATGAAGGGTATTAAACAGAGAGAGGGATATCAGCAGAGGCGCGGGGTATCGCTGGGACGTCGTAGCAGGTCGTGAAGGAGCGGTGTAGACGATACACACGGTGGTGTGAGCGCATGGGCAAAGTCCAAAACCGACGGGAAAACTCGAGATCAGACAATACGAAATAGGAAATGTTGATTTGACTCGACTGACCCACACCAGTCGGCGAAACGTGCCACGCGAAGAGTACAGACAGAAAAAAGGAGCGACTGGAGACGAGGGACAGCGGGAGACGGTGAGGCAAGCCTCGAGTACAACGTCAAGCACAGCGAGCACAGCGCGGAGACAAATGAAGGCCCATCAACCGGGGCGCTAACTCAGTGCACGGTAACCACGTGGCGACATCCGGGGGCAGAGCGTGAGAAAGCGCGACGCCAGGGCGGGAATCGAGCGCTGTCTGAGCTCTGGGGTACTTGGCTCTTGAGGCAGTTCAAGGCAGACTGGGAGTGCGTGTGCTCGAACACTGCGACTCGAGGCCCGCTGCGGGTGCGGCCTTCACGGGGAGCGTTGAATATTTGGCACATAGGTATATCATCTCCGACGTTAGCTACCCAGACTCGCGGATCAAATGCCCAGTTGGTAAGGTAACGCCTGGTGCAGCCGTCGACGGCAAGCATCGCGCAGTTGCTATGCACCCAGACCAGGATGCGCGAACTTACTCACTCTCCATATCAGGGAGTGGCCAGTGATGGCGTCATTCTGGCAAGCGCCTGTTCTCATTGGCTGGCCAGCACGGGAGGCCGCCAGTACGGTATTGCATGGCAAGTCAATGTCTCTGTGATGCTCTACCTCGCTCGCTGTCAATTCTGACTCGCAGTTTGCTCCAGCCATCGACAGATGACGACATCCTCGAGTCTTTCTCACCGTCCAGGCAGCGACCGAGCGGGAGGCGTGTGCTCCTGTCATGCGAGGTGGGATCCTGACGTCGCCTATGGGGGACGTCGGCCGATTGAGGCAAGTGCCCCACGACAAAGTCTGACATCACTCGACTTCTACTGGAATATTCGCATCCAGGTCGGGACGTAGCGCCGTCCATGCACGTCCTCTGCCGTCAACCGCACTGGCCCTGCTCAAACGTCGCGAAAAAAAAAACCGACGATGCGCGATGCTCTTTGCGGAAACACGTTGGCGCCGTGCTGTCCGTATGGATCGGGGCAGCCATCGGGGGTCCTCGTCTCGGACAAATTGCCCATTGAACGGTGAGATCTCACGGTACGCCGTTCGTGGCTACGCACCTTCCGAGCATCGCCCACTGGTTTCTTTCTGCTCGAAGCGTAGCGCAAGCCCAGTGACTCTGTGACCACCCCAATCCTGGAGGCCGAAGACTGATTGCCTGTCTCTCGGCCTACTATTGCCACCTACGCCTCGTTGTTCGCACGCTTGCAGGTTCCTTCGCCCGGCTATCTATCCAGCCACATCACACAGAACATGCGAAGTTGGCAGTCTGCTGCTAGCTGCCTCGCCACATGCCATACCACGCGTGCCGCTCCCTTCAGAGTCCGAATGACCACTCGGTGTGCATAGCCTACTGCCGGACGCTGTAGACTGCTGGTGCACGGGTCGTTCACCAAGCCTCGATCAGACGTAAGTTGATTCGCGCCAATACAGTCCACTGAGCGCGAGGCTTACACATCTCCAGCTCTATACAGTTGCTAATTGCAGACCCTTGTCGCCCGGCCGCGCAGGACGCGTGGTTGCCTGATGGCTCGGCCCACGGTGAAGATTGGCTTCGATGATTTGCAAATCGGTCATCTGTCCTGCTGCTTCCATACACGTTCGATCTCTGGTCTCGCAGATAACCTTCTAGGTGTGTTTTTCTTCCGCCCTTCTCGATCTTTCCTCCTTCCAGATGTCTCCTGCGCCCCGATAGCGATGTCATTTTTTTTATTTCGCGGCCTGCGCACGCTTGGAACGCAGCTCGGCGTCCGAACACCCCGCCTCGCTCAAGTCGCACACGGCTGCACGTCTCGGACCCTTCCAGAACACCGTGCGCGATTCCCGCCTGCCACTTCGGACCCTTGGGCACCATTCATTCGAGCACAGCACGGCTCGCGCAGCGGAACAGCCAGGGCCAAGAGCCTCAGGGTGCAGCAACCCGCTTGCGTGGGCCGACGTCCTGCGCCTTTTCGCATAGCAACGGCGTAAACCGGTCAGCGAGAACGCGGTCCGTGACCGCGGTGTTTTTTTTTTTTCCTTTCTTTCTTGCAAGGCCTCGAGGCCACGCGCAGAGGAACAACTCGGCGCGATCGTCGCAACCGCGGAGACCCACCTCCCGTCCGTCCGCGGAGCGCGGCGTGACGTGTGCGCTTGGCTGGCACACCAAGCAAGCAGCGTCGCGCGACGTACGGCGTCCGGGAGCGGCTCCGGGCCCGCCTCTTGGCGCAGCTAGTCTCCTGCAATGCGGAGCATCCTGCAGGGCAACCGCCTCCCCGATCCCTTGTTATGGCGTGCGGCGCGCGGCGCTGTCATGTTCTGACTCCCGTACGTGCAACGCTAGCGCGTCTGCATGCGATGCCCAGCTCTTCGGATCAACCGTTTTTTTCTGCTTTGTGGCGCATGGGTGGCAGCCCTCTGTCGCGGAGGCGGAGCCCCCGGGTGGCGGAGCTCCGCGGCGCACAGCTCGCAGTGCACTTCTGACCAGCTCACGAGGCCCGGGCTCCTTCCTTTCCTCGTCTCTTTTTCTTTCCTTCACCCGCCAACAAACTCTGGCGGTGCGCCGCGACAGGCACCTGGAACATAGAAACTGCGGCACGCGTACAGCACAACACCGTGCAGTTCCTGAGACTCGATGCCGAGAACATGTCGGGTGGCGTGTGGTAAACTGTGTCTAGGCCGCGCTCTTAAACACATGTAATGTCCGCATCTATGCTAGTCCCCCCCGACGACAAATATCACGTTTAGTCGTCCGAAAATCACGCAGCGGCCACTCGACGGCTCAAACGAGCCTCACGTCCTATAAATAAAATTTTATGCAAGCTCAACAGCTCGCGAAATGAATGTCCTCTGCCGAAAACATATGTCTAGGCTGGCCACGAAATAGAAGAGCCACAAGCGAAACTAGGACCGAGGAGTAAAGCTGTGCGCGCTCGTCCAGGAGACCCACGCTGTGCTTAGTCAGCATTCTTCTTTGGGAAACGGCCCCAATCGCGCGTCTCGTCTCGTTCGCGTCGAACCCATCCGCGTCCTTGCGCAGGAATGTCCGTCCCACCCGTGCCGACGAGCTCAGTGCCTCCACCACCGGAGGCGAAGGCCCCAGCGTCGCAGCAGCCCGCGGCGACGGCGCCGTCTCCGGAGATGGAGCAGACCCTCGCGTCCTTGACGTCGCACCGGTCGGTGCTCGGCTACATGCTCCTCTCCCGCGGCCACCCCGTCACCATCATCCGGCACTCCGGCGTCGTCTTCGAGGGGGAGCAGGGCAAGAAGTACGCGCACATGATAGGCCGCGTCGTGGACAGCGTGCAGGGCGGGCTGGAGGAGGTCAGCGGCGACTCTGGCGACACCGTAAGTGGCCTAGCTTGCCCCCGTCTCGCGTTCGAGAATGTTCTTCCTTGAGGACACACACAGGACGAAGTACGCTTCATGCGCATCCGAACAAAGCGCCACGAGCTGATGATTTCACCCGGTGCGTTGCCTTGCGGACTTGGCGTGCACAGCCCTCATCTTGGACTCCCTTACTGCAGACGGACGGTTTCTCCTGGCAGTGCTGCACGACCCGACGTCCTGAAGTGCCAAGTGCATCCCGTCTCCATCGTGCATCGATCGTCCGTCACGCGTTTTCGTTCTATACCCATGGACATCGTGTACAGTACAGCTCGCACACCAGCATCTGCGATCCCCAATAGCTGAGATCACGTCATTGCGGGGCTTTTTGCGCGCGCCTCAAAGGTTCAAGAAAGGCCTCACATGAACCCCGTTTCAGGCTTTCGTAAGACACCAGGCACTCCTGGCGCATGTGCCGTGCAACCGCCCACGGTGCCGACTAGTGGCACTCTAGCGTATCGCGGCGCAAGCCTGGGCCATTTGTCCAGACGTCGTCTCAATATAGTGGCCAGTCTAATCTTTCACGTCGCGCGCGACACCCCAGTAAGTCGTTGACAGAATGTCTTTGATCGGCACGAGATTACGATCTGCGCTGTTTGATCCACAGAGCCCATGCCTCCGCTCAGCCCGCGCCGAGCTGTAGGTCTGGGTTGGGAATGAGACACGTAAAGAGGCCCTCTGTGGCTCGCTGGGCCCGCCGTTTGGGGACACGTTTTCTGCGAGCCGGAACGGGCCCATCGCGCGGGCCTAGTCTCATATTCACATTGCTGGTGCCCTTCAAAAGCTTATTTCTCTGCTGCGATCTCGCTGTCGAGGCCGGGCCCCATGTCACGGACCAATGACGGCCAGGCCTGCCATCCTGGTCTTTCCGCATCCATCAGCAGGCGCTGATGGGACATGTTGGCCAGGAGACTATGCTTGCGTGTCCAAGACACCGACGCAGGCAGAACTTTCTCTCCCGTCGTTTCCACAGATAGAGTTATCAGACTTCGAGATTCCTGTTTGAGGGCTATCAAATCGTAAATTGTTGTGCGAGAATCCGCCACGCCTGAGCCGGTCGATACGCCAATCCTTTGTCCTGTCACGGACCACCGCCGCGCCCGCACGCAGCTAGGAACGTCCTGAGCGACGATTATTTCGCCCCCGCTGCCTCGGGTCGAGGTCGGGGAAAAAGGCTCGAGATCAACGGGGCGGCTGACGGAGTGACTGAAAGCTGACATGCGCTCCGCGCCACGGAAGCTATTCGTCAGGACCCTCTCTGCGGATCGCTGGCCCAGATCTGAACGATCGACAACAAACGGCAGTTGCGCTTCGCCAGGGTCAGACGGCGACTTTAAGAAGGGGCGCGTGCGCGACATGGCCCAATCTTCCTCGAGCTCACGCAACCCTCAGGTTCCTTCGCCAGCGTCGTCGGCAACGTGCCACTGTCTCATTGGGACTGCTTGATTAACACGTTGGCCCACACCGTCCACGAGGACTTCTCGAGGAGACGGCTCTGGACTCCCAAACGTGACTCGCATCTCGTTCCGAACTCCACGACGCTTGCGAGCCCCAGGTATGTAAGTCGCTTCTCATCATATCTCACATTCCTGCCTTTTCCTCATGCCTCCCTCTAGGCCTGCCAGGTCTTTTGCAGTCTCGATGCCGCTCGACATCCCTCGCAGCGACGATCCGTGGAACCTCAGGCCGTACGACGTGCCTTGGGGGCCCTCATACTACCAGTACAAGCCGGGGAAGCTGCCGGGTCACGACGGCGACTGTCTCATGTTGCGCTCGCCCACGCCAATCGAGCAACGACGGACTGCCATCGCGTGCAGGCACTGTCGCCAGCGAAAAGCCAAGGTGCGCATCCCCACGTCGCTCTGTCCCACGAATGACGTCCCAACCCCCACCTCTCGCTGACAGTGCAGCGGCGACCAACCCGCCTGCAGCCGCTGCGCATACAGCGGTCGCAAGTGCGTGTATCCCGAAGAGCGGCGCCCACAGCCCGCTAACAAGCCAAGGGCCTCCAAGACCGCGCGCGACATCCTCTCCGATTCCTTCCGCCGCGACTCGTCGATAAGCCTCGCGTCCACCAGCACCGACTCTTCCGAGTCGTCGTCCGAGGAAGTGTACGCCAAGGAAGAGGACGACAGAGACGCCGAGTCGTACCTGCTGTACGATATGAGGTCGGAGGGCCACCTGCAGCACTGGCCGCCGTACTGCACCATCGACTCTCCCCGCAGCGAGTACTCGTCGCCCCCCTCGACGGCGTACAGCGAAGTCGACTACGACGTCGTCGTCGGCGGCGGCGGCGGCTCGCAGACGTACTTCGACTATCACGAACCCGGCGCCTCGACATCAACGCCGTCAACGCTGTCCGCGGCCATCTACGCTCCCAGGCCTGTGCACCCCTCAGCTGCACCACCTGATCTCGCGTATCCCCATTCAGAGATCGTGCCGCAAGTTCCCGGAGAACCTGTGCGATCGCCCCCAGGCTTTCCCGATCGTCCCCGCCAATCACGATTGGGGGGAGGTGGCCGCCTGTCAAAACACAGTGCGCCCTCCCCGATGCTGTGCTCTCGCCCGAGGACGCGCTACCGGACGCCCCGGCGTCTCGGCCGTGCCGCCCTCAGCAGCACTCTCTCTCTCTCTCTCTCTCTCTCTGAGCTCGGTATGCAGCCGGGCGGGAGAAGTGCGAGTACGTCAAAGTTCCCCAGTGCCCGGACCCTGTGCGAGGGCAGCGCACCTGCCAGCTCGACCCCCCATGACATTCGTGCAATGATAGGGTCGCCGAGGGTGGCGCACGCTCGCGACCGTGGGTGGAAGCAGAAGCAGCAGCAGCAGCGTACGAAGGGGGAAGAGAAGTGTTCGGGAAAAACGGCGAATTATTATGTACAAAATACCCTATGCCTGACTTTATGCTACATACGTTACACGACGTCTAATAAGCCCCTGGGCCGTGCAGAGGAGCTAGAATATGTGGAAGAGCCAATATACAGCGACGGACGGATGCTACCTGCGACGAGCGGCGCGGAATATCCAATGCGAGAGATGGAGAGCAAGCAGAGACTGTACGGGACGACTGGGACCAAAAGGAGAGACAGTAAAACAAGGGTCAAGACGAAAGAAGCCACAGAGAGAGAGATGATCAAGATCACATGGCCGCGCCGTGGGCGTAGAGCAGGCCGCCGGGCTGCTCGGCGTAGCAGGCGGCGTACGCAGATGCTCCGTTGTCGAGGACGTAGTAACCAGCACGGTCGTCGACATACCACGCTGCTGCCGCATAGGGCATCTGCAGCTCAGGCGGGACCGGGAACGGCGCCTGGGCCGCGTACCCGTAGCCCGCTTCGCTGAAACACGCGGACTGGGCGTCTGGCACGCCGACGTAGCTGTGCGAGTCGCTGGGGGGCGAGAGAGAAAGAAGGCGTGCGTGAGCCGAGACGGCGCGACAGGCGAAGAGGGACGGTGCACTCACGAAGGGACGAGAGAAGCCGCGGCAAGTTCCGCGCCGTCCGTGATCGATATGAACGTCTGCGGGGGGGCCCCTGCGACGGAGATGGGGCCCCCTGCAGATTCTGGTGCGCAGCCAGCAACAGCACCAGCAGCAGATTGCGCTGGCGGATCTTGGTAGCTGTTGGGCGGCAACTTGGCGTGGTGGATCGCACGCGAGATCGCCGTGGCAGGCAGCAGCCCCAAACAATAAACACAGGCTCACCGCGGGGAGGGGCAGGCTCGCGCTTTTTTACTGATTGGCGTGACGGGGACTTGACGGTCCACGTTCGGCACGCGCTCATGGCCTCTGGCCTCAGGGCCGCCGTCGTCCCTGCCCTCCCCCTGCGCGGGAGAGCGACGTCGTCGTTGCTGTCCTTGCCTCGTGCACCGCGCACAAAAGGAAAGGGGCAAAGCGGCGAACCAGGTACGGCCTCTTCGGCCAGCCCAGCCCAGCCGTCCGCTGGATACGAAATATCCCTGGCGGTGATTGTGGCAGGTGGGAAAAAATCTGGTGTTGGCACGCAGATCAGATCGAAACGTTAGCCCAGCAGGCACTTCGTCCTCGGTAGACTGGAGCCCGCAGACCGAGGGTTGGCCCAGCTCGTGCTCATGGCAAGGTTTGCGCGCGAAGTCTGGAGAAGGTGCTGCTCCCCAGACATGCAGCACACAAGCGGGGCTCGGGCTAGTAGAAGGTGATGCCATGGAGGTCAGAAACAGGCTGAACTGGGCAGGTGCAAAGAAATCAGACGCAAGAATGGCCTATTAAGGGCCGGCGTGGGGTCACTGCGAAGCACAAGTGCATCAAGCGACGTATACGCTGGTAGCCACGCTCTGTGGTCATGGGTGCCATCCAGCCGTTTCTGCACCGTTCTGCCGCGGGTTTCGAGCACGGTCTATCTGAGACATCTGCGCAGAATCAGCAACCAGGCTTCTTCAGCGCAGAGGATGGGTGCGGGCCAAGTGTTGGTTGGGTGCGCTCTAGAGAACCGGCGGCAGAGGTGTGTGATAGATGCTGACGGCACCCGAAAATATACAACTGAGGGCGCGTCGCGTCACGATTCCACGGGCGCACTATCGCCACGCGCGTGCCCGAGCTACGGCTTGCAAAGGCGCATCACAATCACAGGAAGCGTCTGCCCCGCTGACCCCGCTGGCCACGGCACCGCCGCCGCGTGGCTCGGGGAACTGACACGTCGGGCACGAAACACGCTCGATCTGGCAATAAACACGTAGCGCGCGCCGCGTCTTCTAGTTTCCAGGGTAGACTCTGCGGGCCTCCGGCGGTGCCGAACAGTTGCCAGGCAGGACACAGACGCGGGACCGACCAATGCCACCTCGCCCAGACGGACCCGAGGGCGCGCTGGTGGCGGCGCTAGTGGGACCAGCGGGGCCAACCGCGCGCGTGACGCCACAGCGCAATACGGTACAAAGCCCCGTCCAAATGCAGCTGGTGGCCCGCCGCGCGGCGTGCACTCCGCCCGCGGGCAAACTAGCGAGACTTGTTGCTGGCAAAAAAAGTTGCAAAACAGCTCGCCCTCGGCAATGGCAACGACGAACGGTGCCTGCGTGTGCCTCGCGGTGCGGGGAATGCACACCCCCTAACCGTCCAAGGGCACGCAGATTCACATTGCAGATGACATCTGGGGGCTATCAGGCCCGGAGGGCTGGGCAGGCTTCCCCCCAGCACGGGAAGCCTAACCGCGGGCGACGGCCGGACTCAAAGAGCTGTTCAACGAGTGCCTTCGCGATAGCCGTGGTCGAATTTAGAATGCATCCTTAGCGATGCGCAGTGGTCCGTCGGGAAAGGATCTTCGTACCGAATGAAGCGGTCATCGGAAGATGTACGATCGAGTCGGGGTGCTGTACTTTAACAAAGGTGCAATTGCACCGCAGGGTAGAACTGTGACACGGCCATGACAAGGGTGATAGCATTAGCGAAGTACTATCTCTGTCAAAGGAGGCATGGAGGCAGTCAATAGCCATGACTCCGTCGACCGTTCAGCCTGGCAAGACGTCACGGTGAAACAACGTGCGTGGGACTGTCCGTGGCTTCCTGCACCGCCATAATAAAGACGAATAGCCGTTATATTCCTTGCGCTGATGCGGGCAAACCACTCGCAAAAAACGCGCCACAGCGACGGTCGGCAGCGGAAAATTTGGGTACAGGGCAGACTGCAGATCCCAACGAGGCGCACAGCTTCGTCATGAAGCGAGCGAATATGCCAAGACAGCAATATCTGAGGTTCTCTGTCTGCACAAAATGTCGACTCCGTCGTCGAGCCCATTACCGGTGCGTGCTCCTGCCGGTTCGTACGCCAAGCATGCATCTGACCCGCTTTCCTGAGGGGCCTGGCTCGGAGCGTTCGGCAACTGGGTGGGTGGATCGGCGATGGTAGGTTGATGGATAGCACAGCCCGAAGGGACCGCCGTGGATCGCAGATCATGGAGTCAAATCAGGTTGAGCGCATACATGACGCTCTCTAGACTGTTGCTGAACCGAGCGCACACTGTGCGCATGAAGAAGTCGATGGTATTAGAGAGCGTCGAAGCTGTTAAGGGAAAACACAAAGTCCAGTCCAGTCCCGTTATTCCGTGCGTAATCCTGGTAGGTGAGTGGACATACCGTTAGTAACGGTTATGTCCCTGACATTGCGCGTACGCAGACTGCTGAAGGTTCAATACCAGACCACTTGGAGACGTAGCGGCCTGCGTACACGAGAGAGAATCCACAACATAGGATTACGGCATAAGAAGCAGCCGGGTGCATGAATAATGGCTGTACATCGTTCTCAAGCCGTCTCGTGGCCGATGAGGCCCAAGCGAACACCGAGCCGGACATCCGCGCGCGAAAGTCCGCGTTCGCGGCGGCGCTGACAAGGCAGAAAGACGAACAGACACAGACAGAGATTGCACGGACGGACAGCGTGTGAGACCTCTGCTTCGGCCGCCCGGAGACGTGAGAGCACGAGAGTGGACACAGCGGAGTCGATACTCTGCAGTAAGACAAAAGTCATGCCGAGTGGACGTCAATTACAGCACCGGAGACGATGTGCGAAGAGCCTCCCATGAAGCACGGGCTTAGAGATGGAGTTTTGTCCGGCGCGCGGAGACATTGGCAGAGATCGTTGCCCGTAGGAGTTATTTCGGATATTATATCTCGAAATAAGCCCGTCCCGGCCGTCATGTTCGCCCGTAGAATAGAAGACGACGAGCAGAGATGCAGCAGAGCCGAATGAGAAGCCAGCTGTACACGTCTTGCGATGGTCAAAGAGTCAGGGCATCTCTGACAAGACTTAGGGACGTGGCAACTTCATCTGTACGCACAAAGACAACGGGGCGGTCATTAAGAGAGATCTGCCTCGAGGCGGAAGCCATGTTCCAGGAGTCCGCAAACATTCCAGCTGACAGATGACATGATGGAGATGGCATGATAAACAAGTCGCCCGAACCCAGAAATGACGATAATGAGAAGTGGTCGTGTTGACAGCGCCAGCGAGGAAAAGATGTACAAGTCGCAGAGCAGTGGTATAGGAACAATCCGGAAAGGACGCTAGAAATACTGGATAGCGGGATCAGCGTGCCGCTATGCGGCAAGGGGAGGCGACTCACCAAGCATTGGAATTGAAATCGATACATGGTGATATAACGGTACATTGCGATTAGGAGGCATGGGATCGTTGCGCTTCGAGTGCTGGGGGTTCCTTCAAGGGATTCTCAGCTCTTGCCTGAGCGAGCAGGGTGTCAAGGCCCTTTTCCTTGACTGCTCTCTGGCGGAAATGGCAAAAGCGTGAGCGCACACGACCAAAGCCCGCAGCGCCCCGACGCACCCGTACACAGGACTGGTACTGTGACCATATCTTTCCGCACTTGGCTTCATACTCCTCCGCCTTGTCCTGAGAATACTTTAGCCGCTCCGCGGGCGTCGCAGAGACAGCAGGCTCGAGGTAGCCCTCGAACCAGGCGTTAAAACAAGAGTCGTACTCGCGCTTGAGAGGTGTGCACTCGTCGGACAAGCTGGAGGCCATGAGCGACGAATTTTAGCGGGCGTGACGAGGCAGGATCGACGTGGCCTGACGAATGTGGGGTAGTTGGCGGTCTGCGTGAGAGAGAGCTGAAATACGTGCAGAGGCAGAGGCACGGAGTTTCCGCTCGCAGTCCCGTGCTCCCGGCTGGGCGTGCCGAGGCCGGCGTCTCCGACGGACGAGGCTTGTCCGAAAGCCTGCGTTTGGCCGACCCGCGCATCCACCACTCAGGCCTGCTGCTAATTCGCGACGACCATGGTTCTCGTCCTCGTCATCGGCGACCTCCACATCCCACACAGGATACACGACCTCCCCGCCAAGTTCAAGAAGCTCCTCGTCCCGGGCAAAATCCAGCAGATCCTCTGCACGGGCAACCTCTGCGACCGCGAGACGTACGAGTACCTCCGCACGGTCTCGCCGGACGTGCATGTAGTTCGTGGCGACTACGATGAGGTGCGCGTGCCACGTATGAGCCCCTGTCTGCTGATTGACCATGGCGCAGAGCGCATTGCCTCTCTCGGTGACCGTAACCCATTCGCCAATCCGGATCGGCGTCGTACACGGACACCAATGTGTCCCCAGCGGGGACTTGGACTCGCTCAGTGCAATCGCAAGACAGATGGATGTAGACGTTCTAATCTCAGGGCACACCAACACGTACGTCTCGGTTCCACTCTGGTCTCGCAGCTCGCCAAACCTTGTCGTCAAAAGCTTCCAGGCCGTCGAATACGACAACCGCTTCTTTGTCAACCCCGGGTCGGCGACTGGGGCGTGGACTGGTAGCATCAATGGGTCAGTTGGTCGCCTATCAGCTATTCATCATAATCACATCTGCTGACCCGCCTGCAGTGAAGCTACGCCCACCTTTGCTCTGATGGACATCCAAGGCCCAGCTGTCGTCACCTATGTCTATCAGCTGATTGACGGCGAAGTTCGAGTTGAAAAGATCGAATATCGGAAGGACATAGAGACCTCAAAAGAACCCCCACGGACCATACCCCAGAGTATACCCAATAGCCCGCCTCCGCAGCAGCAGGCAGCATGGTGATGCAGTGGAAGACAGTGGCTGTGGAAAAGATGTTGTAATGTTAACATGGTTTTGGTACGCCCTTCTTTTGTCTGCTCATGCAGGCTTACTTATGAATCTTTTCATTAAGATTACTTGTATCATTAGCTTCTCGTTGCGTGCGCCGTCATACCGACGCTCGCTTAGGTCTACTTGTACTTCCACGCATGCATCAGCACAATTCGCTGGAATCCGTTTATCTTGCGGCCAATGAAAACGGTGTAATGGGTTTCAGAGATGCGCCATATTGTTGGACGCACCGCTTTGAGCTTGGTATGCGGGCTGACGTTGAGGTAAGCCAGCTGGTCTCAGCCGAGATAACGGAAGTTGACTTTGATATCACAGGGTCACATTCTATACATCTCTCACACCCTTCACGTGAGCGTTGCAGCGTTTGGCAGCGCTGGACTTTAGGTGCATTCTCGTAAGTAGCCAGTGGGTCAGGCAGGTAGCCCATGAACGCAAATCGAACGTCACACACTGTTGCGAGGTAAAGCCACCAATGCTCAAATCATGTTCGCCTATGCCCTGCTGCGCCCTGTAGTGACTGCATGCACAGGTCGGAGATCCTTCCAGCAGGGCTGGTCTCGGATGCCGCTGAGTTGCCCCCAGTCACCACAATCTGATGGTGGTCACGTGCACTTATTAGGGCCCGGGGTCCCTTGAGCTGCGTTTCCCGAAGAAGGTAGGTGGTTTTTATGTTTCGTGTTAGCCATCCTAACGTTGGCCCAGCTGCCAGCTTGACTAGGTCTAAGGTCATTGGCATGTCATCAGATAAATACTAAAATATTTCATAAAAGCTACGCGTAGGACAAGGTGCTGAATCTCACCGCAGAATTCACATCGTACTGCTCCCAATGTGGATTATGCGAGCTGATTGCACCACGCCAACTCGTTGAACACCCGTCTCTGCTGCCAACAGTTCGCCTGCGACGACCCTGCCAGTGGTGGCTCCTGCTGGCGCCACCCATGCACGGTGACCCGGTACGGCTGTCCCGCTGTCCCGACTTCCATCCCGACGGCAGTCACTCCCCGGTGGCAATGAAGCCTCGCTCCATGGGTATCCTGCAGCGTACACCCTTCACGAATCGCGCCTGTGCCGCGGGCCCACCGGGCGCTGCCTGTCATGTGTCGACAGGCTCGACGACGGCCGTTGATGCTCGTCCTCGGACGGCGCCCTCGCAAACAGCCAGTCCCGCGATGCCATCGGAGTGTACACCTCCTCGCGGGGCGTGAGCGGAAACGCCTCCTCGTCGAGCAGCGCCAGCTCGAGCACGATGAAGCCCTCCTTCCACTTCTCGGTCTGCTCGGTCGCGCGCACGAACTTCCAGCCGAGCGGTCCGGCGCACACGGCGCAGGCGGCCTTCTGGACGCGGTAGGCACCCGAGTGCATGAGCATCACGGACATCTTGGCGAGTACGACGTTGTCTCTGCGGGGGTGGAATTCAGTTTTGGGGACCGGAGGGCCCAGGGGCCCAGGTGGGTGTGGACGTACGCTTCGGTGAAGAGTGCGGCCTTGCCGGTGTCGCCTCGGAAGTCCTGTGATTGTGTTAGTTGGATGGATCGGAATATGGGACTGGACGACGCGGCATACCCATGAGAGTACACTAGACCTCTGTGCTATGCGCACTCTGCAGCACCGACACGCGTACTCTGTCCTCATCGTCGACCCTCCCGGGCTGCGTATATCAGGCAGGCTGCGGCGCTGCAGGTTGTGCTCTGGCACTTGGAGCGGCGCTAGGTAGGCAGAAGGTGGCTGTCTGCCGGGACCTGCGCGCATGTGGTCTGCGACGGGCTGGGACTGGCGCATGACGGCGTGCATCGTCCGGAAGAACGGCAATAGATAGAGTGCGGCCTAAATTAAAGGAGAAACACTGCTAGATTAGAATAATATAGAAGAGGCGCTGAAGGAGAAGCGGGGAGAAATCGAACGTTGGAGGGCTGCGAGAGTTGCAGGTTGGGGTATGTGATATATGAAGAGGGGATGGCGATGAAAAGGCACCACGTTGCTGCCTCTCCACTGCATTAGTACGTGCGCGGCGAATAGGCCGGATTCCATGGGAGCAAATGCTTGCACGACCGGTCGGCCGGTGCTAAAATCACAGCCCCCTGATGCTGATGTCTCGTCGGCAGACGAAATCCCCTGATATACACTGGCCACCCTGGATATGCGCATGCGCGTGGGTAAGACCGATCCAATTTGCTGGCAGAGTTACTAGGCTACGTGGCGTGTGTCGAACGTCTCCTTGCTCAGGGAGGTCAAGCTGCCAACTACGACACTTTCCAAAACAGGTAGAATGATCGTTCATCAAAGATGTTTCAGGTGACCGTAAAGCTAACCTGCCTCCTGGCTTGACCTGCCTCGACCTTCCTCGATCTCTGACAAGTTTTAGACTCATGGGTAAACAGAATCTGAAAAGCAGAGTTGAGTAGCCTTCGGAGTAGCGCTTGGTTATCTGGTCATGCTAGTAACGTTCTAGTGTCCTGACGGAGCTGTCCGTTCCCTGTTGCCATACTGACGTGCAATATTTGCGATATGCGGTACGTTTCGCGGAAGCAGAACGAACAGGCTGTGCATCGGATATCGCGGCGGGATGCTCCGCCATCCACTTGATTCTCCTAAGGCAACGCCACTCATGTCTCATCCACGCTCGTGCGGACTAATTTTTCCAACTGGCGCAGGGCTTGGACGGAATCACCTCTCACAGCCGCGGTAAAGAAAGGTATTGCATGTTGGATGTTTCTTTCACTTGATGAAGTCATCAACAATTTTTCTGGGGATGCGGCGCGACCAATTTTCATTTTCGCGTGATGGGTTCGCGTGTGTTCGGTCTTCGATGGGTTCTCAGGCGTGTCATGCGACGGCAGATGGAAGCTTGCTAGCTTGTTCATTGTCGCCGCCACGAGCTGAGCCTACTTTACAGTAACCATGGGATCACGAACATTTCAGACATGCTTGGGTAGATGAGGCCCTGCGATGGCGCCAGCAGCTAGCATGCTCGCAAGCCGAAGCGCTACAGACTGGCACCTGAGTTAATAAGTATTATGTCCCTGAGACAGAGTTTTTGAGTTCTGCGAGCGAAAATTTTAACCGTCAGCTCCAGGTTTAAGCTTGTGTCGGACATGAATCACAGATAGACATCCCTTGACCTGACTTAGTAACCTGCAGACCAAAGCTGAGGTCTGGTTGCGAATAATTAGTGCTTCGTTGTGTCAGGCGCAGGAATTTAAGGTATTAGATGGCCCTTCAGTTGAATCACAGGGGTCCTGTGTCAGTAGTCTAATTATGGGATCCGGGCCAGTGGGTAGAATATCAGGGGAACAGCAGTTTGTAGCTGTGCAAAGATCGGTACATATCCGGGCTAATAAGAGAGCTGTCCAACGGCCCCGCCGCTGAAACATTGCGCTGTAACACCTAACCCTAGCTACGCCACCATCACTTTCAGCGCCTGTGCTCAAGGCCTGGTGAGTGTGACCGCGATATCGTCCCCGGAACCGACTCAAAGTTGTTTGACTTCCTCTCCGACATTCTACGCCATACTAATAAATCCCCAAAATGCCCTCACACCGCGCATTTACCAGCCATAATGTTGTTCTGCCCGGCCACCATCAGCCAGTGCCTGCTACCGTCATCGTAGATGTCTCAGCGGGCAAGATAACTAATGTCATCCAGGCCAGATCCACCAAGGACCAACTGCCAGACATAGATCTGATAGATGTAGGCGACCGGTTTATACTCCCTGGTCTCGTCGAGTAAGCGTGGCTCACATCATGTTCCAATCGCTAGCGCTCACTCCTGGCTCTACTGCCAGCGCACATGTCCATCTTAACGAGCCCGGCCGGACGGACTGGGAGGGGTTCTGGACAGGGACGCGTGCTGCAATCTCTGGCGGAGTGACTACCGTGGTCGACATGCCGCTCAACTCCATCCCGCCAACGACAACGGTCGACAATCTGGACACGAAACGGTCGGCGGCCCAAGGCCAGTGCTGGTGCGACGTGGGATTTTGGGGAGGTGTTATTCCTGGTAACCAGGTAATTATCCAGTTTGTGAGTTGACTGTCTGAGATGTTGGATGTGGCAGCGCACAGACCGACCTTAGGCCGCTCTTGAAAGCTGGTGTACGCGGCTTCAAGTGCTTCCTGATCGAGAGTGGAGTCGAGGTACGAAGGTCTGGTTCATGCTCAGGGCCCCGTTGAGATATGATTATCTCTAGGAGTTCCCGTGTGTGAATGAGAATGACGTCGTACTTGCAATGGATCAGATCAAAGTACGCTTCGTCCGCTGTCGCTCGGGACAGCGCCGGTCACTGACTGACTCTAGGATACCTCAACGGTCCTGTGCTTTTATGCCGAGCTTGAGAGACCTGACACCCACAAGTTCGATCTCCATGGAAAAAATCTGTCATCGTACGACACCTTCCTGACATCGCGCCCCGAGCAGCTCGAGGTCGACGCCATCGAGCTCATCACCAGGCTGCACAAGCGCCACCCATCGTTGCGGCTACACCTCGTCCACCTCTCCGCATCGTCCGCGCTGCCAATTGTACGCGCAGCCAAGGCATCGGGCCTACCGCTCACGGTCGAGACATGTTTCCACTATCTGACGCTGACGGCGGAAGACATCCCCATGGGGCGACCCGAGTTCAAGTGCTGTCCTCCGATCCGTGAGGGATCGAACCGCAAGAGGCTGTGGGAGGCCTTGATGGACGGCACAATCGACTGTGTGGTGAGCGATCACAGCCCGTGCGTTTCCGAGCTGAAGAAGATGGACACGGGAGACTTGATGAGTGCGTGGGGTGGGATCAGCACGCTGGGGCTCGGGCTGAGTCTTCTGTGGACGGAGGGCCGGAGGCACGGGATCAACATTGAGCAAATTGTCGATTGGCTGTGTGTGCAGACTGCGAAGCATGCGGGGCTGGAGAAGCGCAAAGGCCAGCTGGACGTCGGGTATGATGGGGACATTGTTATCTGGGATCCTCAAGCGAAGTTTGAGGCACGTTGCGAGATTGGTTGGCCGCGGGATTTGTGCTGATCTGTTCCTCAGGTCACGAAGGAGTTATTGAAGTTCAAGAACAAGCTGACGCCATATGAGGGCTTGATTTTGATTGGTCGAGTGGAACAGACGTTCCTGCATGGCCAGCTGGTGTACGACTGCAGCGCAGGCGGTTTCATTGAAGAAAAGCCCGTCGGGCAATTGCTTTAACCTCAAACATACGTAATTGTATGGAAGTTATATTCATTTTGGACGGCGTGAATACCACCGACCTTCATTCAAACTTGAAGGAGTATCAACCCTTCTTCCCCGATTGCACATACATTTGACGATGCAACACCTCTTACGCTCGTCGGTCAGTTCTAGGGAGCTGGGGACGAGGTTGATGGTCGGTACGCCAACTTTCTCAACACAAGATGACTGGTCTGCATATCTGGAATAAGTTCAGAACTACCGTCGAGTTCGTCGTGGAGCTAGGAGCTCCCACAGCCCATCTTATTACTCTGCAGTTATGCGTAAAGTACTATTGATGTGCTCAAGATATGGATTTCAGTCATAAATGCCGACTTGCGTTCAGTGGTAAAGTGTCCGTTACACTATCGCACCAATCATACGGTTTCCATATACACAGCATACAATGCTACGCCAGTTCCAGGAATTAAATAAGAAGTACAACGTTGGTGAGATACAGAGAAAGGGAGACGAGGTCACGGTCGGAGTGAGGAGCACGGTGACGACATAAGCGAGGGTTGAAACGTTGAAGAGCCGTACTGCAAGAAACACAAATAACTGTCTACTTCAGATCAGGAGCGGCGTGCTGGCTAGACAGCGTTTCTGATTATCTGGGAACTCTAGCAATTATCGTTCAATATGAGGCATCCAGTGCCTGCGGGAATAATTGTGATTAGCTGTCCGGGAGATGCGCAGAGCCGGGTGCGTACCGAATGTTTAGATCTCGAAGCTACGACCATTCGGAATACACCGACCCAAACGAGGATAAAGAGAAAGGATCCACGTTATTCGATTCATTTGTACGTCCTGTAAACCACGGCACCGGAGCCACAGCGGACCCCATTGAACCTCCCCGGCTTCCACTTGACTGACGTGCCTGCGGGATGTCATCCTCATCATCTTCGTGCGTCCAATCCGACTGACTGTGGTCCAAAGGCTCTCCAATATTTCCAAGAAAATCCGACGGCACCCTTAAGCTCACAGAAAATCGAGAAAAGTGCTGCACATCGTGGTCGCTCCGAGTCCCTTCAGCGATCCCGCCATGATTGAGCTGGCGGAGATTTAGAATAAACCGCTGCACTAGCAAAGCGGGCTATTGGTAATGACGCTTGATCAGTAAACATACTTGCCATCTAGTCCAATAGAATTCTCACCAGGGCTGGGAGAAAAGTATGCGCATAGTTAATCTGTAGGTGTTGAATCAGAACTTTTCTAAACACAGGTAAAAATAAGCCACTTACTGCTGAAAGGGGACCGTGTGAGTACGGGGTTAGGAACTGTAGAATATTCATGGCTAGAAGGGCGCTGGAAATTCATGTGTTAGACGGAATCACCGAGCAGTTTTGGGATTGCTGGCCTACATAAAATAAAGAGTACCTAGGTAGGCATTCTAGGAGTCACATTGTGCACGGGCAGGCGAAAGTCGCATACATACCATCTCGTAGCAGAACAACAGAAATAGACGAACTGACCCTCAGCCGTTGCATCTCCTGGAAGTGCTTGAATGACTTGATCCATGTTAGCACGAGCACGACAATGTCAGCGGCGATTGCGCTTCCCCTCGTAAAAAATATCACTGGACGCATGTACGCTAGTTAATAGTGTGCAAACTCTAGCATAGCAGATGGGCTCCTGACGAAAGCGGTCAGCACACAATGAAACGACGCTACCATAGCTAGGTTGCCTCCAATCGAGATGCACTCACACGTTCTTTGTTAAGCTTCAGCGGAAGGTCAACAGAAGCTTTGCAGACAGAGAGCAGAAGAAGGTCTTCATATACAGCCGCGGTGTGCGTCAAAGCGAACTGAAAGAGAGTCGGTACGGAGGATTGCATGACTTATAAATTGGAAAATGACCCACAATGTGCGTTCCGATTGGGACGGCCAAACTCAGTGCGAGTACAATGACGGTAAAGTAGTACTTCATTCTTGACCCTTGCCAGAGCGCGTATACACGCAAGGCGGAGAACACTGGACAGAAGGTCAGTCACAAACCAATCGGATGGAGCTCGAGCTGACATGAGACCAGGGCCGTAATAGCCAAGTATACCACAATTTTCACGGTATGTACCGGCCTACACCTTGTCACAATGCGGCAGCTCGTGAGAGAGGGTTCTGAGAAAAGGCGGACTATGCATCTGGAGGATGGTCTTGTGAATCTTTCAATTCCTGAGCAGCACCGTAAGACTTACACCAAGCAGCTGTTTGATCCATAGGTAAGACGGCCAGTATTGGGTACAAAAGCATGAGCCAGCGAGTGCTCAGCAATAGCATCGAGGCGACTGTATACTTCCTCCTCCACACTACTATGACTTCTTGGTCTAGTGTCATGACGAACTCGTAAACCACGAGGCCTGAAAAAAAATGCTGAGCCTAGAGTCACTGCAGCTGTGCAAAACCGCGACGTACACATAAGAGAGCACTCGACGTAGTTCACTGTGAGACTGAGTGTGTATGTGGGACGTCAGCAGGAGCGCAGACGTGCTCCATAGAAAGAAAGCCCGCACAATGTTCGAAGGTCCTGCTTCAGGTACTCGTTTGGCTGGGTCATGTCGCGTGGGTGAAAAGCTGCAGCGAAGTTGGTGTAGGAAGAACTTGCCTCTGAGCGGTATATGTATGGTGTGAGCGGATAATCATATGTAATGCCGGTGGATACATGTATATTGTCAGTGAATGGCTATATGTCTACTGTCAACGGATACACGTATACGCTGACAAATACATGCATATCGTTGGCAGATACATGTATACTATCAGTATCAGAAGCCAGAATACTTGTTCAAGAAATAGGTTTCCTAGGAGACCCATTGCTGGATGTTATCATAGTGCGAAGTTAAAACGAGATCGGTTTGCTTACCACCTAGCGATACAATCGTTACGTCGGCCCTTACATGCACAGAGCGGGACGCATCGGTTTTGATTTTAGCGGGGTCAATGCGAAGCAAGTCCCGCGTCTGATTATGTAAGCGTAGAGGAAAGCGTCTATAGGTGGCAATAATTCTGTGATTTACAATGCGTCGAAAGGTATCCTGTGACGATGTAGAGTTGTGCGGCACGACAGACGAGAATAGCAACGCACGTAGCATTATCACCAGCATCCGACGCATTCATTCAGTCCCCCACAGTGTTCGGTAAAGCTCGTGAGCATACGCCGCAAGTCTTTGTGCGCCTCGCTGAACAACTCTGCCTTTCAATCTTGTTTCTGCATACGGGTATAATGTTGCTATACCTCCACAAGATCTCCCGACGAGCCGCATTCTTCCTCGATACCCGTAGCCCATACCGACGCCTTCCACCGCACGGCAACTTCGTCCATAACTCGGCAGAGAAATGATGCATGCCGCCGGAACTCGAGGAGTTGCGACCGGATGGCCAAAGGGATATTCTCGTACGAACGCGCCGCCGTGACGGCCGAGGAATGCGCACTGCAGGAAGGTGGCGCGCCGTCATTAGTTGAAAGCACTATTCGCAGGTAGTGGCTGTATCGCCGTCCTGAATAATGGAGTATGCGTTGATTGTGGCGCGTCTGCAGCGGTTGTTGGCGTGGGCAAGATTCTCGCCTACGAACTTCTAGGCGAGAGCGCGCGGGTATGGTGTCGGTAGTGCTGGGGAAGATCACAGATCAGCGCGAGGCGGTGGCAAGGATATCCTTTCGGCCTACGATGTACAGGACCCCAGACGGGGCGGTGGCATGGGGATGGGATTGGGCCGGTAATACTAGTGCAAGGGCTGGGCTGTCATTGATGCAACTTCGTGCAGCCAGGTAGAGGCTCGAGAGAATGATGAAGCGTATTTCTGGACAGCCTTGCTTTTCGTGGTAGAAAAGCCTGACGCGGCAATTATCGCAGAATTAGGGCGAACCCTCTTACGCACAAAACATCAGACGCACCTAGACCCCTCCCATTTTCATGTTCCACCCAACTGTCTCCGCATCTTCCATGCCAATAAAGGGGAAAGGGCATAGGTGGCAAGCGCAGCCAGCGCGTAGTTCATGTCCAACCGAACGAGATGAGCACAGCGTAACGCATATGTGCGGGCACCTCATGAGGTCCGACGAGATAGACAGACCTCAGACGCGTGTTGGTCGACAGAACCGGTGGCGGTGGGGACAGTTCTGCAGGCTGGTACGGCATGCGGGCAGCCTAGACAGCCGCAGCATGTTCCGAGTCTCCGTGAGCCCCGTCTTGCCGTGTGGAGGATACCGCGCAGTAACAGTCCACGTCGTTGTATCTCGTGTCATCGGCAATAAATGAGCCTCACGGTCCGCGGCAGAGTGCAAAGTTGCGAGAATGGAGCAAAGGCTGGCGGATATGGCGGGACAAGACGCGGGTTGAAAGTCAAGCAGCGCGGCGCGCGTTAGCGCTGCCACACTTTCTTCCCTGCTGTCATCATCGGAACTCTCGACTACCCTGAAAGAACACTAGTATTGTAATCTTCTCAGCCTTTCCTCTCTTGCGATACGAACTACAGATAAGCTGCTCGACCCCCTGTAGGTGCTCACATAGACGTCGCGTCGGGGGTTCAGTATGCGGCACTGCCGCGGCCGCGGGCGAGCGCTGAAGCATCGCGAGCAGCGAGCATGAGACTGTGGTAGGTCCAGGAGCTTGTAGCCCCATGCACTCGATCTCTTAATCCTCATTCAAAGTGCAAGCATCGTAGAACCTGTTGCTCTGCGTTGCCAGGGGGTGGCCTCGGTCTCCAACATCCGCCGTCAACTCCGTACCGTCGTATGCACATCCAAGCCAGGAGCAATCACACATTCCGTGCTCGTTGTGTCTGGCTGCTCGCGGAAGAGAGGCAGGCCACTGGCAGGCCTGGCGTCGTTATCTCGGGGTCTCTGTTCTCCAGTCGATTCTGAGACAGCTCGGAGGCTATCGACCCTTGTACATGTATTCCACAGAGGGACGAACCCGCCTGCGAAATCAGAGGCTTACGAACTGGCACGGGGCCTCAGGATTCTTACCTACAAGACTGAATTCAGTCCTGAAAGCGCGTCCTAGGGGGCTCCCGCTTTTGTTGGTCCATTGTCATGCTCTTGGCCGCGCTCACTTCGCCTGCATCGTTCATGGCACAACACTGCGGGCAGTCCTGAAAAGCTGTTCGGCCAATGCTTTTCCAGCTCGTTTCGTGGACATCCTTCGAGGTTAAGTGGGCAGGCGCGTTCTTCGTATGACTACACAGGGCCAGCGGCGCATGTTGGGAAGACATGGAAAGAGCGTGTGCGCCTCAGGAACGCCGTCGGACTCAGTCTCACCAGCAGCTGTGGTGAAGGGCGTCTTGGGTCTCAGTGCGGCTGCCGCCGGGCAGGGACAACGGCGGTTCAACACGGCGTTCTGCGGAACTTTCAAGGCTTGACCATACCTCCCGTTTCTGTGCTTCCACGTCATGGAAGCCATCCCGCCCGTCTTTCTCCCCGACCGCGTCCAGACACGCTTCCCCTGCATGGGTGCTCACCTAGCCATCCTTAGGGGCTGTGTAAGTGCCAGTGCCATCCACCAACCCATGAGCACACAAATCGTAAGGGTAGCCCATCTTGATTGTCGCTTCGTGGCTCTGTGGAGCTGCACGGTTTGTAGCTCGGACTCACGTCGTAGCCCTCGACAAGTCCCGAACGGTATTGAAGCGGCTGCTGTGGCCGTGCTAGCGTCATTGAGGGCCGACGGTATTCGCACATCACGTATGATTTCTGGCAATACACACTTGATATTATTTTTGATGAAAAGCACGCAAGAGGGGCGAGAACAGGATGGGTAGACGGAATGGCGGTGAACAGCTCTGGCAGCTACCTGGCCTCGTCGTCGTTGCAGCTCGACCGTGGCCGTTGCGGCTGCTACCAGGAGGACGCTAATTAGCCGAAGCTACGTTTGTAGCATGATCGAGCTCGGTGTTTCTTGTGGCAACTACCTGAGCCAGTGGCGACTTTGCGCAGGGGCGGCCAGGCGAAATGATGCGGTCGGCAGGCGGATCAAGGTGCCACAAAGACTCCGGCCGACATCACTCTTTGGCGCCGACGGCTTCGGCTGGCCGCCCACGCGGAATCGAGCATCAATACAAACATCGTGCGGCTTTCGCACTTATCTTTTGGTAAATTAGGCTCGGGATGTTCCGCGGTCTTCTAGGTTGTGGAGAAATAGGGCCGTCAGCCGGTGAGAAGATGAATAGTAGCCGAGTAAGTTGCGCCGCTTCAATAGCTGTCCATCTAAAACACTGAACATATTTGGTACATCGCACCACAGGCACTCATGTATTCAAGACTCCAGCATAATATTGTTCTCTTGTCTCAAGGCACTCTATCTCCGGAGTCTCTCGCTCGACTTTTACACTGGTAGGTGTCAACACTTCTCTCTCCACTCCTGCCAATTTTAGCTGGCGGACGTGGTGTGAACGGCACCACAAGCCCGGGTGGAGTTTACTGACGGCTCTTGGGGAAGAGTCCACGATATCTAGGGTGAGTGCGTCCTGTGCTGTTATCACGCAAGAGCTGTTCTGATTTCATCTGAAGCTAACTCACGTGGATTCTGCGAGCATGCATTTGAACCTCATAAGAACTATTGCGCGCATCAGGCCGCCTAATCTATACCTTTTGTGTCTCAGCAGCCCGCCCAGGCCTGTACTGACCGCAATACCTGTTCAGCAACCATGCTTGTTGACGGCAACGTATCTCACGAAGTACTGTCCACTAATGAGCCGTCTGATCGCAACTTTGATCACTCTCCGAGGCTAATTGTGATTGAGTTGCTTCTAGATAGTATCTGTAGACGAGAAGGCTAGTTTACTTCAATGGTGGGTCAGCTCGCGGAGCGCATATTCCTTGCTGGACTGAGTCTGATTTTGTAGAGGTGTTCACTTGGTCAACGGCTGTCTACTTGAGCGGTGGTCTATTTTATCTCAGCCCAAGCCCTTTGGGAACCATTCAATGTGCGGTAGCGGAGAGACATGGCCGTCTTCCATGCAAATAAGTTAAGCGGCGGCCAAGCACTTGTGAGATTGGCGGGACACTCCACGGGCGCTGATTGTGTCTCCTCCGCCTTAGACAGTTCCTTCCAGCCTACAGAAGCGGCGTTTCGAAATCTGCGCCGGCGACGGATCGCAACCGCGTATTTGCGTCGTCCGAGCGAGCGTCGGCGATCATGGCCGTCGATACGGACGTATAAAGGGACGCATGCCCAACGCATAAGTATCCCAAACGGCACTCCTCGAGCCTCCTTCGAACGTTTTGCCCTTCACCTATTATTTCGCAGCCATGAAGACCTTCTTCGTCCTCGCTTCCCTCGCCGCCTGCGCCCTGGCTCAGCGGCTGCACATCCAGGCGCCCACCGCGGGCCAGACAGTCTCCGGCAACGGCACCCTCGTAGTCGAACTCGAGCAAGACGTACGTATCGCCCCTCACTCAAATCACCATCCGTCCCTCATCTGTTTACTGCAATCTAGCCGTCTCTCGGCCCACTCGTGCAGACCTCGGTGCTCATCGCCATGAACAGCTGCTACGACGTCTGTGGCCAGCCCGACCAGTGGGGCCCTGCGACGGTGCTCTACAACGGGCCGTTCAACCCGCAGTGGAACACGTCTGTGCCGGAGAAAGGGCACTACCAGGACTTCACCTTCCAGCTTCCGGGCTACCAGCCCGGCGGGGCGATCGTCCAGGTTGCACATCAGTTCCAGGAGGGCGGGGTGAGTACCTCAAAAAAACAGACATGAAATCTGATGCTGATACGAGTCTCTGCTAGGCGTCGCTTAGCAATGTCTTTGACTATTCGTATGTCCAGATTAACCTTTCATGATCTTGTCTTTCGCTGGATCTTTGGACGTGGGCTGTCGCGTGCTGGAATGGCCTGGTAGTAATACGGTCCTAAACCCAAACGATTACATAACTTTCTTGATTAATATTACGACAATTAATGTTACTCGTGGCAGTGTGCTGCTGTGAAGCCACTTACAAGCTCGCTGAAAAGCCACGGATAGTCGACGGCAAGTTCATTCACTGGACGCCCTGCGCCTCCACGACTCAAGGTTCAGCTTCGGGTCGCAGGTGCAGAGCCGCATTGGGCGTCGAAAATGACGTCTACCGTATAGATCGTCACAACAATCAATATGATATCGACCATAGCAGCCGACCGTTCTCACTGAGAACAAAGGTGACAGAGGCCGCAATTTTGGAAGGAGAGCTGCACAAAGCGCCAGGCAAAGTCGAACCAAAAAGCGCACACCTAACACGCCGACCCATCTCGCTGCGCGCCACCGCCGCACTGCGCCACCGGGCTTTCCTGCACAGCGCCGGCACACCGCCGCGACGTCTCCAGCCCTCCGACGTGCTGTTCTCCTCCTCCTCCTCCTCCTCCTCCTCCTCCCAGACAGCACCCTTCGCCACGGTTGCCGCCATCCTCCCCTTGCACCTGCTCCCTCTCCTCCTCCAGCCCGTCGCCGAGCGGCTCGCCGATGTTCCCGAGGAAGTCAGAAGGCATCTTGAGGTTCGCCGAGAAGCGGGACGGGTGGTGGTGGTGCGCAAAGTCCGACGAGCTGGCGCTGCTGCTGCCTTCTCCGACGGCGCCGGCGCGTCGCTGCAGGCGGAGGTTGAGCATGAAGCGCTGTGCGAGCAGCGCGGGCTGCGCAGCCAAGAGAGGGGGGAGGAGGTCAGCGGCTTCTGCTCAGAGGACGCGCGCGCGTGTGCGTGGTGGGGGTTCGTCTTACCATGAGTTGTAGGGCGGTGTAGATTTCCTGGGGACGCAAAAACAAGGGTCAGAGAGAGGCGAGTTACGCTGGTTTCACACACACGCACCTCGAAGACGTCGCTGTTTGATTTGAGCGTCAGCCGGACCTGGAGGATGTTCAGGACCAGGAGCGTCCTTTGGGAGGCGAGGAGGAAAAGCGCACGCGCGTCAGGTCACGCAAGTTTTCATGCGGGGCGGCTAGTACACCAAGCTCACATGAAATAAACGGTGCCTGTCGACCAGAATTTGGAAAAAGGTCAGCGGTGACGAGCAGCGAGCAGAAGGACAGAGAAAGCCGAGCGTCGCCACGCACCGTCCCGGAGCAGGATCGCCGTGATCGACGAGCGCAGCTTGAGCCGGCGCATCTCGCGGAAGTGTCCGAACGACTTGACCCACGTCAGCACGAGCACCGCGGCGTCCGCCGCGATCGCGCAGCCCCGCGCGAGGTATATCGCTGCGCGCACGTAGTACGTCATCGTGCCAAATTCTCAAACCCAAAAAAAAAAAAAGCAGCAGACACGTACTCCTGCGGTTAAAAGCGGAGTCAGCGCAACAGCTCAAGTCACAGCGGACGTCAGGGGAGAGAGAGGAACACACGCACTGTTTGTCGAGCCTCTGTGGGACGTCGATGAACGCGTTGCAGACGGAGAGCAGCACGAGGTCCTCGGGCGCGACCGCGGTGCGTGCCAGGGACCACTAACAAAAAAAAAAAAGCATCGACAGGAGGTTTTGTTTTGTCAACGCGATCCTAGTAAAATCCCGGCCGGAAAAAGGCAGACGCACAAAGTTCGTCCCGATCGGGACGGCGAGGCCGAAAGTGAGCACGAAGGCGAAGAAGAGGTGCTTCATCCGCGACTCGTGCCAGAGCGCGTACACGCGCAGCGCGGAGAACACTGCGCGAATGAGCGATTGAGCTGCCAGGTTTCGAGTGCAGATGGATGGCAGTGAAGAGGCTCACGTGAAACCAGAGCGGTGATCGCCAGGTAGACCAAGATTTGTGCTGTGTACACCGGCTTGCACCTTGTATGAATGCGCACAGCGGCTCGTCAGAGCGAGAATGGCGAGGAAAAGGGACAGATCGTTACGCCTGGAAGGTCGGTGTGGTCAGGGCGCGTACTTGAGCAATATCACGAGACTCACACCAGGTGGCCGCTTGTTTCGCGGGCAAGACTGCGAGGATCGGGTACGGAAGCATGACCCAGCGGAGGCCTAGCAGCAGCAGCGAGGTCGCCGTGAACTTTCTCTTCCACACGACTTTGATTTCCTGGTTGAAAGTTATGACGAATTCATAGATCGCGAGACCTGTGAAACAAAACGCTAAATCCAGAGATGCAAAGCGGAGCTCGACGATGCCGTGACGCACACACGAGTGAGCATTCGACATAGTTCACCGTCAGACTGAATGTATATAATGGTCGTCAGAGGCAGCTAACAAGGCTTGTTCAATGGAGAGAAGACACGTACTAGTCTCGTAGTTCTTGCGTCAGGTAGTTCTTGTTTAGCGAAGCCATGTCGTTTGCGTCTACGAGGCCGATGCAGGACTGCCAATTCACCTACGAGCAATATATGTATGTTATGAGCGGGGAATGTTCAGGAAGTGGGATGTCCATACCGCCCGCTTCGTCTTCTCACTTCACACAATGGCCGTACCCCGCGAACGCCAGGATCCCGAACATGGAGCACACGGCAGCACTCTGCTACTCACAGAACAAGAAAATTCTGCCGAACTATAGGATGGACACCGTGGCCGTGCACGAAAATCCGACCAGAGGCGCGTCGAGCCCGGGTTCTGTCGCAGAAGGAAATCGCAGTGCGGCAGCTGAAGATCGGACATTTGCAAAGCACTTCCACAAAGGAACTGTCAAAGCCGGAGGTCCGACAACGACGAGAACAAGGCATAGGCTGTGGACTGGAAAAGAAAAACACCTCGACCCGGAGTCATGTCGCAAGGGGAGCGTACCCGGCCGTGCGCTCGCGAGCTTTTTGGGCGCATCCTGCTAGCACAATGCTTGGCTCCTCCGGTGCCTGCCGCGAGCTGCATCCGGTTGGGTCGGGCAGGAGGAGCGTTTGTCGGACAGATGGGTGGAAATATGGGAGATCTGCATCCGTGGACGGACTGTTCCAGCCACACAGGAGAAGGGTCTCGCCCGGCGGCGTCGCATCGACCATGTGCATGAAATCGGCACAGTGCGGCTCTCGCTATCGCAATGTCAAAACTGACACGGCAAAGGCCGTGGCTGCTGCAGAGGGCGCTGGGCGCAACGCACATACCTCCGATGCTTCCTTCCAGTGCTCCAAAGGACTGGGCAGTCACGACAAAGCTCATGAGTACACCGAACAAATCATTCTCGTCACTAAATCTTGTATCTCGGTTCCCGTACAAGTACTCCATAACCGCACCACGCGAACCATCTCCTCACGAGCATCGCTCCAAACAACTCCCGCAGGGCTGCGAAAGGACGGCAGATACGATGCCCCCGTGCAGGGATGCGTCGGCGTATGGAAGCCGAGGCTCGAATACGCAGGGCAGAGCTGGGAGGAAATCGAGAATTACTTGTGCCGGTGCACAGTTCTGCGGGTGATGTCTGAAGTGGTGGCCAGGAAGCGGAGTTGCGTTGAGCACGCGATGGAAGGCTTCATAGTGACCCGAGGAGACGGCGAGAGGCTTCGTGAGATGCAGCAGGATGCTCACCATTTATCACGGACGCATTTTTGTGTAGCAGCTCATGTGCGAGCTCTAAGCAGCATTGGCTTCCGTCTCGGGTAGGTCTTACGCAGCGACCTAGGCAAAGTCAGAACGATCTCTCCCGCACACGGTAAAATATCGAACACACCCTGTCCCTTCGGACCCCTCACGTTCGACCCAGTTGCCTCTACAAATCCCGCGCCTGCACACCCTTCAAACCCTGAGAATCAACTGAGGCCGGCGCGTCGTCGTACCCAACGGGCATCGGATAGGCATGGTGCGCCATACGCGCACAGGCATCCCTTCGGGCTCAAGAGCAGGCCGGCTGTCCACGATGGCTCGTAGCGTCCAGATGGCAATGGCGACACCGGCCCGCTAGGGATCCAAGGCCGGGGAGTAGTATAAACGGCCGACGACGACGGGAAAATGGCGCGCCTGGGCCTCGTCCGTCAGCATGAGGAAGCTCCCGAGGCCTATTCAACTATTGCGTCGCCGGGCAGCAGCATACGTGGTGCAAGTATTGGAAGGGCTACTCTCGGACAGCGCAGAATGGTGCAAGAACCGGACAAAGACCTGTGTACGTTGCCAGTCGAGATGCTGGTCGAGGTCAAGCTGCGACGGCCATGAAGCGCGTACACGGCGGCGTTGGGTGGGAGAAGCGCGCGCGGAGCTCTTGTGGCCAACAATGTCTACACCCTCTCCTCTCAGCTAGTACCACATGTAATGCACATCCGGTTCTCTGTTTGTTTATGTCCAACCGTCGGATTCTTCTTCTGTCTCGCGCATGCCCAGCGCTGCTGGGTCGCATTAATACCCAAATTCGGCGTCGACACATTCGGTACGCCACTACTACGCCGGCATTTTACAGATGGTACGCTCCTGGCAACTCCGAACTTTCGCACAAATATATATATGAAAGGTGCACAACAAGGCTGGGATCAGGGAGTGGGCAGAATCGAACGCTGACAGTGACAGCCCTGCTTTCCGGGCAGCATGACCACTGTTCCAGTCGTAGCTCGTCCCAGTGCGCGGTTGACCGTGGTTTTACCTGTTGCACAGAACCCTCTTCGGATCCGCAGTGCCATTCTCCTGTGACATCGACAGCGTCGTCGTCGTCGTCTTCGTCTTCCTGGACATTCTCCGACTGTCCGTGGTCTAGAGGCTCCCCGATATTCCTGAGAAAATCCGAGGGCACTCTCAAATTCACGGAGAAGCGGGAGGGCCGTCGGGTGTCCGATTGAAGTTCTCCGGCGCCGCCGGCGGGGCCGAGCTGGCGGAGGTTTAGCATGGAGCGCTGTGCCAGCAGAGCAGGCTGTAAGGAGCGATGTCAGTCAGCGAGAGCTCCCTTTACGCTGAGGTCAGGAGGGGTATCACCATCGACCGTAGAAAGGGAGCCGCATAGGAAGTCTGTAGATACGAAGTCAGGATGCTTTGAAATTGAACTATAGGTGTGCTTCATTACCATTCACCTCAAAGAGAGTGCTCGAAAATGCGATGAGTCGCACCACGTTCAAGGCTAGAAGGGCACTACAAGGCCATCGTCAGGCGGTGCTATTGTGCGATTCTATAGCATCTTGCTTACACTAAATAGGTATTTCCTGGGTCATCGTCTTATGAGCCGGTGCACCATACGTGAACGAGCATTGTGCAGAGTACACCTGGTCAATTTTGCTTAGCACCAAGCCGCAAGGGACAGCGGACGCGGACGCTGCACGGTCGACTGGAGCCACTTCTACTTCATGCAGCTTATCCAGCGCTGGAAGCGACGACAAAGCTAGCTAACCCCCAAGCGAGACCGAACTCGCCAACCTGTGTCCGACGAGGACGCGCAGCACGTGTGGATGATTCTGTGCAGTTCTGTTCTTTGTCTCGAGGACAGCAATCTGGGCAAAATCAGGACTGTTCACCACGCACACGGTGACACATCAGACGTACCACTGTCCGCCCCAGATTTTCCCCGCTCGACCCGACTGCCTTTGCATACACCCACCCACGACGCGCCAACACTCGTGTAGAGACAACATGCATCATGTGTCCCGATACGTGCTGATCTCGTTCGGGGGATCGAGGCCTGGATCCTGCAGAGCGCATCTATATCGCGTCGGGCTGAGGCTTGCCAGGGGGGCGCGCGGGTCCGGTCGACGGTCTGCGGCAGCGATTTTGGCGGCAAAGTGGCAGCGGAAACGGCAGGCAGACGTGGGCTTCTGAGACGCAGCGTGGCGCTCTAACGCTGCTGCACAGTGCATCTCACAGCATCTGGCGCCGGGATGGGTGGCAGCGTGGAAGCTGAGGAGGGACCGAAAGAGGGAGGTCGAGGTCAAGCCGGATGGAGGGCGCTACTGCGCTCTCGACCTCCGACGCCATGCGAGATATGCTTGCCTATTGATGACAACCATTCAGCCTACCTTCTCAGGATCTTTGTATCTGCGCATAGTGCCTTTTTCGTCCGTGTCCGCGGCCAGAAGGGGTGCTGGACCGAGTCTGAGTCGTCGCACCTTCGGGGACTGCCAGGGCGACCTGGCCCACGGAAGCACGAGGACCGTGATAGTAGAGAAGACAATGTCATGATCCACAGGAGGACGGCAGCACACAATGTTTGTCCCAACTGGGACCGCCAGTTCCAATTGGAACAAACATTCGGTGCTCCGAACATGACTACCGCTGCAGGAAAGATGTGCTTTGTCGGCCCTTGCCAGAGTGCATATGCGCGTAGGGTGGAGAACGCCATGAGGAAGATCGGTCCAAGTGCAGTCCATTAGCGGGCATGCTCACTTGGAGTTGGGGTCGTGTGTAGGGGAGAAACTTGGTTGTTATATGGCTTCTAGATGACTCATGGGGCCTGGGAACCTAGGGTCATCGTGAGAAGAGAGAGACTTCATTTCGTAGGGAGGAAGCTCGGTGATATACACATTGTTAGTCCCGTCTGGCCTTCTTCTCGGCAGGGAGGCTTGCAGAACCTTTCTCATCGTCTTCTTGTGGGTGTTTCGGGGCGCAAGCAGTCTTCAGACGTAGCCACGCCCATGCTCGCGAGCATCCTGTCACGCCTGAAAAAGTCGTCGACGGGCCCCAGTGTGAAGGGCCCCTTAAACCCTTTTTGCGCGATGATCGTGAGGATGCTGGCGAGAGCTGCGAACCAAGCCGTCGGGTCATATGGAATAACCGCGTCGCTGTCGAAGAGATCGTACGTCTACGGAGTCTTTCTGATCAGCTCTGGTAAGAAGTGATGTCCAGAAGAGAAACATACATAGGTCCTAACATTTCGGCCCTTATCCCGAGGTGACCGTCAGAGAGGATGCCACCGGCTTACCGGCACTAGACGACGGAAGGTTATTTTCTTCAGCTCGCCCCACAAACTGTAACTGATCCCTCGCAACGTCCAGTCTATTGGTCGTAAAGCGCCACCCCGCCGGTTCCCCGCCATGATCACGGTTTGTCCTACCGATGTCTTCTCCCATATACTCTCGAGATGTTTCGCCAGTACTTTTTTCCATCAGTATAACTATTGGCGGACCTCCTCGGAGTTGATGTGGCCGAGATTAAGGGATGCGTTCCTTCGGTTATGTCCACGATAATACTGGCATAAAGTCTAAGCTGACTCTTAAGAGCCTGTTTCATAAGAATCTCGAATTCGAAGTAGTGCTGCGAGTAGTATGAAACTTCAAAGATAATACACTCTTTATTTGTCGTTACACCGATGAGTGAGCAGCTGTCCCGTCCACGATCATGCTGGCCGGCAAAAACGCCATAAACAGCACGGTGGTCTAGAAAAAATTGCTCGGGGTCTTCGAACTTGATTGAGTAAGTCAACTTAGCATCACGAAGGAATGCTGCAATTACTGCGCGCAGCTCGCTCGGCCGAACTTCGATGATGAACTGGTCGATGGAGAAGTCGATCCTGGTGGTTTTTCTCATGTTAAGCAAGCAAGCACCCCTCTAATAGGACGCGCAGCTCTATGACAGCAAAAGATGGGGCTCACGAAGCGACCAGAACGATAATCGATCACGTCCAAGTCTCACGTCTCGAGCCATTTCACTATACGCGCAACGACGGCAAGAACATTATCGCCGATCATGAGCACAGGGGATGTGCTGTGGTGAGGGATGTCTGCGACGGCCGCAGTAGTGTTATTGAAGCTCGTGTTAGCGGCAGCCGGGACCTTCATACCTAACCCTTCAGACAGCTTCAGAGAGGGAATTGCCCGTGGTGGTTCGTCCGAGATAAGCGACATAAGCGGCAGAGGAAAAGTAGATTACACTGTTTACTGACCTAGACTACTTAGATAGCTTATCGTTTTACTTACCAGTCAGCCGCCTTTACTGATGAGTTATGATGGCTCGTTCAGAAGCTCCTTTGGACACCGAGTCAATGACCGCACCATAGCGAGCCACAAATGACGTTTGCTAGCTAAGATTCCAAAGTCGTACTCCTCGATACGAGATATATTTCGCTGCGGGAGACATCACCACACGAGGTGACACACAGACCCACTTGTAATCATCTTCCTGACCCTGCGAACCTTCCGATGCTCTCCAAGAGCGCCGAGCTCGCTCCCACTGCTTGACGGGCCGGATTCGCTGAGGCTCGCAAGAGGCTCGCCTAATATGTTCCCCAGAATATCTGACAGTACTCGGAGTTTTATAGCCAGGCCAGAGAGCAAGGATGTCTCACCCGAAGTCCGGTCGTCTGACTCGAGCTGGTTTCCTGTTTCGTGAAGATGATTGCCCACTGGCAGGACAGATAATATTAGGATGCACTGCCATGTGCCGAACTGGGGCCAGCGGTTCACTACACTGCTATACGAGCATATGAGAATAGGAAGCAGCTATTTTCGCAGATGACATATTATTCTCGATACTGCATACTTGACACCAGGGGCGGCCTCCCTCCAACCTTTTGGACAGCATGATCATTCGTGACTATGCATCGCCTGTGAGAATATATACTCTGATTTGTTTGATGATAGGGCCTCTGGGAACTCATCTAATCCTCAAACCTCAATGGCTCAGCAGAGTCCAAGATTGAGTTGACACCGGCCTCCCTTGATTCATCTGGGAATATGCGCGATGGGCCCGCATGCTGCAAGGAACCCTATTCGACTCGATTCCGCGGTTCTACACCTGAAAGGCTGTCTTCTTGTATATGTTCCCACTGGCCGTGGTCCAGAGGCTCCCCGATATTCCCAAGGAGATCGGACGGCATTCTGAAGTTCACAGAGAAGCGGGAAAAGTGTCTTGCATCGGAGTTGCTTTCCGTCATGGCCCCGAGATTGAGTTGGCGCAGATTCAAGATGAAACGCTGCACAAGCAAAGGCGGCTACAGTGACGATGCTGATCAATTGATATGACTTTGCTCGAGATTAGTGGACTGCGTTACCATCGACTGGAGGAAGTCAATTGTATAGGCACCCTGTAATACGAAGTCAGAACTTTTCACAATACATGAGCGCCCACTCATTACAATTGTGAGACCCTTAGCTGAGTACGTCAAGAGCTGTAAGATATTTACGGCCAGAATGGCACTAGTGGAAGCGATGTGTTCAATGGTATTGATGCGTAGTGCGGAATTCATAGCTCACACAAAATAAAAAGTACCTACGGCAGTACTCTGTAAGCTGGCACGTTGTGGACAAACAGAAAAAATTGAATTGCGTACCGTCACGTAGCAACACAGCCGAGATAGATGAACCGAGGTTAAGCTTTCGCATCTCTTGAAACTGCTTGAGCGACTTAGCCCACGTCAGCGCAAGGACGATGACATCAGCAGCTATTACACTGCATCTTGTAAGATAGAGGACTGCAAGCATGTGCATCACGGTTCATTTGATGATACAGGCGTACAAATTAAACACAGCAGACTTACATCTAAGAAACGTACTCAGCATAAAACAGAGTGAATCCACAAGTTGAGCTGATACTCACTCTGTGTCGAGCTTTGGTGAGATGTTGGTGAAGCTAGTGCAGGTAGGGAGTGGCGGAAGGTCTTCGTATGCCGTTGTAGTACGTATCCAGCTGAACTGGAAAAAGAAGTCAGTACTCACAGTGCGCAGCTCACTGCACAGGAGGATGGCACACAATGTTCGTCCCAACCGGAAACACTCCGAGTAAGAATACTATGGCAGGAAAGACGTGCTTTGCCATTGACCCTTGCCAGAGTGCATACACGCGTAGAGCAGAGAACGCTACGCAGGATATCAGTCCCAGTACAATCCATTGGCGGGCTTGCTCACCGGAAGTAAGGGCCGTAATAATCATGAACAACAGTACGTCTAGTACGTAAAGAGGTCCACACCTGATGATAGGTGCATCACCGGTTTATAAGGCTGGAGGCGGGTCTACGAAAAGGCATAGTGTACGCCTGGAAGGCGGCATAAGGGGTCAGCCTATCCTCGAACAGCGACATCAATTTACTCACACCAGGCTTGTCCTATGGCATTCAGACATCCCAGAATCGGTGCCAGAACCATGAGCCACCGAATGCTCAGCAACAACAGCGAAGTGGCCGTAAATTTTCTCTTCCACACCACGGCGATTTCTTGATCCAGTGTTACGGCGAATTCATAGACCATGAGGGCTGTAAAGGAAAGTAGTGAGCTTGAGACTGTCGTAGCTGTTGGACTTAGGTGACGCTACAACACACATGCTAACGAAAATCCCACATAGTTCGATATCTGACTATACGTATAGCGAGAAGCGTTAGCGGCAAGTGAGTGTATTGCAAGAGAGGATGCCTGCACATTGATTGAAACACCTGCTTCAGCTCTTCGTTTGACTGTGCCATGTTGTCTTAGACGGAAAGGTGCAGGCTGGTCGATGTAGAGCAGAGAGCTTGCTCGAAAGCCCGTAATATATACCGCAGCCTATACAATATAAATCGTTTTGAAATCACAGTTTGTACGGCTCAACAGTTTGCTCACTGATCATCTTGATGGTTGAACGCAGAGCGAAATGCTGACGTGGGGGTCAATGTCCCCTTGTGCTACGTAGGATGCAATTCCATCTTGACCTCCAGATAGCACGTCAAGAGTTTCACAGCCCCATACTATTCAAGGACATATTTTCGCGGACGTGGTGATATTTCACGGGAAGCTGAGTGCAGGGCAGATGCCATCGTAACAAAATGCCTTCGACGCTGTGCAGGCATGTCACGAGTCCTCAGATGTTCTGTAATGGCGCTGTCAGCGTGAGAGTTACGACAGTGAGAGGACATGGAGCAAACCTAGCAAATAACTGGAGTTTGGATTTGAATTGTCCCCGGTGAATGGTAGTCGAAGCGCAAGCAAGCATCATAACTCCCTTCCGCGCAAGACCTGTCGGGTCTCGCACATTTGGTCCAGCATATCGTGAGTGCCCTGAATATTATAATGGTCAAAAGCATAAGAAAAAGGGCCGAGAAGTCGTGCAAGATGGATCGCGTACTCACGGGGCTAATTAGTAAATATTTTTAGCTGACAGAGGCACGAAAATGACCGTGAGAAGAGAAGCTAAAAAAAACCCGAACAATTTCCGGCGAAAATATATGATAGGTAAAATTTGAAAATAAGAGCAAAATAAAGTCGCCTTTTTTAGTAAATTTTGTTGTAAAAGCTGGTCTGCTCGCAGCAAAAAGAGGTGCAAATACCGCCGGGACATCCATATATAGAGTAATACACATGGAGAAAGAAATGATGATGATTTTGCCCTAAGGATATTTCGACTCTCCTAATACCTCAAAAGGTGTAAAAGTAGTGTATCTTTTTGTACCACTAAAATGATAACATCTCCATGGGGAAATAGCTTAAGTGTATTTATGAAACAAACTGAATGTGCTTTTGTACCTCTATCCGCGCAAAATAGTATAAAATTAGCCCCGACTGTAGTTCTACAACCGTAGCGGATGTCACGCGTCACAGGGCCCTCATCCTGTCCGTTATTTCGCCTCTGTCACATATCACAGAGGGGTCCATCCGGTTGTGACACCCGAGATTTGTCACGAAGAAAAAGTTGCATTTTTTTCAGGCCTGCGGGGCTCTGTAGTACCGTAGAATGTATTATCATACCAACAAAACTACCTAGGTGAAATACTGTAGTCGCGCTCGGTCATCCGTTAGCCAGCGGATGTCACAAGTCACCAAGGACGCATCTGCTCATCCGGTTCGGTGCAGAGGTGTCACAGTCACAAGGCCATCCGCTACGGTCGTAAAACTACAGTATTGGAGCAAATTGAACTCTAATAGAAGTATGGCCTGAGTTCCTGTCCTGCCTGCCTACCCACAACAGTACTAAGGGAAGTGACCGGCCCGCATATAATCATCCACCGCGATATGCTGGGTACGTCGATACGCCAAGTCATCGGGGAATCATATTTGCTAGCTAAGAATTGAAGACAATACTCGATACGCGCACCATTTCGCTGTGGACGTCACTGGACGAGTTATGATACGAGCCTGCTCGTAGTCATCCGGCTGACCCCGCGAAACCTCTGCTCTTCAAGGGTGCCGAGTTCATTTTCACTGCTTGACGGGTTAGATTCGTTGAGGCTCACGAGAGGCTCGCCTATGTTCCCCAGAATATCTGACGGTACTCGGAATCTCACAGCCAGGCGTGAAAGCGGGGGTGTCTCACCCGAGGTCTGATCGTTTGCCCCGAGCTGGTTGAACTGCCGCAGGTTCAGCATGAACCGTTGCACGAGGAGGGAGGGCTTGGTTATCAAGATATTAGAGGGATGGTGCACTGTGGAGCATCGTGCTCACCATTCCCTGAAGAAAATTGTTCGCCGCGTTGCTTGCCTGGCAAGTTGGTCGAGTCAGCGACGATTATGGTGTTGTCATCGCGCCGACACTTACCCCATTTACGTTCTGGGTTGAATAGGTCAAGATCTGCGAAATATTCGGAGCGAGCAAGACTCTATGACGAGGCGGTCTGGTTACAGAGCTGGAACGCGGCCGAAAATCATCTAGCGCACATGAAGTATAAGGTACCTAACGTACGCGTGGTCAACGTTTCCGCCGATTCAGAGTACAGAGAGAACAAACCGTCACGGAGGAGCAGCGTAGAGATTGATGTTCCAAGCTCAAAGCGTCGCAACCGCCGCCAATGTGCGAAAGTATTGATCCACGTGAGAATAAGCACCAAAAGGTCTGCAGCTATGGCACTACATCTAGTGAAGTAGAGCACTGGGATAGGTAAGTGAAAGTCGAGATTTTACAAGGTGGGCTAGACTAACTTCTAAAAGAACAGAGTGAGTCTCCAGGGTGCGTAGATGCTTTAGAAGCTAGCTCACATGCGGTTCAAGTCGTCAGAGACATCCGTGTTATAGACGCATGTGGAGATGGGCGGGCCTTCGAACGACGCTGATGTACGAGCCCAGCCAAACTGCGTGGGATCAATATATGTACATTACACGTGCAGCATGAACGCACACTGTTTGTAGCAATTGGTATGCAGCCGAGTGTGAGCACAATTGCAAAGAAAAGGTGTCGAAATCTTGAGCCGTTCCAGAGCGCATAGACTCTCATACTAGAGAATACTGAGGGATCATCAGAAGCTGGCGGTACGATGTGATACATCTACTTACACGCAATCTGGGCCACGGAAGTGAAATATACCAGCTGCGCTGCTGTATTCCATTGTCCACATCTGACCGAAAGTGCGTGTTCAGCTGGTTGTTGCCTGTGGCACACGACAGATTGCGACTTCTGCAACAGGCCATGAACATGGTGAGATACCTGCCGCACGCTAAGGAGCCAGTATCGGATGCTTACACCTCGACGGTACGCTCTTCGGAATCAAGGTTATCAACTGATTGAGAAGCATAACCCAGCGCGTGGAAAGTAAGAGAAGAGAAGTGGCGGTGATCTTCCTCTGCCACACGCAGGCGATTTCCTGATCAAAGGTAGTCGCATACTCGTATACAACAAGCGCTGCAGATTCATAAGCAAGACCGCTAGACTACTGGCAGTGGGACGGCATCGACATACCAAACACTGAGCCGGCGATGCGGTCCCCTGTCAGGCTGAGGGTTGGCAATGGATGAATGTCAGAGTAGGAGCAGAGACGAGGAGTCGGCCACCCACAATATCTCGAACTCATGCGTGACGGCTTGAGACTGTGTCATGGGCGTGGGGCGGAAGTTTTGCTGGAGATGTGCCTTCGCCGCGGCGGAAGTGGGCCAGGATCGCAAAATACATCATATATATCAGCAATCCTGCGTGCCGGCCGTGACGGTGGGTAAAATGGATTTCTCTGTAGCAGATAGTAGGCCGGCTAGCCCGTCCTCATCTGTTTCATAGGGTTTGGACGTCCGAAGCAGGGCTGCGGGAAGCTTCAATCAGCGGTTTAATTTGATGTGGATCCTACCCGCAGTGTTAGAAGCTCTATGTAAGCCCACGTCGAACTGAAAGAGAGGCTCAGCTTATGGCTCGCAGATTTGTGCTTAGCTGCCCTCGACTACCTCGACAGAACAACATTTCACAATTTCATCAGGCAAGGAATCAGCCATGAGCAACCGGGCGCATGAACCTGAACAGCCGACTGTGAGATGAACGTCTGAGCACCGAGGGCGTTATGACGGAGCGCCGCCCTAACGCCTAGATAGACACAGCTTGCTTCTCCATTGATCAGCAATCGTGATCTGCGTGGGTATGCGACATTGACGGCTGTATTAGCGTTTCACGCCTACGAAAGGACGACGGGTGAATTCGTATGACATGCTCCTGCTCTCGATCAGCGTTGGACGTACTCTTGAAAGACGGCAGTTCCACGTCAAACAAACTTACCCGACTCCATGATGTCGTCGCACCAGCCCGCCATCAGTTGCAGGACTCCGAACGCCACAACAGCTTCCTCGACATAAAGACAGGTGGAAAAAATATAGACGAAACAGTCTTGTGAGTTTTCGCCACATGTTCAAATACGATGTGTACCAGCGTAGATTGATATGCAAACTAGAACACCAGTGTTTGGGTAGCAGAGCTAGAAGGCGAGCTTTCGTACACATCACGTTGTTCTATGAGAGCACAGCACCCTGCTGCACGGTGTGAGTACTCAAGTAGTACGGCAAGGAAAAGCGCACATACGGACAAATGCAGCTAAGAATCTCGCCTGTCCCTATCCCGACGCGACAACCTCTCCTCTGACCTGTCCCTTCGACGATCCCGGTCGCGATCCCGGTCTCGGTCACGTCGAGAGCTCGACTCGTAGTCCCGCGGGTCATCCTTCCTACGATCGTAGTCTTTGTCTCTGTCTCTGTCCCGCTCCCCATCACGATCACGGTCTCGGTAGTCTCTATCTCTATCCCGATAATCTCTGTCTCTGTCCTTATCGCGCTTGTACTCGCGATCACGGCCATAGGAGTCGTATTGATCCCGGTCTCGCCGCCCGTCAAGTGAAGGTGACTGTCTCGAGCTGCGTGGTGACGGCGAACGGCGCCTGCTGGAGCTTCCGGATCCCGACTCGCGCTCGCTCTCGCCGGGACGAATTTCGCGCCTCACAACAGGTATGTACTTCTTGTCGGGGCGCGCCTTCTTCTTGCTCTTGCTCCCGTCGTCGAAGACCTCCTTCTCCTTTGCTCCTATCCCGAGAAGCGCCGGGCGCGCCTGCGGCAGCCATGGTTCTATGGGACCCTTGCCCTTGCGGTTCGCGGCCGTGCCTTCTTTCCAGCCCATACCACGCAGTAGCGCTGCTCCAAAGTCTTCGACGGGTACGCGCTCGTAGTCCTCGAGCGATGCTGGCTCGGGCAGTTCGGCGACGTCTTGACGGTAGGCGTCGTCCTCAGAGACGGCCGCGATGACTTCGACGCGTGGCCCCTTGCCTTCGGCACCGGCGCCTTCGAGGAGCGCGCGGATCGCCTTCTGGTCCTCGTTCTCTGGTTCTTCTTCTTTCGCCATCTCTTCTGTGGCTGTGACAGTGACTGACTCCTCAACGTCCATCTCGTTTTCTTCGACCTTAACCTTCTTGCGAACCTGGAGACCAACCTGCTGAGGGCCAGAGTTGATAGAATCCCTGGTGCCGAGGCCACCAACGCTGCCGTCTGCGCCAGTGGCGGCGGTCGCACTCGGCGGGACATAGAGGTTCTTCCTCTTGCGCGCGAACTCTCGCCAGTCCCGATTCTTCTGGGCGGGGATGACTAGCGGTCCTTGAGGCTTCTTTTTCTCGTGCAGGCTGTCAGCGAAGAATGCTTCTGTGAGTTGCGGACCTGCTCCAGCTGAGCGCAAGGGAATCGAGACACACCGCTGTACGCCGAACTGATTGAAGCCAGACACCAGCTCGTCCTCCGCCTCACTGCCCTCATCAGAGCTTCCACGCTCGTCGTACGTGCGCGACCTAGGTTTGGGAGATTCACGCTGGAGCGGGCTGCCTGGCGTGCTCGTTCCACTGAGGTGGCGAGGAAGGGCCGGGACTTTGAAGTCTGAGTCCGCACCTGTCGAGCTCGAGCGCGACGGTGGGCTCGGGCGACGGATTTTGAACGTCAGTTTTGCTGGCTCTGACATGACGGTTGTCGAGTTCGACAAGTTCGACGTCAAAGTGAAGGTCAAGGTTACAGCTGAAGACGTGGTTGGCTGCGCCTATTGCCCCGCCGGGGGCTTACCTAACTCGGCAATTCCCAGATATTGATAGACGCCAAGATCACTTGCGCGTCTGGGACTCGCCCCTTGTTCTCGACGACTCGGAGCTCTTCTGTAGGCACTCATTCTTCGTTTTCGACGCCCTCAAGTCCCTCGCGATTCAAGACTGGTCCAAAATTCCTTGTATGTTTCTTCGTTTTGACTTCTGAGTGGTATATATCTACTCACTAGGACTTATAGCTCAGGATAGTGATCGCATCGTCATGAGCGTAACCGAAGACATACCCGCCGAGCTGTGGCTCAGCATCTTCGAGCTCATGGACTCCCCAGTTGATCTTAACAACGTCTTACGCACGTGCAGGCGCTTCCACAACTGCGCCCTTCGAGCTCTTCACCGTAATCTTGTCTGGAAGCGGCCCGAAGACTTTGTACACAACTCTCCAATATGGCTGGAAGATCCCGGACTACCTGCCGGAGTTCATTCGTTGGAAATGCATATATCTACTCTACCCGATGATGTGCCCGGTACGTTGGTTGACGCTGCCGGCCTTACATTCACTCGTGACGATGCTGCTCAATTCCCTGAACTGGACGACGAACCGTTCTGGCTCTTCCCTGAAGTTGATCAGCAAGTTTTCAGCCAGTCTATCATGCATTCGATTAGGCATTACAAGATGCACCACACGTATGCGACGCCCGGAGTCTATGGCGTTCTCATGAATAGATTGGCCACATTTACGAACCTACAGGACTTAACGTTGCGGAACTTGTTCGTCACTGACGAGCTTTTCGGGTCGTTATTCCAATTACCCAGCCTCCGCAAGCTGCATGTCGAATTTTGCCTCTTCCCGAGAAGACACAGCATTACTCATCGCGACTTCTCCGCCCTACCCATAACCGACCTCACGCTACTCAACCTGCGCAGGCAGGTCTTGAATGCTGGTCGGCACGGTCACGACCTGCATGCCTTCGCCGATATGGATGAGGACATCGAGTACGGCCTCGCGCTGGCGTCTGCGAAGACCCTGCGTTCGCTCCGCGTCGACTCCACTGCTGACGTTTTCGCAACGATCTACCGCCGCCGCATCCAGGGCGTATTCGTGTACAACATCCCTCCGAGTCTGTCCGCGCTCTACATACAGCGTAAACAGGTTGTCGAAGGTGTCGTCCAGCCAATCTTTCATGCCGAACAGCTCTTTCCGAACGCGGTGTACAGCATTATGGAGCGATGTCCGACGATCACGACCGTCTCCCTCGCGTACGCGCTGCCGAAGCACACGAGCTTCCCGAAGCCTGAGGCTCTGCCAAACCTTACGCACTGCGAGGGCTTCCTCGATGCCGTCGCAGCAATGACGACCAACCGCCCGCTGAAGGCAATCAGCATCCTCCGCTCAGACACGTCCCCGGATGGCATTCTTGAACTTCTCGCACGCAAGGCACGCCACCATCCGAGGCTGCAGATGCTCTCGCTGCACTGCAAGACGTGGGACCTCGAGATTCTCGATGCAATCTGCCAGCTCTTCCCTCAGCTCCGTAAGCTGAAGCTCACGTTCGATATCCGCGAGCCTGGCAAACTATGGGAGCATAACGACTACTGGAATGGCATTCAGCCGTACGAGATGTACGAGGCGCTCGAGGAGGCGCGCTCACGCCCCGAGTTCGCCTCCGGCTCACGCGGGCCCGACGAGGTAAGCACAAGCCTCTGTACATTGGATTTCCCCTGATCCCGCGACACGTAGGACACGATCGTGAGCTTCGGTCCGCACTACCTCTACCGCCTCGAGCACCTGCACACAGCGTATATCTATGCTGCACCGACGAACGGGAAGCCGGAGCACCCTAAGTTCCTGTTCGACAACACGTTCGAGACTGCTGAGGAGGAGATCCAAAACCTCGTCATCCCTTGGAACCGCTATTGCACCAAACTCCGCGAAGTGCAGCTGCACGCGGGCTACGTCATGCGCCGCGGCTTCGAGGGCGATGTCTGGCGCCTCCGGGAGGTCCACGAGCTGAAGGAAGGGTGCACTTTTGACTATTAAGCGGGGCGCGGCGAAAATATAATAGATGTATTTGGTGCGTCGAGCCTGGTGTGTGAAAATTGACACTTCACTGACGGGGGTCGTTACCAGTATGTCTTCATGCTCTGCGTTGATTCGCGCCCAGGAGGAGTTCGAAGTACGTTTTTCGCTGTGGTCAATGACAATCAGAAAACGCAACGTGGAGGACTTGTACAGTACGATGCACCTTTATGTACACTACAGACCGCACACCGTAAAACAGGCAAAGTGATTATAGCTTCTGCTCCGTTTTCAGCTTGTTCCCTGCCACTGTGGCAAACGACTACAATGGAGCGGAGTACCGGAGTGTATGTAAAAGCGGGGTCGGAGTTTAATAAGACAGCATCGGAGACTAATTAGCCTTATCTGCGCAGCTTACTGACAAATTCGTCTTACTCTCAGCTTTCATGCTGCGTTATCCAATCCCAACTTTACGCACCTTTCCTTCTCTCACTACAATTATACTGATAGGTATTCCCTAAATATCGTTTTACGACTCGTAGGACCTCGTCTACTCCATCACGCTTGCTAACGGATCTCACGTACAACATATGGAATGCCAGAATTGTGAATTAAAACAAAGACAATTCTGCTGCGAGAACTGTCTGAAACAGCAGTCAGTCGCCTTAGCTATATGCTAATGATATTTTACGTTGAACTTTCTCAAGCCTGCAATCGTTTCGCCACCAAATATCACAAATAGCTGCAGAGCGAGATGCCTACATAGCATCCGCACAACGGTCCCTTATCACGGTGGTCAACTCCCAACGTATACGACGCGCAGACATCAAGGGTGGCGAGGAGAGGGTGCGAGAGATATGGGATGGCCTGAGCGCATTGCGGAAGGCAAATGAGAAGAGTGCGTGATGCTTGGAACCTAATCCACACTCAATCTTACGGCGAGCCTGACAGCTCGTGAACGTCTCCGCAGCCTGCGCGAAGATCTCGCGAACCGTCGACGCACTTTAGCCGCAGCGAACACTCTTTTTACACAGGAACCTTCGAGTGTGTCGCCTCCCGCGCCGACGCTCCCAGGATCGTTTCCTGGAGGACCTTTCAGCCCTCCACCGATTAACCGCCCAATATCTGGACATCGGAAACATACAAGCGCACCGTCTTCCCACACACCCTCTCCATCGCGACCTCCGTCGTCCATCTCCCGGAATATTCAAGCAATCCCGTCGCAGCAGGCCGGACGGGCTCCGGCACTTCACGGCCGAACGCCTTCCACACCGTCGTCATCTCAGTCGCCCTCACCTTTCCAGAAACAGCCACCTGCTTTGCCCCAGTCCGTGAATGCAGTTGGCGACAGAGAACTGAACAGGCAGATCGAAGAGGCGACGTACCAGCTGACCTCCCTGTCGGACACGATCGCGCGAGCACGGTCCGGACTGGTGCAGGAGCTTGTGGAGGTGTTCAGCGTCGTGGAGGTCGGAGGCAGGCCTCCAATCGGTGGCAAAGCGGGCACGAAGGGCGAGTGGACGATCGGCGGGCTGGTCCTTCCCGTGCCGGGCGACATGCGACGTAAGTCTCGCATATTGACCCCGCATGTATGCGCTCATACTTTGACAGGGTATCCGCCAGATCACATTAACGCAGTTCTAACGCATACACTTCACTTTCTCTCTCTTCTTGGGTTCTATCTCGGCAGTAAACTCCCGTTCGAGGTCGTATGGAGCCGATCTTCGACCCCGCCGACGAGCTCGCAGATAGCTGCCGCTGCGCCACCTAACCTACGGGGGAACGGCCTACTGGGTGTGGGCACGCCATGGATCGGCGCTACCAAAGGGAGCGAGTACGGTGGGTGGGCGAAGTGAGTTTGTTTTGCCCTTCATCACAACATGTCAGCTGACAGTTCATAGATGGTCGACGAAGCATCCACTGCATGTCTCCATGTCCCCGCCACCTGCCTCCGGTTCTTCGTCTCCTATGACGTCCTCTCCACCCGGCTCTCTGCGCCCGCTTGTTCCCGGTCGCTCTGCAAGCTCGCCACTCCCGTCCAGCATGCACCAACCTGTGATCTCGCTCGACGACTCGCACATCGAGGAGGCCGACAGCGCGTCTGCACATGGGAGCTCGTTCACGACCGCGCTCGCGATGCTGCTCTACAACGTGTGCTACCTCGCGCACACGCAGGCCGTCGACGTCCCGCTCGCACAGGCGGGCGAGGTCCTCGGCAACCTCTGGGCCGTCTGCTGCTCCCCCGAACTCGGGCGTCGCAGCCACGCGACCCACCCACGCCTCCCGCCGCCGACGCCGCCGAACTTTCAGCTCGAGTTCGCCCAGCTCCTCCAGGCGACTGCCGCCAACCCGTCGAGGGCGCGGGCGCGCACGATGGCCGGAAACCCGAAGCGCAAGGTCAGGGAGGAGTACGACCCGATTGTGGAAGAGGAGGATTGGGACATGGTCGACGATGTCTCCGGCTGAGCGTACTCCGTGAGGACGTTGCAGATGGCGGCTGTCCGACTGTGCGTAGATGATATACCCCCTTGGCCTTGACGTGGTTGCATTTGTAGCATAGCCCATCGATTTCTTGTGTTCCGCAGGTGTATGTCTCAATTAAACACACGCCACAAAAACATCGACTTACAGTCGTGGGGGAAGCCCGCCCTTCGTCATGAGTTCGTGTGGAGCCAGGACGGCTGCGGTAGTTGCGCGAAGCGTGGGAGAATTCTCGAAAGCGTAGCCAGATCATGCCGCAGCTTGCCCAGACCGACCGAGGGAGCAGCCCGTAACTGCAATGCAAGAAGCCGGCCTACCGCAGCCATGACCGGCACATACGCCTTGCGGTGATGCACACACCATCATTTGCAGGCGTCCCTAACTGGCTCTACGAAGGGATCGTCGCGCCTCGTACAGTTTCATGCCACAGAAATGGTCAATGACGGCGTAGTTAGTAACATGCGCTCGTGGTGCCTGGTGACTTGCTCATATCAAAGAGTAGGGACGCGAGATACAGCACACTGTAGCTGGTGCTACAATTACATTACTAGGAGAGTGTACGGTGGTACATTAAGCTACGTAATTGAGCGTAAGATGTCCGTGAATGTTCGTAAGTAAGTCCGAGTGTCCGTGGCAGTCCGTTGACATCGTGCTAAGAGTGTTCAGGCACTGTTCTTCACTATGTCCTGCCATTTTCAGTTCTCTGGGTTCTCCGGGTCGGTGACGTTGAAGTGGACAGTTGTATAGTCGAACACGGGGATCTCGCTCGCCTGCAGCATGCTGTAAGTCTCCCCCAGCAAGAGTCATCAAGATGTATACGTACGCCAACGGTGAACTGGTGCGCGACCGAGAGCACGCTCTCGCCAGACGGCCAGCCCTCAGGAAGTTGGAGGCGGAAGTCCTGGTAGAGGCCTTTTTGGGGCGCAGAGACGTTGTACTGCGGGTTGAAGGTGCCGTTGTAGAGCACAGTGCCCGGGCCCCACTGCGCGGGCTGGGAGCAGACGTCGTAGCATGCTGTGAGGGCAATGAGCACGCTCTTCTGGGACATCGAGCTGAGCGTGTTCTGTGTAGGGGTAAGAATCAAAAAACAAGAGTAGAGAGCGGTGGTCGGCGTACGTCCATCTGCAGCTCGGCCGTGAAGTAGCTGTTCGCACCGACCGTCTGACCGGCCGTCGGCCCTGCGATGTGCAGGCGCTGGGCGAGAGTGCAGGCAGCAAGGGAGGCGAGGACAATGAACGACTTCATGGATGAGAGAGCTACGGAGGGAACTAGGTGGGGAAGTTGTGGAGAAAGTCGGACGCCACAAAGGCGTGTTTATATACCTGTGCGTGCGGTGAGTTGCGGCGAGAGGGGCCGCCTGGGGATCGGTGAGCCACTGCCTTGCTTCCATGCCTTATCCTCACGGCAGATCGATGCTGAACAGCAATTACAGCCCTCGAGGATGAACCGGATCCGACAGGATCAGGGCTGTACGTGGTCACGAGGCGTCGGTACTGAATGCCTCGAGGGCTGCCGAATCCACACCGACTCCAACGTGCAATGATGATGAACACTTGTTATACGGCGTTCTGAGACCGTGGACAACTCTGAGGAGACGGATGCATGGGGAAGAGGAGAGTGTTGTGGTACGCCATGTACTAGTATCCGTGCGAATTTTGATGCTCAGGCGCATGATCGCTTTGCTCGTGCGGCAAACTTTTCCAGTGAGCCGCTACCACTACCTGCTCGTCCTCTGCGCCAGCCCCAGCGATCCCCATCCCTTAACTTATTATATTATTTATCCTCGGATTAAATTGTGTATCCTAGCTCCTCACGATGTCTCAGCCTGGTACTGAAGGGGAAGAGTCACGCCCGAAGTCGCTGTCGGTCGAACTTGTCGGCCACTGCAGGACTGGGCCGGCCCCCTTCGACATTCCCGCCGACTTTATCATCCGAACCCCTCAGGAAACCAACTGGCACGTCTCTGCAGCTATTCTTTCCTTTACCTCGTCCTTCTTCCGCGACCTACCCCGAGAGCCGCCAAACCCCGACGGACCGTTCGTCCTTGCTGTCTCCGAGTCCGACGCCGTCCTCGAGGCCATCCTGCGCTTCTCGTACCCAGGACCGGACCCGATCCTCCACGACCTCGACGATGTCACCGAAGCATATGCCGCTGCGCAGAAGTACCAGCTCAACGCAGCCACACAGGCCCTCCAGCTGATGCTACTCGCCCCGCGCTTCGTCGAGGCCGAACCCGTGCGCGTGTACGCCATCGCGCGCCGCCTGGGCGTCGACGACGTCGCGGATGCCGCTGCGCTCTATGCATGCAAGACCCCGCCGTCACACTGGCCCTTCTGCGACGAGTTCGCGCACATCACGGCCGCACAGTACCACGACCTCCTCGTGTACCACCGGCGCCGCGGGGCAATGGGCCAGGAGCTGGGCGAGCCGTGCCGCAGGTGTGGGAAGCAGTGGGCGAAGAAGTACAGAACCAAGGCGGCGAGAGCCCTTGTCGACGCGCCGGCGAGTGTATGGGTGTTCGAGATTGAGTTTGTGGCCAAGTTCGCGAGGGATCTCGAGTGCAAGGAGTGTTCGCACAGCATGCTCCAAGCTCTACGTCCGGACGGGACCTTGTCGAAGCTGAAGGTTGTTGTGGAACGGCTTCCGCTAAGCGTTATACAAGGTGCGTCATGTTGTTGTGACAGATTGGCGTGCCGCTGCTCAATGACCAAACGGGGTCGTCGGACTCGTTTGCCTTGTTGCTATTTACCCCCTAGCCTGGTATTTAATGGTACATTTGGATGTGCCTTTTCTTGCGAGAGACATGCTGATACTTCCGGCAGGCTCTCCTGTCTGTCTGTTGTATACCATCCTATAATCTCTGTCTAGAATAAGCATACATCTTTTGTATCGGCTGTGGACGCATTTCCGTTCGTTGTGTGAATATCTCCAAGTGGTGAAATCTTCAATCTTCAAGGCTCGTCAGCCCGAGCGGTCATTCTTCCGAGCAATTAATGGCGAGAGAAAGCTCAACGCCGACTGAGCTCAAAGCGCATCCTTTAATACGATAAGAAAATGTGGGGACAAGAAGCAGAGCGTCACGTCTATCCAAACTTTGAGGATGGGATCCGTGTGTAAGCCCCAGAGTAGGGTTGCCTGAAGTGGTGCCCGCAATCAAGCGCCTGCTAGCGGTTGTGATCTTACTGTCATACTCGAGGAAGGCGGTCTTACCATCATTCAAACGTACTACATACAAGCTCAAGCACCGTGAGCGCACGCAGCGGCAATATTTACAGCATAAACGGCGCTCAATTTCACTCTGTGATAGCTATTAGTTGCCTAGGAAATGGCACCTAAGCGGAAAAGGTCACCTTCCATCGTCTTCGTACGCCATATACGCACTGCACCTGCGCCATTCAACGAACCAGCCGACTTCATCATTCGCACAGCCCAAGACATGCAGTACCATGTCTCTGCAGCGATTCTGTCCTTTGCATCGCCGTACTTCCGAGACCTGTCGCTCGACCCGCCGAACCGGAGGGGCCCATTCATCTTCGACGTACCAGAATCGGACGCGACGATCGAGACCATTCTGCGTTTCGTATACCCCGTGGCAGACCCGGTACTCCACGAGCTCGATGACGTCAGCGAGGCATACACCGCAGCGACGAAGTACGAGCTCGAGTACGCGGTAGCTGCCCTGCGGAAGATGTTTTCTCTGCTGCGCTTCCTCGAACACGAGCCTGTACGCGTGTACGCCATTGCGCGCAGGTTCAGTCTCACAGATGATGCGAATCCCGCTGCTGACTTCGCGTGCAAGAGTGCGCAAGCGGAGTGGCCCATCTGCGAGGAGTTCGCGCACGCTCCAGCAATGGCGTACCAAGACCTCGTCCTCTACCACCGCCGACGCACGACCGCGACTGCGGAGGTCTTAAAGAAAACACAACCATTTGCTGAATATAAGATATGCCTTGAATGCTACCTTGATATGCCCAATTCCGATGGGAGCTGGTCGTACCTGGGACATATTAAACCACTGTTAGCGCAAGCTTCGTTGCGTGATGACATCTTCTCCACTGCATATATCGTCAGAAACCTGGTTAAAACTCTCTGCGATAGCTGCACAATGAAGCTCGTGAAGGCATCTGGCCCAGGCGGGGCTATTGACAGCCTCAAAGCGGAGATATGTGTGGTTCCTTTGCGTGCGGTAGAAGGTATGCTGACAATCTTGTGGCTTACAGGGGCGAGATGCGATACTGATGATGTATTTTAATGGCAGCCTAGTCAAGAACACATCATTCACTAGCATTTTTCCACGTCTGTCTCTCTGGACAGACATGTTGTTGGTGACGTTCAGACGTGATACATCGTCTCGTAATCCATGAGCCGGAGTTTTTTTTTGCGCACAAACTTCTGAAATATTATAGCCCATCATATACACGAAGCTAGCCTGGTAGAATATTAATACTTGCCTATCGCACCTCAGCAAACCTGCGCATTCCCCCCTTAAATGCAACCTATCAGATGGTGCTACTTTGCTGCGGACATGATGAGCTCAAGGTTCGTGAAGCCGTGCTTCCTCATCTGGCTCAAGTATATGTTAGTGGATCGTGCACCCTTTGTATAAAGGGCTTCCCATTGAGAACGATATGCCCTGAGCTTGGCTCCCGGGTTGTTCAAACGCTATCCATAAACGAATACAGTACTAGTGAGCGAGACAGAAGCCCTCAGCGAAGAAAATTAGCTGATAATAGATATAGGCACTTTCTTTTTGTTGTGAATTGGATCGCGCAGGCGGAGGATTCACGAATAATCAACGATACATTCTCAGGATAATGCATCGTATTATTTTATAGCTATACTATCTCCTAATCTAGTTTTATCCAATACTAGTGGTCCGTAAGCAAGGGGATGAGGAACGAACATAGCGGGGAGCCAAACTAGCGCCATCGCAGAACACTCTGGACGCATCACACCTAGATGAAGAAACCATGACGCGAAGGCGCATCATGTCGGGATAACGGGAACAGCGGGTCATCGAGTGCGCGCCTCGGATAACTTTTATAAACCGACGCTAAGCTTACCTTTGTGTTGCATGAAAGGAGAAGCGCCTGCCGCCGTTCAGCGGATCAGACGCCACAATAGTCCCGCAAGCGCTTACGCACAACTTAATCTCTAACCACCACCGTCTCCTATCTTCAATGCAGCCTGCTGGGCAACCACAGCCTCAGAAATATACCAGTTTCTTCAAGATTTGCGACTCGTGTCATCTTCCCGTCGCCTCTGACATGGCCTACAACGGCCTTTGGCGTAGGTAGGTGTGTTGCAATAAGCTGACGTATGCCGCACTTTCTGACTTTTCCAAGCGATGGCATTGAATGACACGAGAATAATGTGAGCCTTTCTTCTGATGCTATCTGAGATCTGATGCTTGGGTGAACCGCACTGTACAAGCCGACGTCAGTGTGAGGAGGTGCTCCCTGCTCTCCACACGCCGCAGCACTTCGTGCGAGCGGAAAATGCCAATTTGCATGAAGTAATACATTTCCTCAAATGTACTGCGCTTCCCGCGCATCATTTTCCCAACCTGGCGTTGAGGTAACTGCGGCACCACCAACGCATGGTAGATATATACGTCAGACGCTTGTACCGTTGTCGTTGTTGGACAGTGGAGTTGCTCTCTTCTTGTTTTTCGAGCAGTTAACGTACATAGGACGGTATCATAACTCGGCGTCTCACATATTTCTACGGAAACATCATGTCGGCAGGCGACTACGACGGAAGGCGCTGGGATAAACGTAAGGCGAGACAGCTCCTTAGAATTTCTGTGCTTTCTGTGCATCATTCTCCAGTCTGACACTCAGGTAACTTCTGCGCCACCGGCGCATGGTAACTGCGAATGTCAAGCGCCTTTCCTACTGTCACGGTTGAAACCCCGGGATTGTAGCTACGGACGGTACGACCGTTCTCATTGTGTTCCCTGCGTATAGCTAATGCCCGTGAGAGTGCATCGTACTTTGGCGTTACGTTTATTTCTTCGGAAACATCTGTTAGCTGGTAATCACCGCGAAAGCGAGCTAAGCGAAGGACAGGATCAAGAAGACTGATATAGGACTTTCGTTGCATACTAGAAAATTCACAGCTGCGGATCCTCGCAAGAACGGCGCCAGCTTCTCAAATTCTGAGGCGTATAAGGACGAGAGGGCATCGAAACTCCAGCAACCCCGACCCTCGAGCTGTCCTCCATGGCGATCGCATCCTCCAGTACAACCAGCTCGTCCAATATTTCTCACTCTAAGTATGCGAAGCGTACGCGGGACCTCATAGGTCTAATAACCGATCTTCGCGCTCTCGGGTATGCCTCCTCCCATTCTTGTCGCCCTTCACGGCCCTTAACCCTCAGCAGAGCACAAGCTGATTTTGACTTGCCCCGTATCGCAGTCATCGGTAAGCCTCACGACGCTGCTGCAGATCTCTACTCATAAGCTTCGTTCAGGAAATCAATCAGCGGGAAAGGTATCCCCAATAGCCAGCTCTATTCGCGTACCTTATTAAGCTTTTCAACTGCAGAGTTCGCTTGTGGAAGCTATCAGCGGGGTGTGTACCACTCTTGTCTGTACTAGCGTACCATCTGATATTATTGGCAGATCACTGTCCCCCGCGCAAGCGGGACATGCACCCGGTACGTGCTTCGCTTTTCATGATGAGCGTCTGACATACCGCACTTCCTTTCGTGCAGCTGTCCCATGGAATGTAGACTAACTCACTCCGATCATCCTTGGCAGTGTCAAGTCCTTCTGCGTCGCGAGACAGATGCCAACGGAAACAAGATCCAAGCCCGCGAGGAGCCTTTCGGCCCGGTTCTCTACGATAAGGAGGAACTCGAAGAGATGCTTCGACGAGCACAGCTCGCCATTCTCAACCCAAGCATTCCGCCCGAGCGCTTTGTTGATTTCGATACAAAGTCGCTTGGCCCTGGCGAGATCCCCCTCGATTCGGAGCGTCAGCTGGGGTTTTCCGATGATGTCGTCTGTCTCGATTTGTCGAGCCCGGATGTTACTGATCTCTCGTTCATTGACCTCCCCGGTATGTTGTAAGACACAAAAGTCTACACAAGTGGACTAAAGATTGGACGGACAGGGATCATCTCGAATGTGGCGGAGGGCGAAGACCGTGGAAACATAGACGCAGTCCGTAACATGGTCTCGAAACATATACAAGGAAACACGCTCATCTTGCTTACCATCACAATGCGAGGTGAGTGTCATTATTCGAGTGACGCTGTCTGCTTGCCGACAATTTTATTTCTAGACGATATCGACAACCAAGGCGCGGCTTATTTGGCTCGTCTCGCGGACGAAGGAGGTCTTCGAACCATCGGTTTGATCTTTTTTTACGCTTTGAGTGTCTGATTTACAACACTCTTCAGGCGTACTCACCAAACCCGACCTTATCCAGCACGGTGAGGAGGACGCATGGCTCCGCGTTCTCGAAGGCTCCAGTCACCCACTAAAGCGTACGTCGCTAAGTGCATAACACCACTACCTACGGGCTGACTTCCGTTTAGACGGATACTTTGTCACCAAACAGCCATCGCCGCAAGAGCTTGAAGAGAGAGTTCCTTTTGCTGAAGCTCGTCTTCGAGAGACGACATTCTTTGAGCAAACGGCTCCTTGGTGCCACAAGTCCAATCTCAGTGAGCGTTTCGGGACGCCGTACTTGACAAAAGCACTTAGCAAGCTCCTCGGCGGTGTTATCAACTCTGCGTCAGCACCTGCTCTCCTGGCTGTAACATCCATTCTGACCAATGACCTGCAGCCTGCCGACCCTCCGCTCGGATCTCAAGGAAGCGCTGCTAGACGTGAAGTGCCGCAACGAGGCGTTGCCGCCACCGCCGCCCGAGAATCCGGCCAGTGAGCTGCTGAAGCTCGTCACCGGTTTCTCGGACGACGTTGGCGCGCTGATCAAGGGCACCGAATCCTTCGAGCGGCTGATACAGCAGTGTCGCCCTGCATACAAGCGCTTCAAGAGGGACATCTACGGAACTAAGCCGGACTATTTACCATTTACAACAAATGAAGATACCTCGGGCTTCACCAGCCCTGTTTTTGAGCCGGACGTGACAGAAGAAGACGACTCCGATAGTGGCATTGGGCAATGCAGCGCCCACTCAAAGACCATGAACCTCGACGCGGTGAAGAAGCACATTGAAGGGTAAGGCTTCCTTCGCTATTTTATTTCATACGCTGACACATCCTGCAGCTCTCTGACCCGAGAGCTCCCCCACAACGTTCCGTTTGCGGCCAAGGTTGCGCTGACCCAGCGCTGCTTCACGGATTGGGACGAGCACTGCCAACGCTGCTTCAGCACCGTGCACGAGGCCGCGCTCGCTGAGCTGAAAGCGATAGTTAAGGCGCACTTCGGGCAGTATCGTGGCACGGCACTCATGGACCACGTCGATGCCATGGTCGAAAACCAAGTCGAGCGGTGCCGCGTCAAGACCGCAGAGCGCATCAGGTGGATGCTCGCTTTAGAGAGCCCGCCGTTCACGATGAACGAACACTACTTCTCCTCGTATCGCGAGAAGTACTTGACGAGGTACAAGGACGCACGTAAGGTGTGTTGTCAGGCTGTGAACATGTAGGTACCACGTCAGGATCTGACCACTTTGCAGTCACTGCAGTCCACGCCACTGCCTGAGGACGCCAACATACATGAAGTCATGAGCGCACTCGCACGGTTCGGCTTCAATGGTCTCAAGGAAGAGGACCTCGGCCGCCTGTACGGCGCCGACTCACACGAGGAGGAGCTCATTGTCATGGCTGAGACCGCGGCGTACTTCCATGTCGCCTACAAGGTACGTCTTTTGTGCACAAATCTATCTTCTATCCTCTGACTTGCAATACAAGCGGATCATCGACAATGTCCCACGCGCCATCGATTACGACTTCCTCCGGGCGATTGCGCGTGAGCTCCAGGGCGCGCTCATCACGGGGCTCGGGCTCGGGGAGGAGAACGCGACGGAACGCGCGCGCGCGTACCTTGCCGAGGACGAGGGCGTCACCGCTCAGCGCGCGCAGCTCGAGCAAAAGCGCGTCCGTCTCGAAGCCGTCCAGCACAGGCTGTACAACTTCGGGCTCTAGTCGCTCTGTGGGCCATCGCAGGCCTATTCTTGGCGTGATGTAGGGCGATAGATATCTGCGTGTTGAACCTCCGCTGGAAGATCATCTTGTGCTTGTGCATAGGTTTCATGTTGTGTCTTTACTTAATCTATCTTTTGTATGCTTTGATCAGCGAATACTCTGGGTCCTCCGAGCGGGTCCTCCGTAAGCGTCTGCCTTTAAGAGACTAAGATCGGGTGAATACGGATCATTCCTGCCACAAGGTCTGCGCTAGCCAGCCCGTGGTAGCTTGTTCCTGACCTCAACCTTGGAATGTTAAGGCGGCGGTATGCTCAGGCTTAGCGCAGAACAACTGGCGTCAAAACACAGCAAGCTCCCCCCTGCCGGGAAGTAGAGTCGCTCGTCTGAACTTGTGCTTGCCTTGTATACCTCCTGCAGATGTTTGAGTCCACTGCAACACTTCGACGTCGAAGCCTCAGACACATCTCGGCACAGATGCGATGTCTCCAGATAATGACCATCTCTCCACGACGAGAAGGTGCGACTCGGAACTTTCAGTGCTTCGCCCTTTTGATGACCTAACCACAGCGACGTTCTGGCACGCTATTCCAGGGTGACATCACCTTTCCCGCTCGAGGATATCTGAGAACGCATATATTGCGCCATGCCTGCTTGATGTGAGAAGAGGCACCTCTTCGGCACTCTCGAGACTCGGATGACGATGTGGGCAGCACATACTAGGCTCTCTATTCGGCCTTTGAAACCTCGGAAGACCCAGTACCATGGGGCGCCACAGATCGTCTGCGCTGGGCTTCTCCGTTGTAGTGCAAGAGCCTGAGCAAGGTTAGAGCTGTTCGCGTACCATTCGTGTTCATCGATACTGAGTAGACGCTAGCCCTGTTCGACTAGTTAGTTGTCACGCCTCCGGGGTCGAATCCCTTTGCATAACCTGTAGACGACGACGCGAAAGGACGCCTAGGCTCACAACTTAATTTGTGATGATGATGAACGGAGTTTGGATCGCCATTGACCTCTTGGAAGGATTCGTGTCGAAGTTCGGGTGCGTCACTGTCAGCCAGTGTAGCCTACACAGATAGAACGTCGTTGGTCGTGTGATACTACCGCGCCAGTTAGGTGGGATAAATCCTGTGGGCTATACCTTCGCTTCTATCTTTCTGACGAGATTCATAGGCATGGCGTGCCTCAATTCCCCGGCTCATGCGGACTCCCAGGCGACATTACCCCTGGCACAGTTTGATCGCCACAGTTTGATCGCCTGAAAGTCCTACTCCTATGCTTATCGTCGGTCCTCCGGATTTCGAAACGAAACAGTATGTCTGATCTTCACAAATTCCGGACTGTTACTCACACGGGGTATCCTAGCGTGAGAGCTATGGACAATGAATTGGAATCAGATCACCCAGCTAGCCACTCGTTCGGTATCTCACGCACGCGCACTATTCGGTGATCAAGACCAGGTTTTCAAGTCTGAACAAAGGTGCCACTGAAGACCGCTGCCTTCTTAGACGTCATACTCCCACGACACTGGCTCGCGACGCGCCAATCCAGTATTCTTCTTGGAATTCTGCCTGAGTACGTAATAATTTTTGTGATATCCTAATACCGTCATTTGAGCTACCCTTCCTCAGCGATATAAAACCGTAGCACGATTTCTTCCATCTGTTCACCTTTCCCGCTAGGCTCCCACGTCGATCGTCTTCGCTAATACCTCTTCCTCACGATTTTGAGCGTGCAACCCTTTATCCCCAACCATGTCTGCCCTCCGACTAGCGCCCACTTCAAAGTCTGCATGTACTCTCGCGAAAGTACCGTGTAGATCGAGCTCTAGCGCCAACGCTCCCGTACAGTGCGGGAAAAAAGCGACGCAGGTCATTCCCTCGAAGACCTCTCAGAAGGCCAAAAAGTCTACACGGCCTTCCGACCATCCGAGGGCACTTTTCCATTCCAACGGCGACCCCGCTCCAGCCAGCAAGAAAAAGCTTCAAGGCGGTATACGTGCTGAAGACGACGAGAACAAAGAGAACATCCGCCCGGAGGTACGTCTACTCGGTTAACCCCTCACAGAATCGCTCTAATCCTTCGAAGGGATGTCTATATCCCGTGCTATACCCCTCTACCCTCGTACTTTGTAAAGAGGTAGCTCGCGGCAGAACTGTCTTGCAGGACTTGCAGTTCGTCATTCTGTGACGATACTACTGTTGGAGCTGTTTCGCAAGCCCAAAATAACTTATCTCCGGCTTTTCGTATATTCTCCCCCTCGTTGCATGCTCCTTAAGCCACTTGAATTTCCAGCTCATTTTCTGCTCTCCGCCCTTCCGTCTTCGGTGGCTATAGCCGCTATGCGGTTTTATCCTCAGGCTCGCTGGGCTTCACCTGCACGGTTTCGTGCATGCTCCTTCTGTGATCCTCACATCCCGATCTATTCAAGAATTTATCTCATTATTATTAGAATTACGCTCGTGTCACCACCAATAGATCGCCGAATTATCCGCTTAGACTTCCCTTATCCGTGGCCGTGCCAGTGGCCTCAGCAGCCGGTGCGTCCCAATGGCCGATGACGTGAATAGCTACCACAATTGCGAATTGTACCTGCTAGACGTTACATGCAGCAATAAGAAACCCCACGTGAATAAGCACACTCGCCAGCAGGTCGCCTTTCATCCCGCCGGGAGGGGTTCTGTGACAAATACGCACAAATAGGTGCGCATCAGCGTATCAATGTTGTCGCCGAGAGCCTTCCAGCGTCTTGTGCTCTCCCTACGCCACTCCGACCATCTCGTGACTTCACGCGCGACTGATTCGAGAAGCCAAATGGACAGCCCTGAGATTTTAATATAGACCTAGGAAAGGTTTCGGCGGCGGTGGGACCTGGCCACCTTCGCGCGGCTGCTCCGTCTATCTAGAGCTGGATGATTAGGACCCTGCATCATCACCATGACGAGTGGCGACTTTGTCTTTTATCCTTTGCGTCAAATACTTTTGCCGTCGCCCACGACTCACTAGCACTCCCCACAGGGTCTCGCATCGTAAACGCCCTCTTTTGCCCGGCTGAATCCAGCTCATACAGTCGATCAAACACGCGGCGCGCTGTATGTGCCAGCTGATCCTGATTTCTCGTGACAACACTTTGGTGTACAGCGGCCGGTACGTCGCTGCCAAAGAGATGCTTTTGCCCTTGAAGTTTCTGTCCCTCGTGAGCCTCATTTCGTCTCGCCGCATCTCGCCGCATCTTTGGCTCGGCCAAAGAAAAATTTCGCCTGCAACATGGCGGCCAGTATAAGAAGGCCGACAAGTTCGACCAAGCGACAGCAGGCAACCTTGGCCACTCATCTTACCACACAACGCTTCGACCACTCGGCTTCTACATATCCCCAGACGGCTCGTCTTCAGCTACCTTTCCGCACTCACCCGTCCAAAATCAGTGACATGTCCGCCTACCCTGATGAAGCCACGCTTGTTCCTCGACACGCCGCTCCCACGCCCGCTCTGAAGGCTGCCAAGGCCAAAGGACGTGGTCGGCCTAAGGGCCCCAAACGCCCACCCAGCAAGGGTACCCAGACCAAGGTGCGCTTGGACACGACCCCGCAAGGCTGTGGCGATACTCATAGAGCCTAATATCCTAGCCCGGAGACCAGGAAAACACGAACCCCCTCTCTACGGAGTGCATACAAGCCTGTGCGCGCAGGTATCACCAGATAGAGCGCGAGGGCCCGACGCCGCCTGGCTGCCCGGACGACTGGTACTGGCACGACAACTGTCACACCCGCCGCCGCCGCCAACCCACGCTCGAAGGCGGGAAGCTTTCGGGCGACGACATCTGGTGCAAGCCGGGGTATAATGTCCAATGCCGGCTTGCGCTCCTCGGCGAGCCTTGCTTTTGCTTCGCTTCCGACGAAGTCGCAGTCTTCGACATGGACTAGGCTGACTTATCTCGCCATGGGGATCTACGCCCGGCGCATCAGATCCGCATCACGTATATAGATTATTTTATCTCTTTTTTCAACATGTGCACTGCATTGTGTGTTCACTCATCTGCATAAGTTCCTGGTAATATGTAGAACAGATAGTACCGGCCTGTGCTACAAATGCAATTATCCTGTCCCGTTTCAGAAATTTACTACGCATTGTGTTCATGATGCATACATATATCTTTCGTCAATCATCATCAGTGTCTCCGCATGTTGAGCATACGGGCTGATCCTAGGGGCGTAACTTATTTCGATGACGAAGGGAGAGTGCCACCACGCCGTCACCTAACAAGCGCAAACAAATTTACCTCGGGAGCTCCCGGAGCAGCCCCGAACGTTCCTGCCCAACATTTTCACAAGCTGATCATTTTCTGTAAGGTTTTAGTCTCAAGCCGTGTATATTTTCTAGATTACTGGACTTGAGTACACCGCATAGCTGGTATGACATCTCGGCGTGGGTTGTTGCCTATGACGACGACGACGCTACTGTTCAGTCCTGCCATCTCGCATCCTCTGTCGGGCACCTCTGAGATGAGCCGTAATCTTAAACTATGTCCTGATGCCCAGGCTCTGCAGCGGCGGCGATCAGCCAAATGACGTGACGCGCTGGTGAGCATTCCCATTCTTCTTGGGCAGCCGCGCATATGCGTTGGCTAGTTGGACAATGACATGCTGTCGACGTACTCTTGAGACGCGTCGGTAGCAGTATATTGACGATGATGATAATGGCGGGAGCGACTCAATTTGAATCTGTCATTGATTATGCCGTGCTTCTCCAGCTCATCAATATTCGGGCAATGGCGTTTGGATAGAGTCCGGGTCCGATGCAACGAGGACCAAGAGTTTCAGTTCGGCGGCCTAGACACGGGAACTTATTAAGTTACACCGGACTAGCCACTCAGAAGCGCCCATGAGTGGCTAAGACACTGAAAAGCCCAAAAAATGGCACGGGCAGGAATCGAACCCACAGCCTGAAAGTAACCACAGCGCGTTATACCACTAAGGCATAAGACCTTACAAACATTGGGTTGGAATTGGCCTATAATACCACTTTTTCACCTTAAAGTCTTAGCCATAACATCAGAATATGCCTTTGTACAATTACATTCCATTGCTTTAATACATAATAATTGGCTAAAATATAGGACTTTGGGCAGCTAAGACACTGATGTGGCTAAGACACCAGTGTGGCTAAGACACCAGCATGGCTAAGACATTGAGACATTGAATATTTGCCATTGATTCTACTTGAGTATAATTCATCTATTCAGGTGTCTTAGCCACACTGGTGCTTT